CCCCCCCCCCCCCCCCCAAACTTAACAGTCAGCTCTTTTGTTGCGGCTTTTGGTTCCGCTCCCCCCCAGGTTGAAGCCGAGTTTCTAGGCCCTCATGTATGCTTGATTGGAGTGACAGTCGCAAACAGTCAACTAAAATAGGCCATGTTTCAGCATGGCCATTCCATGCGCTCTTCAGCGTACCGGGGTCTTCATTCTCTCGCCCGCACTCCCTCTATCTCTATACATAGGCCAGGCTCCTTACATGCAGCGTGATTTCAGCAACTGCAGCACTAGATCTGAGTGTTAGAGCTTAATGAGGCTTGACCTCCTGGCATTGCTTTGTTACGAGCAGTAGGGCTGCTGCTGCAGCCCTGAGCCGGGGGTTGATTGGTTGTCATTTGGCGAAGTTGTTGTCAAGGCCCATCCAAATGCAAGCATCCGGGCTGGCGGAGATGGGTCTGAGGATTCCGTCACGGCGTTGTGTGCCTGTCCATCACAATGACTTGCATCATAGGCCAGAGCCAAGACCCGTCCAATCCCGATACAATAGTCTTGTGTGAAACCGACACGCCCGCTTGTAGCTACCGCTGTTGAGGTCTCGTCCCTGGTCCCGGTGCCGTGGGACGAAGACCGGCGAACTTGGGGGTTCTATCATCGTTGTTGCGAGCAGGCGTTGTGGTGTAGCCGTGGACGGACATTAGGTCCTGTGTGTGCCTGTGTTCCCTGAAGTCGCCCCCTCACACACATAGCACAGGAACAATCTCCCCGAGCGGCCATGACGAAGTATTGTACATGGCGCCGAGCGTTGGATTGGGGCCACACACACGACTCCGTTTGCGCAACAGAAACACAGACGCATGCAAATGTGCATGGATGAAAGCACACACCAACTGGTACAAGCACAACGCAAATCCAATCCGGACAGGTACACAACCAAGGCTCCACGCACAATAGATACCACAATGTCGGACACGCAAGCCAAATTGAACCTAACTGGTCTGCATCCTCCTGGGGGTGCTGGTCCTATTCGACAAGTGCGTTGGCAGCAACCGTCTTCTCTTCCCTGGATGCTTGGCACACCCCCAATCCGTCCAGATCTCCCCAGCCCAAATCTCTGTCCATAATCCCTGCTGCTATGTGCATATGGTCCCTGCTGACCGGGGTCAGAGCTCTCCCTTCTAAGTCCTTGCCCATTGGGAATCTTGATCTTCTTTGCATGGCAACCTGGTCAGTATTCTGTTGACGCGGCACTGCACTCGCACCTTGCACCGTGACCTTGACCCTGGCCAAGACATAACACCCCGGATATTTTCCACGCCTGCACATGGGCAGCACAGGATTTGGCCCCTACCACTGCCATGCAAACCCAAGCTTCCCTTGTTGAATATCTACCGTTCCAGCACTTGTGGACTTACATCTAGACCTTCATATTTTGCACTGGGCCCATTCTTTTCTGCTGGCTGTGTCCATACCTCGCGCCTTCACACATTGTCCTGACTTCTGTGAGAGGACGCTCCTCGAACCCTTGGTCGGAGAGAAGTTTCGTAACTGCTAGACCGTACGGACGTTTGTTCTCTGCCAGAATTCTTGAGCTATCGTCAACCTGACCCTTGCAGGTCTCTTCTGCGTTTCCATACTATACGCCTCGAGTGGCACCCAAATCCAGTTGGTTTGTCGTATCCTGCTATTAGGCAATTTCAAAGCCGGCGACCACCTTCGCGGCATCAAATCGGTTCGGAATGATCGTTGATCTCTGCGACGGCTTGCCCGTCCACTTCTCCCCGGACTCCACTGGCGACGACACAACACGAAATTGCACGACGCAATCAATAGGAAACATCGGGGACTACCCAGACCTGGACGCATTCTCCAATACGGCTACGGCTTTTCAACTTGCTGAAACATCCCAACCGCCTCCGCCGTCCGACTTCCCTTCCGCCATTTGCACGGCTTCTCAAACCTATCCGCCTCCGTATACCCACTCGGCGGCTTCGACCTGTGGCATGTGGCCGACCCCGCCCTCTACGGCTGGCGAGGATTTTGAGGACTACACCTACAACGCATCACCCACAAGTGCGTCTTGTGGTGCCCACCTTGCAACGAGTTCTGCCAGATCGTCTGTCGCAAGCCCCAGCAGTTGGTCTTCACCAGAACCGCAGCATTTGGCCTTCCAGCAGGTGGTCTGGCCAGGCCAGGAGCCGCTCTCTCCGTTCTCTGTTCACATTCATTCAAATCCAACTGAGGGACATCCCCGTCCGCAGATGATGTCACACCCCTACCCAAACCAGGCATACTTGGCGGGAAGCATGAATTCGGATGTCCTCATGACAACAGACACAAGAGGCACGACCCCCGACCATGTTGGCTTCGTACCATCAGATGGCAGTTCTTCCCCAGTACCCAAGGTGGAATACGGCGAAGACTATCTGCCTGACGGAGAGAAAACGGTCTCACAGACTGGGCAAGCAACTGCTGCGCCGAATGGAAAGGGGTCCAGCAAGATGGACGAGCCGTATGCACAGCTGATTTACAAGGCTTTGATGAGCAACGGAGATCACTCGATGACGCTACAGGAGATCTACCAATGGTTTCGAGACAACACGGACAAGACCACGCCGGACAAAGAAAATAAAGGGTGGCAAAATAGCATACGGCACAATCTCAGCATGAACGGGGTAAGTCACATCTCTCACTAGTCTAGCATGCACAGTGGAATCTGACATTTTATAAAGGCTTTTGTCAAGAGAGAAAAAAAGCCTTCACCTACAACCCCGTTGACAGACACTGGCGAGCCAAAGAAGTCGAACGAATGGGTACTTACTGACGAGGCCATAACTGAAGGCGTGGAAAGCACAACTCGGTACCGCAAGAATACAACGCGCAGGGGAGGGTCTGGCTCTTATTCACGGTCGAATCACAACAACCCTCTATCAGCACGAGCTTCCTCAGGGCGAAAGGGTGGCATCACAGCCAGCAAGACAAGATCCGCCAATAACCGTGCGGCAGCACGCAGACAGCAGTACGGGGAGTTGATGGCTTCACACTTGCCAAGCAGCAGCCTCGTGCAGGACCACGATTACTACAGCCGGCATGCTAGCATCGGGATGCCTGACCCGCAGGGAGGAGGCCCGGGTGGCGGCCAGGGGTACTACTTCGGCCCTGGGCAACCTCAGCATCAGCTTCTTCATCAACCCAACCCACACTCACAGCTTGACCCGAACGCTTACAGCCTAGAGGATGTAACCGGCGTCTATGAGGCCCCACTGGCTCCTCAAGCGTCCAGTGACCCCTCACAGCTGTCGTCACACCTCCCCCAAAGCTTCAGCAACCTCTTCATTGACGACATTGGCCAGACTGCCGCAACATCATCTGCTCATCTCCATTACAACTGGGCGGACGGCAGCCAGTTTCAGCAATAGTCTGGGACCAGAGCATTGCGCTGCCAGAAGTGCTTGTGTTCCCCCCTGGGGTCACCCACACCCGGTAATTTCCGCGGCAAATGCAGCCGAGACGAGAAGACCGTTGAACCCCTCCAGGAGTGACTTGGTTGGGTACCGGTCCATACCCGGGCGGCCTATACGCTTGTGTAAGCCACCATTTCAACTAGTGTTTGGAGAACTTGGCGAATGAGCGTTGGGCGGACACCGTCGGACGATAGGGTCTCTACTGCCGAGCGGTCAAGTGGGAGGGATGGTAGAGGCACGCAATAAGCACCAGGGCATGATTGGCGGTACTGGCGCACTGCCTGCATGAGCCGACATTCGATGTGCACCGGGGTGTATCATGGACCCTTCGACTTATTGCCTTGTGCCCCGCTCATGCGCATGGTATATTTGACACTGATGAACCTCTCTCTTTGCGCTGGTTGCGTCCCACGACATCTCCACGCTATTCCCCTGGCCTACTGCATACCGGTCAGATTCAATCCACATTTCTCTTGTTCAATATCGTCCACTCCGTTGGTATGCATGACCAGGCGCCAAGGACCACTCATCTTGGCAGAAATGCACCTCATTGTCGGCTGCGCGCTTGTGGCTCTGGCCAGCATGTGTTCCCCTACAGCGGCTATCCTGGACGGCAATGCCTTACGGCTCTTTTCCCTTCAGAGAATTTCTCAATAGACTACAGATAGGACTACAGTGCGAGGGAGGCACAACAGACACAATGTAATACGGTTCACGGCGCACGATACCCCATCATCTGGGAGGCATACATTCGCTTTGCATTTTCCTTTGTTCGTCCCTTTGGCTGGCGGGAGGATTTGGTTTTGACTGACGCGTTCCGACTTTGGCATTCTTCTAGCGATGTCCACACGCGGAGTCCTCATGTCCATGTCTCTTTTTTCTTTTCTAGCAAAGGTTTGGGTCCCGTTGTCACATTTTCTCCCCCCCCTCAGATTCTCTGCATGGCTGGGTTTGTAAAGTCTAGGGTAGAGCCTTTGGTGTGGTGAGAATGAATAAGAATTCAACTAATGAAACCGTCTAGATCCTGATTAAAGCACTTCGCGACCCCAGGTTAATGACTACCGTGACATAAAAAGGACCCAGTGATCCCGCATGTAAACTCAATCTCGTGACGACGTTACAATGCATGGAACCATAAATCGATCTGATCCCCTTGTAGCACTCATCATCATCATCATCATCATCATCATCACCAGCAGCGGAGCATGACCGACAGTACAGGGTGGACGTGAGAGAGGCTTGAAGCATGGGGCTCCCCTGAACCCTGCCCATGTCTCTGTCACCACGGTTCCTATTCCTTCCGTACCATTGGATACCCCTCGCGCTCCATCGGGGGAACCACAACATGTATGTCGCTATATTTTCAGACCCTTGGCAAGGGTTTCTATTGGCGCGCCGTTGCCTCGGGTCGCCCACCCCCCTGTCATCGGTTGGTCGGGACAGGGGTGCCAGATTTTAGAGCGGCGCAGGGGATCAGTCTCTCGAGGTCTAGGATTCTATTGTCAACCTGATCCTCTCAGCCACTGGAGCATCGCCGGAGGCTTGTTCACTGCACGACCCTTACGACAAACGATTTCTTACCAGCGACAATTGTTGAGAAATGATCGAATGCGCCAGACCGTGTTGGATTCTCGGCGCCATTACGCGAATAGCTCCATTGCCAAGGCCTAGGTCCATACCTAGGTAGCCTGGTAGGGCTGTCCAGGTACAGACATGTCCAAGGCGGTGGAGTAGCTCACACGACGCTAGACGGAGCACGACAACACTGCCACAGACCACCAAATTTGTGCCGAATGACCAAGGATGAGGCTGGTCGATCCGGCCAAAAACATTCCCTTTTTCTCCTGCAACATTCCGTAGTCTATCATAATCGTATCGAAGCATAAGTTCGCGACACTTGGGCCGATGACTCATAACAATCGAGATTTGGCTCATGAAACCTGGAACTATCGCGACTGTGTTATGTATGATATGATGTACACACAGTGAGTTGCTTCGCGGAGCGTCTCTAATAGCCGGGCCCAGTCAAATCTACTACCAATCCCTCATCCCCCAAGGTAGCAGTGCGGAGCGGTCCTACCCCAAACTAGCTTTCCTCCCCTTGTCCTCCTCGTTTCCTCCCATTCCGCTAAGGTTCCGGCTTGCATTAGCTTGGTGTGCACCATGATGTGATAATGATAGTTTATGGATTCTGCAATTGCCATTTTTTCTTCAATGGTGCGATCTGCTGGGTAATGGATTGTCCCTTGATATTAGAAGTTTGCGCATTTGTCCACTGTCAGGTGGTACAGGAAACGCCTGAGACCATGGTGTAAAAATAACTCTATTTCAACCCCTAGCCAGGCAGTAAGCCACACCATCAGTCATATAGTCAGTCGCACAACAGAACACGCGACCGCGTGGAAGATTTTCTCACACTGCATGCATCCCAGCCAACCATGCCGAAGACAAGGTACACCTCCCTTCCTCTCCCTTTCTGCCGGAAACGACGCCTGCGCCATGGTACAACCCCATATCTTAGGGTACGCGCTGGTGTTTGCAGGATCTTGATCAGGCAACCTTCTCACAGAGAATGCAACCTCTCCATTTCAGGGCCATCACGGTCCATCAAAGGCTTGGAGCACCTCGATGCATGGGTAAATACCTAGGCAATCGGGGTACTTATGGCCGCATATTGCGGCGCCGAAATGCCGTACCTGTCCTCCCCCATCCGTCCTCCAGGACTCGCTTAGCGCCATGACAGCGCAGGGTGTTGGCGGCGGAGGGCGGCAAATGCATGGCTGGCGGGGAGAGGAGACGAGAGGTGATTGAGTGAGGACATGAGGGACGTTGTATGACACAAAAGCCAAAAGCCAAAGACCAAACGGCGTCACAAAGGATGTAAATCGTCGTACGACTAGCCCTCACTAGGACGTTCTCCACATCTTGGAAGCAAAACCTCCCCTTGTCGTTGACTTGTCGCAGCTCATCCCAACCACGATCGCCGGGAGTGAAATGATCGACGAGCTCTCATCTACTGTTGCAGTCGCTCCACTTCCGGCTTTAAACATCATTAAAGCCATCTGAGATCTTCCTCGATGTTACCTTCAGATCCCTGTATCGAGAGCGGATCGTCGCGCCGAAACCGTTGGCACTAATGCGGTCCGAGGTAGAAGAAGTAAGTCTGATCCACCGTGGTCAGGTACGTTTGACAGCGGTCTACCGCATGCGCCAAACTCAGAAAAAGCATTGAGAGGTGTGTTCATTGCTCCTACGATTGGTGATCAGGCAGTTTGACAGCTGCCACGTTTCCTAGATTGGCAGCGTCATGGCTGGCGCATGGCTGGCGCATGGCGATGTGAGGCACGGCGGATGCACGGGTTTCCTTTTCGGATCGAATAAACACAAGTTCTGAGCCGATTGAGTCAGACCAATTACCCATCCAAGGAGGCCGCATCTTGGGCCGGTGCTATCCATGATCCAGTGGTACAAGTGATGTCTCTGTTAGGCAGCGATTGCTATCTTGGACCGTTTCCAGAACTGGTACCACTTTTCGATGGACATAGGGTCCGGAGGAGCTCCGGGGCCACAGCGTCGTGCAACAAGGCTGTGGCTTGGCTATTACACCATTCAGGCCACTCCTTGCTCGCGGAATGCAAGAAAGAGAACAAGGAAGCCGACGTCTCCACCCTTGAACAGATACGATACCAACGGCTTATTCCGAACCAGCGCAGAGTCCCCACTGGTTTTGATTATGTTACGAGTTACTACGTTGCCTCTCGAATGTAAGCCAAGATCAGTAATCAAGGTCACACGGGTGTCGCCAGAGCAGGAAAAAAAGCACGATATAATGATTCACTGGAGTTGTGATGATAACGCCAGACCGTTATCCAGACCCAGAGCGTTGGGTCGCATCACACACCCACCGTAGGTCTGAGGTCATTTGAGAGTAGCTATATCCCAACGATGATGTGAGTCTCTCCAACCTTGCGCCTTTTCGGTGCAATTGACCGGCATACCACATTTGCGGCTCAACCGGGCGACAATGCAATCTTTTCGTCTTTTCGGGCACAAGCGTTTTCCCATGTCTAGAACTAACATCCTTAATAATTTCCTTTTTGGAGGGGCCATCAATACGTGGGCGTGGATGGGACTTCTTGCGTTCTTCAGATGGTGACCACACTTTACGGGTACCATATCCGTCCCAGTTTCCGGATCCGGCAGCCATCCAAGGGTCAACCATGTTGAACAAAGGCGACAGCCCCTTGTCAACTTCGTGTATCAATGACACTTTGCATCTTTGGAATCCAACTCTCGATACTGTTGGGCTAATTCGACCAGTCACGAGTAGCCCCAGGTGCACACGTAGCTGAGATGATACACTTGCTTCACCCGGAGGTCTCCGGTTGGGTAACATCTTACATACGTGTAACATGCAACCGTTTGTCGATTTCTATGGCGGTCAGTCATTGAACGATATGGAGGATCATGGACGGATCGACTGGTACAAGCCTCGGATTCTACGTGTAAGTTTCGGAGGATTATGCATACTCAAAGATCGCCACAACTGAGAATTGAAACATGACCTGTCGTACAAACGCGGGGCATAGTGGTATTTCACGACGGCGCGCTCCGCTCCTCCCGGGTGATTGGAGCGGGGCCTCCTCCTGGGCGGAAACCTCCTGGGCATTCGGAAAATTAGCATGGCGCCGATGAACAGGCCGAACTAAACGCCTTAGACGCCCAGCTCTGTCAGTGACAAAACCAGCTGTGTTTGGAGCAGGGGTTAAATCACCCCGTGCAGGTGGGAGGCACAGTAACAAAACATGAACCCGTGATTCATTCGCGGATTTTCAGTCTCCGCTGCGCTTGCATTGCCTCTGCCGTGTGTGCGTCCCCGAAGGATCCCTTGCGAACGTTGCTCAGCCTCCGTTACCGCAGTGCAGGGATGGTGTATGTATATAGAAAACGCAACAAGGACGTTGGGCCAACGGCTCGGTATACCGACGGTTCGCTACTCGCAACATGCATACACAGCCATCGTGCGATAAAGTCGGCGAGCATCATCAATGCTGCGTCGTGCGGCTGGGGACTTCACTGCGCATTGAAGGGCAAAAAGAAATTCGCTCTCCATCCGTGTACATGGTTACCAAACTGCTGGGCTCCGGATTCTCTTGGCTTGCCGTGAATAGGCCGAGTCTATCGGTGACCCTAGGGAATACCGGATTAAACGGCCTGGGCGCAAATTCATGGACCTGGCCTGTGCTCCGTAACTGCCAGCAGCGGGTGGCATAAGGAAGCAGACACTGCCTTGTCTTCAAGAAGTAGTGCGCTAGTGACCCACATGTAAGTCCTTTGATCGAGTCAAATTGCATCGGGAAGTGTCAATACAAGTAGTTGGAACTACTGAGGTGAAATCACACGTATGTACCTAATATCGGCGCAATATGACCTGAAAACCAGGAACAGCAGTGATAAGGCTTGTACGGCGGTCGCCTACTTGTGGCCGAAAGCTACAATAGCTTTCGATTCGAGACGACTTATAGCATCTTTACCCTTTATTCTCATACCAATTCAATCAAGGCCTTCATTCTTTTCTTCTCCCATGATGACAATTCGTGCACATAGAATCGCGCGGTTGGTGTGGAATTTGCGTGTGCTTTTCATTTTAGGAATCATGATGACATTGCTCGAAGGAAGAGCTACTTGTATATACAGCTTTAGGTAAGCTTGTGATAGGGCATAACAACGAATCGGCGGGTTGCAGCCTTAAGTTATACTGATAAAAAGGATTATAAGCAAAGGAAATAGAAAATAGACAAAAAGACGGCCTAGGCGGCGTCAAGCCAGTCATCAGGTCTTACGTCCTTGGTATAGATCAGTGACGCTAGATAGACTTCATATTACATCTTAAAGTAGAGGACTGTATAAAGAAAAAACAATGTCGACTAGAGGGTCATCTTTCACTGATGTAACTAGAATCAAATCTATATATAACTTGTTACATAAATGACCTTGCAACGCGTAACGAGGTCCATCGAGACTTGAGTTTTCTTCTCTACTGTGTCTTCGGAAAGTGTAAGACCAAGGCTGGCAAAGCTCTATTGAATATTGCAGTCCTTCTTAAACACTCAGATGGCAGCCAGCTTTGTCACTATATTTCCGAATTCGCCGTCATGTATACTCGTCTGGTCGTAACAGAATAAAAGAGGGACTTGCCAGTTCATGACTTCAAGTACTTCAAGTCGATGCTGCGAAGGTCAAGTCAAGTCGGTAGCTTTGAGGTCCGCTTGCGACTGACCATAATGCAAAGGTAGTGAATACCGACTCACTGCGTTTTCAAGAATTCTAGAATAAAGGTACGACGAGAGCTAAAAAGATAGCCGACCCATAAAAAACATACAACACCGGGTATTCGCTGGTGGTCACCCACCCAACTACTAATCCAGCGGTTACCAGTTTATCTATGGGAGAGCGGACGGGATCCCGAATTCTCTAGTACCTATGGTCGTATGTGCTGATGAGCTGCTCTGTTGGTACTCATATTCGGTCACGGAACGGTCGCTGCGCGGGAAAGGCGGCCGTCGCAAGCCAACTACTGCCCATGGCAGAACAAAGGCGCACAGTTCAAAAGGGTGGACCCAAGCGTTAGCACCTTTAAGAATTAAATATTCTTCAGAAGGTGGTACCAGCACTGGATCTTGCATTGAATGATGGGGAATGAGAGTGTCGCTCTGTATCGTGGTCTAGCGGTGCTGCAAGCACGTAATAGCGTACCCAAGTTCAAGAGGACCGTATACCGGATGCCGGGGTAATTCGACACTACTCCGATATTCGTACAGTCATATCTTCCAGGTTGACAGGTCATGTGGCTCAAAACAGTCCTCTGAGGCTGTGGTGACACGATGCATGTTCAGGAAGCCTCGGTCTAGTCTCGGCAATCGTAAATTTGCTCCCTCTCAGTGAAAAGTGACATGATGCAATTAATGTGCATGCCGCGTAACGCTTCTTGCAGTATGAGCAGCGCCGCAGGCATCGGGGCAACAGCATGCATGTGCGAAGGCGACGCACCGTGGCAACGTCCCCTAGGGAGGTAGATCTGCTGGTGAAACATGGGAAGCACTGACTTGATACCCAACGTCGTGTGCCGGTGGGAGTGACGGAAGGGCTATGGGCAGTGGCGTATCGCCTCCAAAACATGCAGTCGCCCGAAAGATGCCTCAGTGATGCCGAATGCGGTCAAAAGCAGAAAGTTGTGTGATCCTATATGCGTCAGCCCGTTGGGCGTGCCGGGCCGAGAGACTAGGGCAATGGCTACCACAGCAGCGAGTGTGGAATACACAGATATGTCCCGTAGAGTTCGGCATTTGCGTGCCCATGTACGAACAAAACATATCGAGGTGAAAATGACGTCGTCTGCTGACATGATAATAACCTATGAGCTTCAAGGGGCACCCAGAAGGACACAAGCTGAGAAGCACTCCAAACCACAATGTCAATATTGACTAGCGGGATTTCGAGGGAAGAATATGGGCTGATCACTCCTATTTTTCTATTGAGCACGTACTTCAGCTTCTAGAACTTCCGCTTCTTCTTAGCTGGCGCAGCGGCTTTCTTCTCGAGTTCCTTTGCAAGTTCCGCCCGCTTTCGCTCCGCCTTTTGTTCCTCGCTCTCAGTTTCAGCAAGCGTGCCCGAAGGTGACTCCCCACGGACAGTTTTCCTTTTTCCAACTGCTCCCAGCCTTCGAGACGTGGGTTTGGCTGAGGTGGATGGTTCCCTTCCGGAAGCCTCAGGACTTGCCGCCTCATCCTCTGGTGACACGGAGGTTTGCCTCATTTTATTTCCAACCCGCCCAAGCCCGCCAAGCTTCCGTTTTGGGGGCGGGGACGGGTCATTCGTAGGCGCAGGTGAAGCGATCTTTGGGGGTGCGTCTTTATCCGACTCTGAAGCAGTTTCGTCGCCAGTTTTGGTTGCTTGCACAGAAGGAGAAGCCTGTGGAGATGAACCCCTCCGGGGTTCGGTGTGCTTGGGTCTAATGCCGACCTGACCGAGGCGTGCTGCTGGTTTCCTTGGTGGCGGATATTTTACTGATTCTGTCTCTGATTCTGATTCCGTTTCATCATCCACTGTTGCTGTCTGCCGAGACGACTGGCTTGAGACGGGCTGCGTCGCTTTCGTCTGACCAAGAGCACCCAGGCGGGATTTCCCATGTTGAGCAGGAGCTGGGTGGCTATCTGGGATTGCTTCCACGTCTTCATCCGTAGTGTCATCGCCAATCTGTGCGTTGTCTTTCCTTCTCGAAGCTAGGTGTGGAGGTGTAGCTTGAACCTGGAAGTCATCGTCCTCATCTATGGCGGGCTTCGGCTGGTGAGTCTTAGCATCTTTAGAAGCTTCTGCGTGCCCTGGCTTCCCTTCCGGTTGCACACCGCTGATAGGCTTCGAGCCGATGCTAGCCCACCAGCTACTGATATCATCTGAGGCTGTCAAGCCCATATCAACACAGTGAACAGGCTCCGAGAAGACTCCCTGAACGAGCGAGGCCACATCATCCGGAACTTCCTCAGAGTCGAGGTTTTTAGACCGCCACTCGTTTTCTTTGAAAGGTCCAAGGCCCCTGACCTTCTCTTCCGCGAACTCCCTAGATGGCTTGCGCTTTCCTGTTAGGGTATTGAAGATATTGTCCAGACCTATTCCTTCGTTTTCCAGTTTTGTGAGAAGTTTGTCAATGATGGCATCTTTCTCTTTGAGACTGCTGATGAGCATTTCGATCTCCCGAGCACGGGTGTGTTGCGCCTGAATCAGAGGAAGCACCAACTGTGATGTCACCAAAGCCGAGGATCCCTTCTTTAACTGAAAAGGCCACTTCAGAGGCTTCAAATCGCCAGGCAGAATGCATGTGACCGTCAACCTGAGTCCGTCTTCTTCATGTTCGGATGAGGCAGCCAGAGTGAGGCTGGTTTGACTGTAGTCTTCTAATGAAGTATCAAAAGCGGCCTGTATCTTGGTCAACAAGATGGACATCTGCTCCGAGCCCTCGGTAGGATCGATACTGGTGTCTTCATTTAGACTGCGTTTCACAATACCCTTTCGATCTAGTGATTCAACCCAGACATTCGCCAGATCAGTAACGTGCAGTGTGTAAGAGTTCAGGCCAAAGTCGGGCAACACCAACAAGGCCGGCACATCCTTGAAAGTGGGGAGCGGCTTCCACTTCATCGTCGCCATGTTGAGAAGACTGCTGATGGATGTGTAATGCAGGTTCTGGCGCGATTGACGACCTTCACCTTCACCTTCACCTTCACGCCTGGCCTGTGCTCTGGAAGTACAGTACAAAGGAGGGTGCGGGTGCGACTGTCGTGGAATTATCAGTACGACGGGTACCAATTGCTCAAGTAGCGAAGGGCACGAGTGGCGGGGATGTCTTCTATAAGTTAGCTCTCATAGTCAGTCCGTGCTTGATAGGTGAGATGGATCGATTGTACCTAGGCGTTGGGCCAACGAGCCTTGCTGGATGTGTTACTAGTCGCGCTTGATCGCAGCCTCGAGGTGTGATGGCAGCGCCGAATGAAGTGGGATGGTCTCAAAGCCTTTGCTGGTACAACTCTGAACATGTGGTGATCACATACAGAGCTGCTGTTTGAATGGCTGCAGGTAGCCTTGCGCTCGGGGATTTGGGTATGCTGTATCAGGCAGACGCGACAACGATGGATCCTTGTTGTTTTCAGGCCTGAGGAGCGCTGGGGGAAGAGGGAGCACGGGCCAGTTCGTCCCCCCAAGCCGCCTGAGGCACCGACAACCACAGCTCTCGCTAGATTTTACTTTTACGTGAGACTTGGTATGCGATGAAACAGTCACAAGTCTCAGAGGCAAAGGAAGTATGGAGACGTATAGGACATCGGTCAATTACAGAAAAACCTCTGGCGGCAGCGCATCGTAATATAAACGCATCTTGCACGTTCCACAACGTGGTGTGCTGGAAAGTGGAACAACATAACCTCCATAGTGCAAGCTGGAACGGAACGTGCTTACAAGCGAGATAATCATGCGAGTCTGAGTAATGGAAAATTCCAATTGCGCACTCGTATGATTCACCATCACTTCTCAGCAGCAAGACGGGCTGGCACCTGTAACCGCGTCCGGCCCGGAGTGGATAAAGGAACGGACTGACCACCGCCGGAAGCGGCTTGGCCCGGAATGACGTAGTAGACGGCCATACTAGCCACTACGTGCCAAACCGAGCTCCGGCAAGCTCTTCTTCAACACGCTCGATACTGTATAGATATTTCGCCACAGTCGACTTCGGGGGACGCAATACGCCATGACGACATATGAGGCTCGGCGGTTGGAGAATATCAAGCGCAACGCGGCCTTGATCCACGACCTGGAGCTTGAACAGCACAGCATCGCACCAGCACCTCAGCCGCACAAGTCACGCCCGGTGAAGCGGCGTAAGTTAGAGACTGGACAGGCGACGCGCACTTCTAAACGCATTGCCAACGCGTCTACGCGTCCAAACTACAACGAGGATGCGCAAGACGCCCGAAAGATCTCCGTGTTGCAGAAGGGAGCGACGGCACGGACAAGAAAGGCCCCCGAAACACAGGTGAAGTCGCCAACACCAGAATCGGGCAAGGGAAAACTGGACTTGGACGCCATCCGCGCTGGTTGGGTCTGCTGGACGCCCACGGAGCCGATACCGACTCAGGATGAGTTTGGCACATACCATTTCTCTTCTCACCCTGCCTTCACGCCCAATAAGTCGCCCGAGGAAATCATACGCGAAGGCTGCTTTGGAGGCTCATATTGGCGACCCTTATATTCCAAGTATTTGAGGACTACTGTGGAGGGTGATTGGACGGAGCTGCCTGCACAGTGGTCGGCGAATCTGGATATTGAACGGTACCTCACCAGCTCAACGTACGACCCGGAGGTGAACAAGTACGGTGTCGCCTGCGGCCAGTCCATAGAGCAGTGGGAGGATAATGGCTGGATAGCACACGACTATGATGTCAGAGGGTAAGTGAGGTCCGGGGTTCAATGTTCGTTGTAACAACAAAGCCCGTCAGCCGCTTCTGCGCCCGCTACTAACTAAGTCAACAGGTGGTTCCAATGGTATTGCAGGTTCTGGATGGGCAGGAGATGCGAGGATGACGAGCGTCAAATTTCTCGGTGGAAGAAGTGTGTCGGCGAGACTGGGCGGTGGAGGAGGACGCTCTTGAAGCAGTATGTGCAGAAAGGGATACGTAGCGTCTTTGACGAGGGAGATGAAGATCAAGACAGAGGCGATGTGTCACCGGTTGTGAGCCAGACATGCTTGCACTGGGCATACGAAGTTAGACAGGATGCCCTCGATCGGTATTGGGCCGAGGGGAAATAATAACCGAACCTTGCGGTTTAGGTATACTGACTATCTATGCTACATCGCCATCATAATTCGTAGCCTATCAGTCGCTCTCAATTCTTGTACAATGGGGAGCCCTGTTCGCGACAGCAACTATGTACTCATGATGGACCAGGCGATCTGGACGTCGTGGCCATCGGGCTGGCCGCATATCATCGTACCGAGAACACCGACCAATCCACCGTGAGTGAAACCGGCAATCGCCTGCCCAACGGCTCGGCGAAAATCTTGGTTGCCGATCCTGCAAAACAAATGTGACATTAGTATTAATGTATCACGGGCGATCTCCGGTTGCATATGCGTTGATACATACCAAACACGTGAGTTGGCGCCGTCGGGGCGTGAGACCCGGAAGCTACAGGTCCCAGCGGATGCTATGCTCTGCGCGCTCGTGTCCCAGTCTGTCAAGTCCCAGTATCCACCTCGAGTGGCCCATAGATCAGCCAACACCTGACAGTCAGCGCTGCGTGCCGGAAGAATCCCCGGATCGGACACTAGAATAAGAGCGTTAGTCATAGGAAATAAACCATATCAAGTGTTAAGAAACCGTGAGCACCGGGGACGTTGTTGAGAGCTGACAGAATTGCTGAGCCTAAGAACAGTCGGATATGAAAGACGTTTAGACTCCTGGCATAATTGGCTTACTGTTCTTCCCGTCTATGCCGGAGCAGATTATTTGCCAGGAATCGGTTGGTACAAATGGGGAACTGAAGCGTCGGTCAAGCGAATGCCCATCATACGGAGATTCGGTGGCATTGGTAGGCTTGGCAGTTGGCATAGCCAAACCCAGTCCCTGGAGAGGGCCAATAAGCATGACCCAGAGCTTCAAAAGCTGCTTCATTCTATGGACGGCGTTTACTTGTGTGGTGATGTGTTTGGATTGTCAAAGAAATAGGAGTCTCAATAAAGTAACGGGTGGTCAATACTGGTTGTACGAAGCATGGATCAAGGAGATGGCTTAGAAACTTGCAGCTGCAGTTTGAATTTATAGTCTACTTTACTGTGTGGCCGGGCGAGTTCTCGTCATACATGTTTCATCCTTCTCGTGGATAGATGGTGAATATTATAAAGTTGGCCACTTCTACTTTACCTTTAAAACCATAGGCTATCCCCAGCTGCCTCGAGAGGTAGCGGGAGAGTCTGTAAACTTTTGACTTTGTAACTTCGGACGTCAGAAGTTCTAGGCTCATCTAAAATTCCGCCATAGGTCATGAGCAGAGCACCCCTTCCAAGTGCTAGGCTTTGTCCGCAGAGACTCTGTAGCACAAGTTAATTTTACAATGGAGTTTGTGGTATCACTTTGATAACTCAAACTGTGCGTACACAACGTCGACTGAGCTTGCAAGCAGGTCAACTGGCAATGAAGTGTCTGTATCATGTACCTGCACCTATCACAGATTGGGGAGAGTCTGTGTGTGTACCAAGAAAGTTCTCCTACCCACGAACACAAGAAGACTTTTAGTGTTAAGTCCAGAACGCTTAGAGTTAGTACGGGAAACCCCACGACGTACCTGCGTTGGCAAGATAGCTAGCTGAGAGTCTCGAAGCCAGGATAGGAATGAGACTTGATTGGTACACCGTCTACCCGCGCAAAGTCTGTTAGACTTGCTCTACATCTCTTAGCGGAGCTGAGCGTGAGATTGCCACAGTTAGGTAACCTCATGCCCATAGATAATACGTAAAAGATCATTCTACGAGACAATATATCTCTCTAAGTGAACAAATGTACTTCGCTCGGCCCTGAATGCACAAGACAGCTTACTCACGTTGAGCTTATCCACCTATCAAATGAGTGTTCATGAAAGCTGCACACGGCAGCAATAACTCCCCGACTACAAGTAATTTGCCCAAGTTCGTTGAATTGTATGATTATGTAGACACATCACCCCGGTAGATGGGTAGCCCTTAGATGCGACCAGTCAATTTAGAAGATGTGACTAACTTCCAGGTTACTTAATGTTGACAGCAGCCGATGTGGGGCTGCCGAAATACTACCGGCCAGAGCACCCGCAACCATCCCGCCTGTGACTCTCCAACGCACTCGACCCTCCTCATTGATCAACGCGGAACTTCTACAGGCACCACCGAGTCTGCTTCTTGACAATCCTTTACCTGCCGTCTCACGGGTTTCATGCCCCTTCGCTCGCTACACCGTTTAGCGACTCGACGCTGGCCACTTGTGACGTCACCAGTATCCGCTCGCTTGGAACGACGAGTGGTGACCAAGATGAGCAAAACACAAGAGCCGGCCATCACCAAAGTCTCGGACTTGGAGACTCGCGATGCAAAATGGATCGCCCTGAAGAAATTGGAGTTCACCGACCAAACGGGCAAAAGCCGCACCTGGGAAGTTGCGACCCGGAAAACCAGGGGCCAGGCGGGCGTTGATGCCGTCGCGATAGGCAACATCTTGTTGCATCCATCTCACCCGCCCGCAACCATGGTCGTCATTCAGTATCGTCCGCCCCTTGACGCGTATACCGTGGAGTGGCCCGCTGGTCTTATCGATGCCGACGAGACTGTGGAACAGGCCGCCGTTCGAGAGTTCAAAGAAGAGACTGGTTACGATTGTCGTGTCGTATCCATAAGCCCGGTACAGTCGGCAGATCCAGGCAGTAAGTGACATTCCGCTCAGCCCTCGATCCCCCTTTCCAACTCGAAGCTGTCTTGGGCGGCACATTCTCCACCGACAGACCCAGGCATTTAGTCCACACCAACGAAACGAATCTACTGAGAAACCTACTAACTTGGAATCACTAGTGTCCGACGCAAACAGTGAGTTCCATCGAGCCAAGGTCGCTACAACACGCCCCACGTGTCTCACAAGGAATTAGTGCAAATGGCCATGGTGGAGGTCCAGCTTGAAGAGAATGCTCCTCTCCCAGAACAACGACTAGACGATGGTGAACTGAGTAAGTCAACATTTCCAGGCAATGCCCTCGGGATTAACTGCGGCATTTGCTGTCTTGATCTCCCTGAGGTCGCCGTCAAAGAAGGCCCATGGTTGGCTAGTAGAAGATTTGGTTGACATTGTTTTAGTTGAACGTGTTACTATCCCACTTGCCGACTTCTACGAGCGCCTGGTAGAATATTCGAAGCAGGATCGCATGATCGTTGCCGCAAAGCTTTTCCATTTGTAAGTTAATTGGTAGCTATCTTCTACTCGTAAGACATCTGCTTTTTGCGTGTTTCTATGTTTTGGCTTTATGCTGTGAAGGTCACGCGCTTTGCCACAGTACATTGACAGGCGGCCCATCCATGTCACACGGGTTTTCACTTGATTTTACTAACACAGTATCTTGCAGTGCGGCGGGCTTCCACTTTGCACGGACACAGAAGTACATTTGAACGATTAGATGGTTGCATAAGGCCCGATAGGTTCTGACATAGACATGCGCTTCTTCGAAAGCTTAGTGACGCATTTAGTAATACATCTGAGAGCACTACAATTCGCTATTATCCATGTGCAATCATATCCAATTCCGTGCGAGATAACGTACATCTTGGAATTCCGTACGAGTAAGCAGCCAATGACCCAGCAAATCTCTGCAAAACTAGGGTCCATTAGGATTGCTTTAATTTTACTGATACACTGTTACGAGATCTGCGCCCTTGGCCTCAGGTAACAACATTCCTTCCAGCTCTCACATTCCAAGTCAGCTGGTTCGTTTCACGCCACTTCCCGACCGATATATAGTTTCTGGCATAATTACTACATTCCTTGCATGTCATCTTCATTATGCCTATTAAGATAGGCGGTCGCTTTTGCAATGGCAGATATACAAAGCGTGAGTCTTGACTCAACATGTCAAGTGCATATTATTATGACCAAGCCTTGTCTCGATTAGGTGCCCTAGAGGCTTGATTTAGCTAATACGTGTATGAGAAACTTGCTAGCATATGACATTGTCAGTGGTTGTCTTGCCCTATATTCTCTACGTGATTTGATTTGCTAATTTCTGATGGACAATATACTTAGTCTAAGGCAACAAGTGTTGTTCTGAACTAACGTTCTCTCAAGGTTTCCCTCCCGTGATAGCATACTTGGTTGTGGCCAAGTAAGCTCCCTTGTGGGTTTCCTCCACCGCCAGAGGAATCAGCCTCTTCAACTCAGCTGCCATCTGCTCATTCTGGGTCTTTCTTGCGATAAGTTCATGCATGATTAGACCGCACTCATGCATCAAGTATGCCCAATGCGGCGGGGCGGTGTGCACGTCCGCATCGACGTCCGCTATACCCCGATCCGAGAAGATCTTGGGCAGGTCTGGATCCTGCGACTTCAGGAGGCTCATCAGCTGCTCTATGTTTGTCTTCATGTTTCCCGGCTTTGTCAGTTCCCCGTGCACAGTCTGGTTGTCCGGCTCGACCCATTGCAGATAGCCGCCGGGTTCTGTGATGGACGATTTCCGCCTTGTTAGTAAACATAGCAATGTACCGAGTGGCATCAAAAGAACTAAGCAGTAATGGAAGAAACTACTCACTCCGCATCTGGATGAATTTATCCACTACAAGCGGGACCTCGTCTTTGAGCACAACAAATACCATAAAGTGGACATTGATGATATCAAAGGCAGCGATCAACTCATCAGGAACAGGATCACGTACATCCCACTTCTGGAATGTTATGTTGGCAGGGAAAGTTTCGGGTGGTGGCGCTGCATCAAATGAGATGTCAAGACCAACGAACTGCGTTGATTTCGGAAGCCGGTCATACGCATCGAGCAGCCATATTCTTCAGTGTAATGTTTGGTCAGATGCTTACGGCCTTGGCAGGTCGGAAGTTATCCACTCACCCTGTACCAGAGCCGACGTCTGCTACTTTGAGGTTGGCAGATTCGGTATGGATTCTCGGGTGAATAAGATATCCGAAGTCCTTCACCCAATGATGGTGCATCAAGTTGAGGCTATTGAGTGGAAACTTTTGTTTGGCACACATACTCTGTTTGAGAACATTGCGGCTTCGAAAAGGAGCATGTACCGACTGTTGTCGAGGAGATCTCGAGTGAATAAATAATCATCATTTGGAGCCATGGTTAGTCGTGGGGATGAGGCCATTTACGACGAGCTCTTTTTTGTCGGAGAGAAGAGAGGCAAGAAGAGAGGGACGAGCGGAGATTAAATGTTAGTAGTTTCGTGTGCATGTACCAAAGGCGTGTTGGCAGCATGCGCTGCTGCGATTGGCCTTTATCGCCCGCTCCGCAGCCTCAGATTTAACGTGAAGACAACAAACCCGATCAAATGTGCAGGGAATTCCGTACCTATCTTACTCAGAGATGAAAACATCTCTGCATTGATGCTGACAATCTAGAAAGATCGACATCGCCGAGGCGGCGGATTAAGGTGCACTTCGCTGGCAGCCGGAACCGCTCAGGCAAATAGTATGTCGGCCAGGTTGAACCTATCCAGAATTAGGTGCCACATTTCTTTAGCCTTTCGTAATATATTCGAACCGATCTATACTTCCTATGAAGAAGTACGTCATATGAAGTCTGTGATGATTGTTTCTTGAATTCCTTCTTGAAGCAACACTTCGTGCTAACTTTGGTATATGCGCCAATTTAGGTCCTCGTAAACCTCGGTCTCACAAGGCCTGTACCGTGGTTTCTCTTGTCTATCTAAGCCAGATGTGACAACATACCTAAAATCATCCTCTGTTTCACCGCTAGCCCTCTCATATCCTATTCTGTGCCCTTTCAGCGCTTTTCTAAGCGACTCTTCGGAAACTTGACGTACGTCGATAGAGCCAAGATCATGGCGAGCGCCTTCGGAGAAATCAAGTGCCAGTAACATGTTGCTTGTATTTCTTGCCCGTGGATCTTTCAGCATGGTGACGCTCGTTGATAGGCTGAGGTTTGTGAAAAGGCAAAGGCCGAGCCAGATGGTCTCAAGGATCAGTCCGATGACGAGAAAGTTGCTGGAGAACCCCCAAACAAATCCCGGCGCCGTGTTACAAATAATCCTCTTGTCAGCCAGAAATTCAGGGGGTATTGGTTCACCACGGTAGCAAATGCAGTTTCCAAGGCTGGTAAAAGGGCCGGGTTCTGGCCCTGTGCAGCCATACCCTATATCCAGAAATGGCGCGGCGAGGTCAAACTGGGTGCCGTTGAGCCACAAGGTCGAGTTGTATGGTACAATCCCGGGGTGATTGGGGATAGAGTTATCGAGTTGTACGTTCGATCGATACATCAGCGTACCAGTGACATCTGTATACCAGGATACGTGGCTCCCATTCATAGCATGAGTCGGTTGCTGAACATACTGGAGTGTTCCAATAGAAGACTCCAGCACATTTAACGAGGAGTTCTGATCGGTACATTTCGATAGGTTTCTGGAAATCGATGGCATCTGACCACCGGCATGATCCAGTACTGAGGAAGAACCAAACCTTTTCCACTCTGAGAGGTCTGTCGCTATCCGCAACAACTGCGCCGATAAAGTATCTACATCTAGGATGTCAAAACTCTCGAAGATCTGAATTCTGTATGCTGATACTTACATGCACGCAGGTTCAAAAAGTTTGCGGAAGGTTTGGACATATTAAACTGGTCCCAAATCGTCGGTTGTGTCTCCCAGCCTCCCTGTCCATGGCGATAAGTTGGATGTTGTACCGCTTGCCCTATATCGGCACATAGTTGAACTTCCGGTGTCTCCTCTTTGATGAAGGGATCTTGTAACTCTGAAAATACAGGGCCCAATTCGACATGGCCATTTGCCAGCCCAAGGCGTACCGAGTCCAACACCCAACATATGGCTAGATCTTTGGAATCGAGCGGTATCACATCACCGTTAGGCATCGCGTAGAGCTTTCGCGATAAGTTGACATATCCGGTCGTCGTGCTCCACAGAACCGTGAAGAGGATAGTGTATCCAAGAAAGAATACTAAAAGGACGCTGTACATGAGGACTCTCGCCTTATCAATGGAAGGGAACTCTTTCACTGTCATCAAAAGAGTCTCTAACGATGATCGGGACACCCAAACCGTCATGAAGTAGTCATAGCTCACGGTCGACCGTTCCATGGTGTAGAACAGAAACCTTTTTATCACGCATCGGTACAGTATCCAGCCGTGGAGTAGGCGGCCACCTTGTCCGATGATTGTATCCCATCCCAGATCGATGAGTTTAGCTTGGCTAAAGGCTAACTGTCCAAAGGTGAGGTCTAGCTCGAATGTAGCTTGCCAAGAATCCGATGCCGGATCGGCGCACCGCGGATCAAACGTACCAGTGGTCCTTCTGGCACTGTACTTGAGATAATCCACGGCGTACTTGAGTCCCACAGGTAGAGTGATGGTTCCGATTATGAAGGCGGCCACCACAAATCTCGACCATGTATTCGGTGTCGAACGGCTGGTTTCTTCTGGAGGCTTTCCTGAATTTTCGTCCATCGTTGACACCTTTGGTGTCACATCTCGAAGTAAGACAGATGTAAACAGTGATTGAGGAGACGTGGCCCTTGAGGTACTTGGATCAGTGCCTACTTCCGCCTGTGAATCCATTTTTCTCCTCTGCGAATATTCTTGGGACTTTTTAAAGATCAAGTTAAGTAAATAAGAACCCACACAAAGACTTCGTTGCGCAAGAATGAAATCCTACCAGATTTCTGATCGATCCACATGCTGTAAACGTGTCTTGCAGCCTTTTCAATCTTAATTTAGCCCCCATGGTTGCACAAAGCTGACTGCTTCCACCCTACCACTACAAGTTTGGCCCCCAGAACCCTGCCCCCCAAATCCGGGCATTTTGGTACAAGGTATGCACACAGACAGTTGTACCAGCTGCAGATAGGGATGCGGCTGATGCAGCTCTTAGATAGATAAGAACTTAGAGGATAAGCTAGGCATTCCTCGTCTTTAATACGTCACATAGCACACCATATCAGGATCGCATCACTGGCCCACCCTTACTCACCAGGGAGAATTATCAGAACAGGCGTACTTGACTCTTATTCAATTCGTGGGATTTAAAATAAGAGTTCATAATGAGTTAGACAGAATTCCCGTTACTCTAGTTTCAACTTCATGGACAGATAGGTCAATTTGTGGGTTTATTACGAATATGAAGTAATCACCCGACATGTCTATTTTGAAGGGTGGTAACCGCTGGAGTGTTTCCATCTCCGCTCGATGATGAGGCAGTTCTCGAATCAAGCGGCTTTGCGGTAGTAAGACTGCTACCTGCCGGCGACAATATCGTGCTCGATTCCAGCACTGTAGTAGTGGGAGGGCTGTTGTCTGTAACTGACGATGAGACAATTGTTGTAGTCAAGTAGGTAACCCTAGTCGATGTGCCCTCAGTGTCGCTGTTACGTGCAGCACTGACTTCACAGTCTGTTCCATATTGAACAAGAAGGTCGAATGTTGACAGAGAGCGTTCAAACGAACCGGGCGAAGCGTACAGCTGCAACTGAGACGGCACTCCTCCGGATTCTGTGAAACCCAAATAGGAAAATTCGTCGTCTCCAGCCTCGCATCTCAGTACCTGATCAATTACTCTACATCTTGTGGTGAAGTAGATGTCCGGATCAGCTTCGATGGCTGGTGAATTGTCTATCTCTAGTGATACGACTTGAGCATCATCAGCCGGACATCCTGGGACTACAATGTGATCCCTATTAACAGTAAGTAGTTCTCCGGTACTCTCTTGTAAGCTGAAGAGAGCAACAGGTCTGCTAGAAGCATTGCGCTCTTCGATGTACAAGAGACTCCCAAAACCATTCGCTGTTACGATACTGTCAACTGACAAGTTGGTGGTTCCTGCCCAGCGGAGACAGAAGGAACCCGAAGGTGTAGCTGCTGGGGATGTTGTAGACGTAGTCACTGTTGATGGAAGTATTGTAGGAAAAAGCGTCGTCGATGGGGATACTGTAGACTGGAGTGTTATAGGTGGGAGCATTATAGATGAGATTACTGTAGTCGAGAGTGTTGTAGATAACAGTGCTGTAGATGGAAGCGTTGTCGATGAGTCTGTTTTTGTAGATGGTAGGATTGTCGGCGCAGTTGTCGTGGTTGTCCCCATTGGGATGGTTGTCGATGTGATCGTTGTCAATAGCGCTGTTGTCGAGTTGGCTGCTGTCATAGATGAAAGTGTTGTAGGCACAAGTGTTGCCGATGAGAGGCTGGTAGATGAGGCGGCTGCGGTCGATGATAGTGTTGTGGAGCTGATTGCTAGGGTCCCGACTCTTGTCGACGTTGTTGTTATTGACCTTTCTGAGATGCTTTCTAGTGTCGTACTGCTGCTACTTATCGGATCTATGATCACCTCGGATGCTCTAGAAGTCTGGATGCTAGAAGTCGCTGAGGTGGACGTAATTACTCCAGTGGTCGGCACAGTGTTTATCTGAACCGATGAGGAGCTTCTAGAAGACTGAGCTAGATCAGTGGCAGAGGAAATAGGGGAACCCTCTTCAGGTACAATGACTCCATTGACACATTGCCGCGCTAGGAGAAATGTAAGTGACAGCCCGAGTGGTACATCGCGGTTGAACTATACCTTTATAAGCAATGATCGATATGGGCTGGCACTGATCTGGCTGATTGTCCCGGCCCATGAATGTTGCATAGACAACACCTGATGGGATTTGGCAAAACCTGGCTTCACCCCCCAGAAAGTTGTTCTCGTTGACCCAATGCAGTGTTGAATTAATTAGTTCGAAGGTCTTGGAGATAGATCGTTTGATTTCCGGTACCAGCTCTATGAATGGAGCACCTGGGTCTGTGGAAATGAACTGATTTTCGCTTATCAATTCGCCGTCGGCAATCAGAAATCGCTGACCCTCACTACAATTAGCCTGCGGATCGTCAGCACCGACGAAACCACCAAAGACGGCTTGACGCTCGGAGATATCGCGTTTCTGTTGGCCGTTTGCTTGTTGAATGCTGGGAGCGATCGTGAACAATAATGCTGCATCATCGGTCGTCGTGCTCGCTGTTGTGGAAGCACCAGAAGGACTTAGAGATGCGGAAGTTGTGGTAGCAATCTGGCCAGGCGACGAAGTAGTCAGGACCGTGACTAATAGGGTGGATCGAACGGCGGTTCTAGTTTCTGGAAGGACTCCGATACCTTGTAAAGTTGCATCGTCAGTATCACCAGATTGCATGTTGACCTGGAACACAATAGAAAATGTGGGTTGATGGAGCTTGAGCCATCAAACAGGCTACTCCTCATAACCTAGATAAGGAAATAACCTGTATGGGGAATCTCACATGAGCAAGCAGACGCAAATCGTGCAATGTTGTTGCAAAGTGCGGCATATGGAGGAAAGGCAACTTGCTCGCATGTCTCTTCATTCTGGCGAGGAGCCAAAGGAGTCGGAGAGGCTGTCGCAGTCGAAAAAGTAGATGACGCTGGCCGAGTGATGGTGGAAGTGCTAGAATTAGATATCAATGTTTGAACTCTACCAGCAACAGATCGACTTACGTGGCTGATGGGGTAATTGTCACGTCTAACCATCTCGAACAGTCTGCCACGCACCCGAGGCCACAGTCAATTCCTGCGAGTAGGTGTTAGGCTTTGAGGATAGTCCACTGTGTATTAGCTGGTCACCCACGGTTAAGGCAATCATCCCTTACACAGATTCCTGAAGCTAGGCCGGGGAGGCTAGATAACAGCCATGGCAACCTGTGTCGCCTCATGGTTATTGCTTCGCTCAGAGATGGATGGGAATTGCCTGACTGTTAGAATCAGTCCCATTCAAATACTACGCAGATGAACGCACCGGAGAGATTATGTTATTACTGCATTCCTACTCAGAACCGTGTTATGTGATTCTTCATCCTTGAAAGGGCTCGATGAGACACTATCATTCCAGAGCCTAAGGTGGAAAAACAAGCCAAATGCCAAGGGCTAGGCTATCAACTAAAATAAGTAAAACGAACTTGACAAATTCTGTATCTGTCAAGGCCGTCTTTCATATACCAAAGGTTAAGGCGAAAAATGTTTTTCTTGAATGAAGCCTTCAAGAGTCAAGAGCTAAGCAGATAGTTGCCGTTGTATCACTGCGAATAGTTTTTGAAAGAAGTCTGACCAGAGACCAGTGCACACCATGCAACGTAACGTGTTGCGGAATTCCAGGTGAATCAAAGACTTAGCTGCGTGTTCGATTCTGCCGTTGCAGATGCAGAAGATTGAGCCAGGTTGAGTCTGATGTCGTGCAGGATCTGCTCGGACGTATTGCTCTCTGCAGCCAAGGGTTCGGGGGAAGGGTTATCTCTGGCGGCTGATGCAATAGATTCCGGGAGATGACAACAGGTAAGGTATCTGCCAAAATTTTCTGGGGTGTTATTGACTTCCCTGGAGGCAGAACTGTCCCTGGTGTTTGTAGCAAGGGTTGTCAGGGGACGACAACAGGGACATGGTCCGCCAAGATGGCCGACATCGTCATTATTTTGCTGATTACCCAAAGCTGTCTCCTTGAAGAAGCCCTCTTCCAGCCTGCTATACTGGGGCAGCACCTTGGCAGGCAAGTTATGGTACCTCTTCGCGCAGGTGCGTTGTGGCTCAGATTGCGCAACTTTGAGGTATTTCGAAGCTGACCCGAGAACTTGTGGACTTTAGCTTAGGTGCACAGCCTGCTCTGCGACGATTGACAGCAGAAATTTCGATGGGTTGCGACTAGTTGGCTACTTCTTCTTCACTCTGATGACTTCGTGGCTGGTCAGAGATCTCTTTGTCACTGTGAGGTGACACGATGGACCTTTGCTATCGTCGTGAGAATGACGGCGGAGCGGAAAGTGTCTCGAGAGTGTGGCAACGACAGGCTTCGCGTACCAAAACTGAGAAGTCTCGAATTTGGATAGTGGTGCTTTTCGCGGTGGGGTAGGGGATCTGGAGGAAAAGAGCGTACAGAGGACGGCAGCTCTCGTCAAACATGGTCAGGTTACGAGGGGCTCGGCACAGGCTAGCTGGAGAAGCTGACATTTTTTTGAAGTGTTCTTGTCCCGCTTGCTTCAGCAGTAGACTTGAAGTTTCCGAGACTATGTTGCTCAACATCACAGCTCATGAACAGGCCATTGAGAGTTCATAGTTCTCCTTCGCCTTTTGAATCTTAGATTGCTTCTTGGGCGCATTAATTGGGGCACTGTCATTCTCATTCACATTTCCAAGGGCTCTGTGCTGGTTCTGACGATTGCCATAGCCTCTCGTGAGCCTTAGTAACCTCATTTTACGAAAGTTTCTTCACGGCAAGAATGCATCTCTCAGTCTTGAGATTCCTGAACATTCCTCTGAGTTTCCGGCACCTGTCTGGCATTATAAGATACCCGTATGGCACATAGGTCTCGAGTCTATGCTTGTCAAGCATCAGAGCTTGTGCACGGCTTCAGAAGAACTCGGCCACTGCTTTGGCTTTTCATGTGATAAAGCAAACCGTACGACTTTGACCTTTTCTTGAGTTATTGTGATGATATCCATTTCCAGGTACTGGATGATACATACTGTCGTACGGCCGCGCTGTTTTGGCTTGATTCACTGGAAAAGACATGGCTCCATTATCCCCTCATCACAGAAGAGGCTCCACTAGAATGTACGAGTGGCTGTGTAGTTCTTTCCCTGTCTAACCCTCCCTACACGAAACCAACAACTCGGTACTTGGCCCCTGTCTGGCGCTTGACCACCTGTACGCATTTACCGCGCCCAGCAGCGTTGCAAATGAGACACTTTCCATCCGCTTTGTTGACCTTGAAGTAGTCGTTGCTACCACACAGAGTAGTCAGGCAAATCCACGAGTCGTCGCAAGCCTCATCATTCAGGAAGGAGGTGACGTTCTCAGGACCATCAAGCCCGGCGGCAAGGGCTTGTAGGAACATCTGATGATCGACGCTTGGTGTCTCTAGGGTATTTGCGACGGGGGTGAAGGATTTGGGGATCGTCGTGAGAACGCGACAACAGTCTTGCCATTTCATGACAATGTCAGCCTCCTCGCCAGCATCAGCAGCATGATTCTCTCCCAGATTAGGATCAGAGTGTTCCCGCTTCCTTCTCTTGGTGGCATTACCAGCCGAGCTGCTCTCGACAGGAAGTCCACTCGGCGGACCCAAGCCGGGAGGGCCATCGTCGTTGAGGTCACGCTCCGAATTTCGTAGACCTACAGCCTTGGTCATGGGCGGCTCAGTCTTCGAGATTTGGGTCTTTCCAGGTATCTCGTCGACTAGCAAGCCTTCTGCCAGCTTTAGTGCTCGAGTCAGGCCGTGAGGGGCCTCACGCATAGCTGCCAAGAGGCGCTCCTCGAGACCATCGAAGCCGTCGTACGGATCGCACCACTGAGTCGTACGGGCAAGCTCACTGTGCAGAGGGTGTCTTTCTCTCTTGCCTGTAAAAAGGGGGGTCAGCTACTTCAAAGGGAAGAGGGGAAGGTTGGCTTAGCGGAACTTACAAATCTCGAACATTTCACAGAAGAGTGTCTTCTCGAGAACAGGCCGCGGTATGGCCTTGCCTAGATGGCGCTGTCGTCCACAACGGTTTGCTAGGACACGCAGCCTTTGCGAAAAGTAGATGACAAACGTGCTGTCATCGTTGTGCTCGGCACGTATACGTTCCAAGGATGGAACAAGGCCGGTGTACGGCATCATATTGGATGCCATGGTTGGCAGATCCAAAGGGTGATGAAAGTAGAGATTTTCACGCCCGAAATCGCAAGCCGAATCGATTGCAGGATATCGTGAAATGGGTGCGTGTGTATGAGTGTGATACTGTCGAAGTGGGTGGCGATTTCCCCTCGTTAGTGTGGGTTAATATTGAGAACAAATTGCGGAAATCCCAAAGTGAATTTATTGGGCCTTGGGCTGTTGCCTAAGGGACTTGCTGGCTCGCAGTTGAAACGAGGCACCAACAACAATGTGCTTATGCCATGACCTCTGAGAGATAATCTTCCTCTGGGAGATACAGGGTCGAATCGACATGAACATCTACAGTCCATGATGGGGCACTCCTATATTCATGATTTTACGAGAGGTTCAGCTCAGTCACGTCAAGAGCTGCGTACATGATCAAGGAAGCCAGGTCGTCAGTCTGGTGCGCGTAAATTGAATTTACGGGGTTTTCCCGAGGCTTATGAATTCATGGTTCTGCACGTTGTGCGGATGAGGACTCTATTGACACACGAGCCTTAAATACCTGCCAGCGGATTTTCATAGATATGCCCAACCCTGAAGAAGCCCACTTGGTAATTACACGACTTCTCCACGCAGTATTGTTTCATTTATATCTTTCTCGACGTCGAACTACTCTACTAGGTGCTTGGTGATAGCAAAGACGTTCTTGGTAGTTGTCTTTGCACTAGGTGCACCATGCAACAAGGAGAAACAATTGATTAAGGTCTCTTGCCGCTGTACCTTGCTGCAGGGTACTCTGGCAATGTGTTCGTCGTCGGCAAATTCAAAACAGCCCTCGTCGATTTGAAAATATGTAAACATAGGTGAAAAGTGTGATGCGTATGTAGCCATGCAGATCTGGTTGGCATCTATCTAGATCATCAGCCATTAACCCGGAAACCTGGATAGACGTACGGCCTGTGACTTCGTTATTCTTGATTTGAGAAGTCTAATGTAGCCAGAATGACGATGGACAGGAGAAGCCCGTGGCAGTTTTCTTCCAGTGAACACCTTCATGTATTGTTTCTGGTCACTATCTCTAGACGCGCTTCTCAGGTGCAAACCAACCAGATGAACACATAACCCTTTCGTTCTTGAATAGGCGACTTCAAATGATGGCCACGGTTCATATTTGGTGTCTTCAAGTCCTGTTAAATTCTCATACCCCAACTTACTATCATGGAACTCAATAATTAGACGAGGCGCGAGTAACCCCCTAGCGCAAGCCACTAGGCCTTGCGTGGCCAGTCAGGCATGTGAGCATGTCCTCAACACAAGAATAGGGCAGATCAGTTAGACACTTCGCAGCATCTCCGCCTGAAACCGTTTTGTTACGAACTTAAGAAGCCTAACAACTTCGTATGACTATGTTGAATGCGGTTTTCTATTCAGTAGTTCTATGCTTACTCAACGTGGGGATTTGTGCTAGCTAGTAGAAAACATTGGGGTCGGTGCCGCGTCAAAGACTATGGCTTCACAGGGACAACAGCCTATTTACGAAGAAGAAAGATAGAATATGTTACCTTGTCGGCTGACCCTACATATTCAATCCAGCCATGCATCTAGAAGCGCTTTGTGCCGGGCCTCCCGTGGCCGATATGACCTCCGAAGTTCATCGAGACCGGGCCCCCGAGCCCACTAATTCGTGGGTGGTGGTGCAGCCGCACGGGGACTAAATATTACAGCCGCCTCCAGGAGGCAATTATATGTTCAAGCCTGGAAAATACTCATCTCCATGGGATAACCTTCCGCTCGGGGGGAATTAGTCGCATAATTAAAAAACCCACGACCGCACCGTTGAGCGTGGACTTAATTGCGATGGGGCGGGGCGGGAGCGAAGTTCCCGAGGTCGCTGATCCCCAGCGGACTCCGGAATGTCTCCACCTGTCTCAGACCCCGGCGGCAGCCCCAAAGTCCGGGGTCCGGAGGATCCGCTGACGCCCTGTCCGTGCGTAGATTGAGCTCTCTCTCTCTCTCTATATATATATATATATATGTGCAGTAAAAGTATGCTCTTGTACAGGCGGATGACGCATTATTCCATACCACAAACCTATAACCGAGCAAGATGGTGAACGGAAACATTACTTTTGACGGTGAGTCATCGCAAGCGGTGCGTCCAAACGAACTGAGGGTTTGACATTCTCACAGACTACCTTGGCCTCACGGCTTGCCTTGTCGAATGGGCAGACAGCTACGATAGCAAGGACTGGCAACGCCTCAGGAAATGCATCGCTCCTCAGCTAAGAGTTCGTAATGCAATATTTCGTGGTGTGAATACGTTTTTTGACTGTCGGGCAGATTGATTACCGGTCTTTCCTTGACAAACTGTGGGAAGCCATGCCGGCAGAGGAGTTCATCGCCATGATCTCCGACCCGGCAGTCCTGGGCGATCCGCTTCTCAAGACCCAGCACTTCATCGGAGGCACCAAGTGGGAGAAGGTTAGCGATACTGAGGTCATTGGCATCCATCAGCTCCGTGTTCCCCACCAGCGATACACGGATGAGACGCGCACAAAGGTTGCGGTTAAGGGGCACGCCCACAGCACCAACACCCACTGGTACAAGAAGGTTGATGGTGAGTGGAAGTTCGCTGGACTCAACCCAGAGATTCGTTGGGGCGAGTACGACTTCGAGAAGGTGTTTGCCAGCGGACGTGATGCGTTTGGTGACGAGGCAAAGACGGAAGATGCCAAGGCCGAGGGTATCCCGGCCAAGTTCCAGGAGCGGGTCTCCGTAGCTGCTGTTTGAATATGTTCATATGTAAATACTAGTACGAGTTGTTAAGATTCCCCAATATTGTTGATGTCCCTGGCCAAGAGTGTGAAGTGCCGAGTCCTGACACGCAAGACTCATCGGCCCAGCCACATGCTAAATTACAATTGGTACGTTTTCGCATCTATTTTCACAACTCCGTACTCGTATAAACCTTCACAGTCCCAGATGAAAAAGCCTCATCGGAAGAGATGATAAGCAACGAAAGCGTCGTTAAGCGCCTAGGAGTCATCAGGTGATGGTGTTCAAGATGTTGACCGCTGTCCAAGTTCCGGCTGGGGACACTCCTAGGTTCGGTCAGCAGCAGCGATGGCATTGATAGGGTGACAGAGGCTTCTGCCAAAGGTCAATCGGTATCGCATTGCACTATGTGAGTCAGAATAACGGCAATCATATTTTAATAGAAAAGATGCTAACCTTACAGCTTCGCCGATGCAGAGACGATGCCCTGTTCCAACAGATATAAGGACGAAGACCCCGAACGACTGATTGCGAATAGCCGCTGCGTTGACCCTGAATGTCGACCATTCGCCGTGTTTACCTTTGTTTACAGATCAAGAGGTAAGTACCTGACTCATTCAATACCCTTACATGTTCTCGCAGTCTCCACAGAAGCTCTGTTCCTGGAGGGCGTGGCTCCTCTACCGCCATTCCCTGCATTCATTCGGAAGGCTCGCAGGGGTAGTTTCAATCTTGTGAGTAGATGTTGGAATCTTTGATATACAGTCTTCTTTGACAGCGAATTTAGCTCCCCGTGCAGATCTCGGGATCTCCCGTTTATTTCAGAGAGAAGAAATAATCAGACGCTTCGTAGATCACTCGAATCACTTGGATGATCGGAGATTCAGTCGAAGTAGCATATCCGATCCTACACTGCAGTACCAATTGAAATCCTGCGAAGCCTCTGAGATTGCCCCGATGGTCCAAAAGCCTTCTTATCACGCAGGACATATCAATGCAGCCGAAACAGCAGGAATATCCCGTCGTGTAGCCTTGGTTGAACAGGGGAAACAGTGTAGATGGCCAGGGCAGGATTTAACTCTGAACACTTTGTGACAATTCGTTGTTCTACTACTGAGCTCAGGCAACTCAGTGTGCATATATGTAAGGGCATCAAATCAATGTTTACAGCCATTGAGAATCTCGTCACAGGCTGCTGCAAACTCGAATTCATGAACTTGTGGAAGCCCTGTACCGAGCATTCTCAAGTACGTTCAGATACGAGCGTTTCCTAACACTGCAACTGGGAATGTATTGTGATAGAGACTCTCATGCGTCACATACTGACAAACCACCAATGCTCATTGGGCACACTTCTGATCACATAGTTCTATTCATTTGCAACGGAGCTCACAACACTTTTAGTCCCATCCATGCATGGTGGTGGCCAAATTTCACCGTTTGCTTCTCAAAGCATTGGCCGTAATGTCGCCAAGCTCATCGGCGCCGGTGCGTAGATGACCTCTTCAGCGACGACCGCTTCTGAAACACACATGGTTTGTGTGACCCTTCTTGCGCATGAACTCCGTCGGTGAGAACTTGTAAGTGGCTTCTCGTATGAACTTCTCCACAAGCTCGGTTAGGGTATCGTTCATCTTCTCTTGGTCTTCCTTCAGATCTTTCATGGCCTGAAGATCAATGGCCAAGCGCTGGTTGTCAGGTCGGCGGTTGATCTCCTCCAGCAGTGCTCTCTTGTGCTGCGAGCACTGTGAGGCAAAGCTGGCCGCTATGTTCTGGAGGCGTCTTTTCATGTCCTTCAGACGACTCATGCGTGTTGCGTGCCTTGCCGAGCGCCTCTCTTCTCTAAGCATGTGGATATTTCGATGCTCCGCCTCGATTACTCTCTGGCCTCGCATCTGTTTCATCTGAGCTGCATGCCTCATTGTCTCCGCTCGAAGTCCTTCGGCCTCCCGCTGTTGGTATAACACCTGCGCCTTCAAGTTCTCGATAACTTGCGCTCTTTCGTGGAGTTGATTACGCAGGTAGTTGTTCTCGTCTTGGGCACGTGTGATCAAAGTGCGTGCTGCTTCGCTGCTCTGGCGCGCTTCTTCAGCGACTTTTCGTTGAGACATCTGCAGTTCCTCAATCTGTGCCTGGCGAACTGCCAAGTCGTCGTTCTGTCTTCGGTTATGCTTGATCTCGGCCTCCTTCATAGCCACGAATCGGAAACGCAGCGCGGCCTCGGATTCCTCAAGAACACGGATTCGGGTGCAAAGGGTTTCGTGATCTTTTTCGTTGCGGCTGATGATGTCTTCGTAGCTGAGAATGCTTAGGTTAGGCAGTCGTTGCGCTTTCAGGACCCGCCGGCAGGCTTCAAGGCTGAGCTTATCAATGTCGACCACCAGGGACGGCTCTCCGGTAGGCAGAGAATCCATATTGGCCGAGAGGAGATTGCAATGTCGATCGCGTATGAGGGCTACCACCTGATGTCCCAGGTAGTCTGGAGAATGCTGTCTGGAAGGCGCGATGGCCAATCGTCTGAATTTGGCTTTAAGGTATTTGGTTTAGTTGTCCGCTGCCTGGAAGCTGGCTCACAGCTGACTTGTAGTTCAGAAAAAATGTATGAGATGAGTTCTTTGAGCGTGCAATTAAGTTTGTCAGAACCCTGCGTATCCAATAGATTATTTGCAGAGCTCAAAACAGTCGCGTGGGAAAGGTTGGTTACTTCGTCACCTCGTAGTGTGGACCGCTCCGTTTGCATGTAATAACATTATTCACAGATTCTTTCACCTGGCGAAGTCCTAGAAAAGCTCTTTTTCTGACTGGTCAGAGCGCTGTAAAAGAACTCGACCCTATGTCCCGGTTCTTTGGAACCATTTAGTCTTCACACACTGTCACGTCAAGAGAACCCGTTCTTGGACGTCAATTATGGTCTAGAGAATAACAGACATATTCACTGGAGTTATGGAGGATCTGCGATTCACTTTCAGCCCATCCCTCAAGATGTATGGACTCTATCCTCTTGTAGACTACCTCCCTTTGTCAGAGCTTCACGACTATTACTCTTCCAACTACTTTTATCATGCAATTGTTCAACATCACGGTGGCCAGATTGAACTGGCTACAACATATCCACCTTCAATCATTGCTGAGACCAAAAAGCTGCAGCTCATGCCCCAATGAGACAACCCCATCTCGCGAGGCAGAATGAACAATCCTCCAGTAGCATAACTCTCAGTATAATCCATCACATTTGCATGCATGCAGATCAGTGCCTGTAATTCTCTGTAGGTATCCACCAGCTGTTTGCTCTAGGCCAGGTGGTTGGAAGTTCCATGATACAGAAAGTATAGGGCGTACTCAGCAGAAGATCGTCTCGTAGGTAGACTCCTGGTCGACGCCGGAGGGAATGCGTCTGGCCTTCAGCTGCATGAGTCCCGGCTTCGCAGTTCCCTTCTTCACGATGAGCTTCTTGAGTTCTTCAATGCTCTCATCATCACTCGAGTCCGTAGTGTCGTCCTGGAGGCCATCGTCTTCAGCCGTGAGCTCGGCGAGGCGCTTCTGAAGCTCCTCGTTCTTCTGAGACAGTAACTCGTTGCGCTTTGCCATAACACGGGCATCTGACGACAGTGCTTCGATATTCTCATTCAGGTCCTTGACTTCGATGATTCGCTTAGTGACATCGTCAGTGGCTGTTGCAAGCTGCGTGGCAAGGGCGCGCATTTCTCTTTCGCAACCCAGAGGCTCAGCCATGAAGCTCGAACTCTGGATAGCACAGCCGAAGGCCTGGACCTGGGCCTGGCGTTGGAGTCTGCGGTTCTCCAGCTCGAGTGTCTGGCATCGGCGGCTGAGATCCTTGGCCTCCTCTCGACTAGCGGCGAGAGCCATCGAAAACTCCTCAACAACATCCTTCAGGGACGCGGTCTTCTTCTTGAAGGATTCGAGTTCGCCTTCCAGATCCTTTTTGGACTCATTAATGGCAATCAGCTCAGTCTGCTGACTCTCGATGATTGAACGCATGAATTGCACGGTGTCATCATGCTCCTTGGCGGCTTCATGGGAGTGAGACTGCTTCTGGGCGTAGCGTGTCCAAGCCTGCTCGCTGTGCTCTTGAGGTAGTAAGCATTAGCACCTACCAAGAAACATGCAAACGCAGTTGGGGTGTGACCTACGGATGGTATCTGCGATCGAATCGAGGCTGCCCACGCGCTTGAATGCCTGGATCAAGGCGACAGGCACTGCGCGACTGCCCTTCCGGCCACCGAAGTGCAGGTTGGGGAGAGCTTGCTGCTCGATGAACTTTCCTGCGAAAACCATGATGACGGATGCAAAAAAGCCGTCTGCTGCAAGCAATGAAGTCCTCGATACGGATAGTAGGCAATGCCGCAATGTAAACCTGTTGAGGTGAGAAGGGAGGTAGGGAGATCAAGACTCTGTAGTCTTAGGAAATGGCAATGTTCCTCAGAAATTTGTAAGTGCCTGGACCAGAAATTGGTGCCCACGGCAACAGTGCAGAAAAACGTTGCGTGAAATGGCAATTGGCCGATAATGAGCCTGAGAATTTCAAGCAGCTGCCAAAGCCCGCTTTTCACCAGACACACGATGGAATAGCAGGCAGATGAAAACCATAATCCGTTCAAGAACGATGCTAATTTTGATCAAATGAGGGCCAATAGGTAACTTGACTGTCTTCTGCATAGCAATACTCTTATCCCGGCCATTCTCAAAGATGTCAAACAATTCCAGCGGATTATTCCGCAACCTTCTCTGACCTGATCCGCGGTTTCATGTGACTTGCTTTGTATTGGACTGTAGAAGTGATGATTTATGAGTGGCCATTGTTGACGCAGTAGGTGAACCTGAGGTTTCCGAGAATTTGATGTGAGTACGATGCCGTGAGTATCTCGTGGCAAGTACCACCATTCATGACTACTTGGTTCCGGCTAACAAGAACTCAGGTCGCAATTGAGAGAGATAATACTCAGTTCGAAGGGGTGTTTTCATCCCATAATGGTCATGGAAATAAAACTTCCATTGTTCAGCAGACTGCCACTAAAGACTTGAGTAGTACAACGTTAAGAGCGCTTCTCAAGCGCGGATGTAGTATCAACCATTCTACACCCGAGCCAGTGGCTTGGTATGTCCAGTAGCATAGGGCCTACATAATGCCTTGAAGCTGCAGATCATACCTCACGTCAGAATTGAACCATGTAAGTTAATCAGTCCATGAAGCACACCAGTATCTCCTACATCTACGCACCATATCGTCCGATGGTGAACTATTCCATCGCTAGGTCAACATAGGTCTTTCATTGACATGTAGACTTGGCTGCAACGGGTCAGGGGCCGCATATGGAGTGCCTTAAATCATGAGCCTCTGGTAGCCAGTCTTGGCGCCAGGACTTATTCCCTCCAAACAAGAATACCTTTTGCGTACAGTCCAGCAATGATACCAACTTTGCGCTCTGCATCCAGAGCGGCAGTGGCGCTTGATGGATAATCCGTGTCAGCGTACAGGTGTCTCAATCCATCAGTCTCCGACCATTCTGAAACCCAAGAGCACGTCTTCCCAGTTCTACAGTATTCTTGCGTAGCCTGATCCGCAGCAGCAAACTCGGCGGGATCATTACAGATGTAGCGGGTTGCAGCAAACTTAACCAAACTGGGGGGATGCGGATGCCCTGCCATTATCAGTCGCCCATCTGATGAGAGGGACAGATTATCGACGTTAAACGGGAGGGCGATCCTGGAATGGTATAATAGCTTAGGTGTTGAGCCGGGCTCAGCGTCATTGGTGACGGTAAAAAGCTTGACAGATCCTGAGCTCGTCGATGCTACGGCCAAAGTCGTCTCATTCAGCAGCTCGATTCCGTTGGCAAATGGAACACGAGCCACAACATTGGCAGTAACCATGGTAGCGTCTGAGATATCCACATGAACGACGGTACCGAGAGGCAAGCCAAGATAAGTCTCCGCCTGTGACAAGAGGCGGCTCTTGGCCATGAGGAAGAAGTGGTCATTGGTTACAAAGAACTCTTTGCTGTTTCTGACAACAATAGCGTTGGGTCCATGGATGAGAGGATGTTTGATAGAACGGACGTGGGTGGCAGTCAAGGCTTCGAAGTCGAGCTTGAAGATGTCTACCGCTGGGCCGTCGTGTCGGTTGTTTGCCACTAGCAGTGTCGAGGAGTCCTCATTGTACCCCATTCCGAGGGAGTGAAAGTCCTCGCCAGGGGCATAATCCACGAAGTCAAAGCGTTTCAGGGATTCTGAATCAGGTGCACCAGAGTTCTTGTAGTCATAGGCATACAACTCGCCCCTTGGGACTGGTCCAGGAACGAAGAAACCCTGGACGTGGTGTTTAGTTGAGGGTGTTTGGTCAGTGCGTATATGGTAGTGTGAGAGAGGACTTGCCAGAAGGGGGACATACCATTACGCTGTTCCATCTCTCCCTTCCGGGGTCGCACGGAAGCAGTGCAACACCGGCAGACTCGATCAGCAGAGCATCTTCACAGCTTCTAATCTTATCTGCGAACTTGATTTCATGGCTACTGAAAGTATTTATGCGAGGCATTCTATCTGGCGCATTGGTGTAAAAGCGTGAGAAGCTCTCGAATCTTCCTAGAAGCCATGGGCTCAACAAGGCTGCACCAAGCACGATCTATCACTCAGTCAATGACAAATCACGCGAACGCATCGACAGACCCGACTTACCAGTGCAGATCTGAAAATTGTTCCCAGCGACATCGTAGAAGTGCTGCTGTCCCAAGTGTCAAAGGTTGTAGTATAGAGTGTTCACTCTAGCGCAATGTGGCACGAGATCGAGTTCTTGGTATCTCTGGCAGGAGTGGGGGGATTCAAGTTTGATGTGCCGGATACCTCGGGGGGTCGGCAGTTCAACGACGCGTTTCTTCACTTGGAAAACTGGCGTGGGGTGCTCTCAAGAGAATGTGACGTACTGCACCACAATTGGATGAGTAATACAACCACATTTGCCTATGCTCTGGATTTGATGGAAGTTCTGTCCGTGAGTATTACAATCCCCTTGATCAGTCCTATGGAAGTGCTGACAGGCGCAGACCAAGTCAGATTGGGGTTTCTCCCCACTTCGGGGCGATCTGTGCAGCACGCTGTCCACCGCTAATTTAGCGTGCCCGACACGCACTGATTGAACAGCCAGCATGACCGTACATCGTCTCAAGGCAAGAGTTGCTGGCTTTTGCTTTTTGCGTTTTGAGGCGCCAAAGTACAGCTCACGTTGTCTCAGCTGTCGTAGTATTCCAATTGGCAAGCGATCTGTAAGTTACCGCCATCGTCCATTTGTACACTTCGCGGCGCAGTTGCCGATCTCGGTCGACCAGCTACCAACCAAGGCAGCCTGTAGCAAGGACCGCACTCAGTAATAGTTTCGATTGGATGTCATGGTATGTACTCAATATAATTTCTCCTGGTGTAGATGCCACCAATATCCTTGCATCTCAACTATCAGGAATGCGCCCGCTTCCTAAATTGCACCAAAGGACCTTGCCGTAGACTCACAAAGGCATCGTATGTCTGGTACTGGCCAGCCGCTCTGCGTCCGACCTTCGCGTTCATGGATCCTGCCCCAAGATCGTTCATGAAATCGGGCCTGATCTCAAAATCGAACAGAACCTTTGCCATAACAATTGTCATTTCCATCCATGCCAGCTGTTTACCTGGACAACCACGCGATCCGTATGAAAAGGAACAAAACCCAGCTTCAGCCAGCTCAACGCTCTCCTTCGTAGACCCGTCTTGACCCACAATCCAACGCTCCGGCTTGAATGTGAACGGGTCCTGGAAAATGTCCTTACTATAACTCAAGCAGTACAAACCGACACTCACGTTCACCCCCTCGGGAAAGTAGTGTCCATCGACATGTGTGCCCCCTTTCATGACCCGACGAGACGGTTCCGCGCTGACGGCTGGTGTCATACGCAGGGCCTCCTGGATAAAGGCACGCAAGTATGTGCAACTCCCTAGTTTGGGGCCCGTGGTGATCTCGTCCGAACTTGAGAAGGTGGCTAGGATCTCACTGGCCACTTTCGCCTGGATAGTCGGGTTGCGAGCAAGATAGAAGAACATGGCGGATATGATGATCGCAGTAGTATCCGCTCCGGCGATAATCAGTGCCTCGGCCTCGCCGTAGAGCTCCTCTAGGGGGAAGCCGCGCTTGCCTGTCTCGGGATCAACTGCATGGAACAGGTAGTGGAAGAAGTCCTTCCGTCCTTTCAGGTTGCCCGATTTCTCTGCCTGGGTGCGCTTGGCCAGGCATTCCTCCACGAAAGCCTGCCAGTTCTTCACCGCTGGTGGGGAGATGAATGTCAAGATTTGGTCAAGTCCACGAGGCTTCAACCATGCCCAAAGCTCTGCAAACGGGGAGTACGCGATCGGGTGCATCAGTACTAAGAACTCAGCCATGAGGTGCGGAACGAAACGCAGGCCGCTGTCGGGCTCCTTCATGTCAAAGCATTTACCGAAACAGAGGTCGCCCAGGATATCAAAAACCAAGTAATTGACCCATTCTGCCATGTTCAGCGACTGTGACCAGCCTGCTTGGTTGTTCTCCAGTGCGATCAACTCACACCAGCGTTTCGTGTTCGCGAGTACAAGCGGCTCTGCCGACTTCAACGCTTCAGCAGAGAAAGACTGGTTCAGCACACGTCTCTTCCGGCTGTGAACATTTAGGTCGACACTGCTCCACGTTGTTACGGCATCCACGTTGCGAGGCCATACTTCGTAGTATACTCCTTTCTTCACGTTGCCCTTGGGGCCGAAGAGACTTCGATACGCAGTTGGGGTATTGACTAGGACGCTGTCTGGGCGGTAGCGGAAGGTGGGGCCTAGTGGTCCCTATTGCGTTAGCGATCGGAAGTACGAATATAAGCGAGACGCGGCGGGTGATCTAGATACATACCGTATTCCTCTTGCAAGCGCCAAAGCCATATGTGACGATCACGTTGCAAAGTGTGCCAATAAGAGGGAATCACCGTCAAACGGGCCCAAAAGGGACCAGGATAACTCGACAAAGGATGGAAATAGAGCCTGTATATCGCAGTTGAGGCGATGTATGCGAGGATGAGTATCAAGCTTCCGGCAAAGACATTGGCTGTCGAAGCCTTCTCGAGTATGCAATAGAGGCCCATGGTTTTCACACGTCTGCAGAGGAACTCTGAAGATGATGACGGTAGAACGTCTACATGCAAAGCGATGTACGGAAAACGAGTGCAGTGGTTTTTAAGATTAGATTCATAGTTGAACATAAAAACCAGAGTAGTAATGAATATATTGGGCAGCTCTGGCATATCACAGACCTTGGGCAATCCATCCATCTGAGCTAAACTCGGTATGGACCTAGTGGCAATCCCCTTTTCTTTCTTATTCGTCCCAATTATAACGTCTGACCACCAGAACCAGGCCACCTCATGGCCCGGGCCACCATACTAAAGCCTCGACTCTTGAACGCGTCACATAGGGTTACATTCACTAATTTCCGAGCATTTAGCGCGTTGAACGAAGTGGATTTGTATAACTTTAAATATTATACAGTTGAAATATGTGTGATGAAGCTTCAACAGATGGGTTGGTCGAGCTCTATGGTATCTTCGCTCCGCCGTGACATTTTACATCTTGAGGATAGTGATATTTGCTTTTTGCAATGAGGTAGGTCTAGACCATCCGTAGGCAGCCATTTCCCGTAATACATGCTTGGCTATCCAGTCACCAGGCCCTGATAAGCATCCTTGCGCTCAGATCGCGGTCAGATTCCTTCACGCTAAAGAAGCCTGCCAATAGTCAATATTGAATGTGCCGTATCCCGCGACAGGCAGATCCACCATCCCACGGTGTTATTGCTTTTGGTAAACCAGGGCATGAGTCGCGCGGGTATGATGAAGCCCGAGGGTCCCATCTTTCACACTCGTGTAAGTTAATCCCCGTCCGTCACGCTTCTGGTGGAAGCAATCATGCTGATTGGTTGGCAAGGGGTCATGGGAGAGAGCTTTACGAAATGCTCCTGTCACCCGCCCCTAGTCCAGGTAGTCTATTGACTTGATGCACTTATCTAGAAAGATCCAAGACTGCCGTCTCTAGAAAAGGACGCTTAATTGGCCGGCCCGCCCATTAGCTGATATATCGAAGATCAGAGAGCCAGGTATATTCCTGTCTTTCGCAGGCTTATATCAAAGCAGGTCTCGAAGAAGAGAGTCTTCCGCTGATTGCGAAACCCCAGTGTCTCCCTTCGGAAGACACGCGACATGATTATAGTCCTCGCGATTTGATTGCAGTACTCTTTGATAGTCGTTGGCCCTCCCGCTGCATAATGTCGACATTAATGTTGCGATGGGCGACAATGTTGAAGACAGACCATGGAGGGCATGATTCGCGCTGTTGAACTGTTCAACCTGGTCTCATCAATTTGGTCTTTTGTATCTTGGGAAAACCGATGACCTGTGCCACTTATCCCTACCATCGAGGTGAGGTATGCATCAAATGACTGTGATCCTGTCAATGTTACAAGACGTGACTCCTTCTTACCCCCGACTGCTCGCAAATGGGACCCAGTATGGCGGACTCTTCAACAATCCCCGAACTTCTTGTGGCCGATGTCTGAAGCGGTACGATCCAATCATATCTTACATTGATCGTGGTTGAGAGAGGAAGTTGATACAAAAGGTGGTCAACTCCGTGCTATCTGCCGGTCTTCGATGGTGAGTTTCCTACACGGACCTCTATGATTCCTTACCTTGACTCAACACTGCACCGAATACTTGTTGCCATCATCAACATGATGTACTTTTACGCTTTACCCGATCCCAATTCGGTCCAAACTGTCATCGAGCGCTTCCAGCGCGACTCACCTTCAGGCAACCACAACTCGTTTTGTGCTCTCCCATGCGCTACGCCTACAGGCTGCCGGGTTGTGCTGGTGGGCCTAGATTCTCATACCCCTGAATGCTGCAACGGCGATCATGGTGATCACCCCGCGCGACCGACTGACTCCCATAGAACTCAACCTCATGACACAGACTTGAGACTTCCTCGCGCAGCATCCGGACGTACGACAGAGAGCCCCGCACTGAACCCGAATCCCGACACTGCAACCCAGGACCAAGCCTCTGGATCACTATGCCCTGTGTGCAGAAGGCCTTGCGCAATGCATGCACCATGGTGCCCATATTACATTGGCTGGCGGCACTGATATCAACGAAGTCGAATAGCAACCGGAAGGGTTTAGAGTAGAACATTGTTTCATCCGTCATCGTTGAAATCTGTATGTAGAGGACGCTTCTTCCAGCGTGAGAAAACGGATTGTAGAGCAAATACACTCAAGCAAACCATGCACACATTAAGTGTGATGAACAACTGGTAGCATGCAGCTTGGCCTTCTGTGTTTTTAGGAATAGCATTACGGTCATCCCTGCGAGAGACAACTATACAACACAAGGAATACGTTGGAAGCGAACTGTGACGATTGAACAGAGAAACCACTCAATAATAACGATGTCCTCTATCTATCATAACATGCATCTATTGTCTATTTCACCTGGGCATCGTTCTTCACCAACTAGCTCAGCATGCGGGAAACGGCTTAGGCGAGGGACTTGCAGTCGCCATCCTTGAGCTTGCCAGCGCCGACCAATCTCTTGACCTCCTCGGACCACACGCCCTTGATCTCATCAGCCACCTTCAGGCCGTTCAACTTGCCAGCAAGGGCAGCGATCTCATCGGGGTCAATCTTGCCCTGGACAATCTCGACGTCACCCAGGACAGCATCGATCTGAGCGGCACTGGCGTCGCCACCGGAGGCGAAGTAGTTGGCGTCCTTGACACTGCCCTTGAGAACACGCTTGTTCTTCTTGACAGCGTTCTTGGCAGCCTCCTTGGCCTTCTTGTTGGCCTCGCGCTCGGTCTTGGCCTTCTCTTCAGCCTCCTTGGCAGCCTTCTCCTCGGCTTCCTTCTTGAGGCGAGCGTCCTCCTTGGCCTTCTTCTCGGCAGCCTCCTTCTCGAACTTCTTCTTGTTCTTGGCGGCGTTGGCCTCCTGCTTGAAGCGCTTGATACGCTCGTCACCGGCCAAGCAGTCATCGACCAGCTTGCGGAGACGGGTGTTGTCCTCGGCCTTCTTCTTCTTGCGCGAGTTGGTGTTCTTGCGCTCCATGTGTCGCTTCTGGTCACGGTTCTCGTTGTCATCGGGTACATCCTCGTCGAGGTACTCGAACGATCTCCAGCTGTCGAAGTTGTACCAGAAGTTGTAGAAGGTGTCGACGTCCTCCTTGGTGGACTCGTCGTTACCGAGCTGAGGAACGGGCTGGACCCTGCTGAAGCGGGACTCGGACTTGAAGACGCGGCCCCATTTCTTGTAGAAGTCCTTGGTGGCCTCCTTCTTGCTCGGGGGCTCGACATCGGCCTTCTCGTCGACGGAGTCGAACTGGCGGCGCTTGACGGGGTCGAGCAGAACATCGGTAGCCTTCTGGATGCACTTGAAGAAGTTGTCGTCCTCGGTGGCGCCCGAAGCAGCCTTCTTGTCGGGGTGGTGCTTGAGGACCTTCTTGCGGTGGGCACGCTTGATCTGGTCCTCGGTGGCCTTCCAGCGGTACTTGGAAAGACCCAGGACCTGGTAGTGGTCTTGCGACTGTGCGTGTGTGTCAGCATGTGCGAGCAAACTTTGCCAGGGCTAATGGGACGGCGGGAGATGTATACCTTCCAGTCCTTGGCCTCGCGCTGGAGCATCATGGGGTCCTCAGCCTCGCTCTCATCGCTGTCCTCGTCCTTCTCGATCTTCTTGGCAGCGTTCTGGGCCTCGATGCGGTCATCCTCGGAGAAGGTGCGCTTGTGGCGGGCGCGGCGGGCGTGGGCGAGGAAGTGAGGGCCGATGGGCTCGATGGTCCGCTTGGTAGAAGCAGTGACGGAGGCGACGGGCTTGAAGTCCTTCTCGGCAGACCAGCCCTCAGTGAGGGTGGGCAAAGGCCGTGAAACAACAGTTGCGGATGCCATCTTGACTGCTATTGATGTCGGGATGGATTGGCACAACGGAAGGTGATCGTGGGGCAGCCTTGGGGGAAGAGGAATTATTTTTTTTTTCTCTTGGGGAAGATTGCAGGGATCATGCGCCACACCGACCGGAGCCAGCTTTCGTTTGCAGCGACTCGCGACGCCACAGGAGACCCTTACGCCACGGGCTTTTTTCGACATCGAGTCGTGGATTGACACAGCAAGCGACATCGCGACCAGACAAAGAGTGCATTCTCGTCCTACCATTGGACCCGTTCTACCATCTGGTTGCCTTTCTGGACCTGCCCTGTGTATACACACCACCTGGGGCTTCGCTATGGCAGCAATCGCAGCGTACAGAAACCTTTTGCGGGCAGCCCGGATAGCATTCCACGGTACCTTGCCTGAACCATCTCTCAAGCGCATCCGGTGCTGACATGTTCCTCTGCAGGCGATGAACCGATCTTGAATGCCGCGAAACACCAGATTCGTACCGGATTCCGCGAGTACGCTGCTCTCGAGCCCTCGAACCCAGATGTTGTCGGACACATCAAGCACGCCGAGGACGTAGCTACGATACTGAAGCAGAACGTCGTTCAGGGCAAGAAGGAGGGTGACAGATACAGTGAGTCGCATCAGCTTCCTTGGTAATCCATGCCAGCTAACCCTGTGTTAAGAGCTGCGGATACATGAGCACACGGAAAGAGGAGACAACGACACCGTAAAGCTGGCTGGCGGAAAGACGGCCAAGATTGGTGCTGGAGGATGCTGCTCTGGTAGCTGAGATTGACGACCGAGACCATCAGTCAATGTTTACATACAAGCACAGAGCTGTACTATTATCTTGTGATACCCTTGTACCAACAACTGCTACAATACATATCATCACCGTGTGATGCAAACCAATACCTACAATAACCGATCATTTCCTACTGCCTCTGTGGTCCAGAGCAGTTGTGGTTCTGTTTTCATTCTCCAGTGATCATGTCAGTTTTCGCTTCGCCGAGAATATTATGCTGTTTTGTCGGCGTGCTTGCCGGTCTTTTTCGGCATCAAGTGCTTCTGCTCGCGCTTGTATTTCATGTCAGCGTCGTTTCCACGAGATCTCTGGCAATCCTCCCTGTCTTCTGGGGACAAGTGCCCATGGAATTGGCACCAGTCATGGTCTGGATCGATGTCTTTGAATTCCCCCTCTCGAATTCCCTCTTATCACATTTAGTAGGAAGCTGCTCGGAAAGTCGTCGTGGTAGTGTCTCTCAGATCTTTGAAATCCGCAAGAGTGTGCAAAGTCAGCAACCCAGTATCGATACAGAGGATCCTCTGCATCAAGAGTCTTGAGAGCTTGAGTGATGACATGCTGGTCGGTAAACATATCGAGTCGATGTGAGAATCTCTGCCATTCCAGGATGACATCAACAGCCAGCTTCGGCATCTCAAGCTGCTTCGAAAGCAGGTAAAGATCCAGTAGAGGAGACATTGCAAAATCATGATCAGCGAAGTTGTATGTTGGGTCCAGGTACCATTTCTCTAGCTCGTGGATTGTGGTTGTAGACGACGGCGGAGCAATGGTTTCCTGTGTGCCTGCCTCTTGTTTGAGACCCTCGTCGGTGGTTGCCTGCTCAATTTTGAAGCAAATATTGTCGTTGTCTTGTTGAGCTTCATCTCTAGTGACACCCCCATTGGAATTATCGGCATCGGGAGCGGTGTGATTGACGCTTTGCTCGATGTCAAGACCCTCTACGAAAACCTCTTGCTCATACACCCATAACGCGAGGCTTTACAGAGTCTCAGAGGTGGCATTATCCAAGATGTGTGTGGTATTTGTTCCTAATTCGCGGCGCAAATACTCTGATTGCTGCAAAAGCTTATGCTTATGGAAAACCCAACATGGCTTGGATTCGTCATCACCAACACCCAGTGTGATCAAATCATTGGCGAACCTATTTCGTCAATGACTGTCGTATCAAGAGTCAAGGAGTGTGGAAAAAATACTCACGATGCATGCTTTTCTGAAAGTTTTCGCCTCTTGGAAGCCGGGTCGCCTTCCTGAGAATCCGGCTGAACTTGGCGTCATAGATGAAGTGACTTGGTACTTGAAGCCGACGGCGGCAGAAGATGATCTACGCAACTGGGAAAGACGGTGCGACGATGTGCCAGGACAAATTGCGGTTCCGAGAGACGAGTGGACTGATATAATGATGGTCGGTTCCGTTTGCAAAAGGAGACTGTAGTTTAGAGGATGAAAAAGGACGTGGACCTGCTCAATGTTGAACACTGCGCCAATAGGCTATCCCAGGCAAGGCAAGCGGCCGGCAACTCCGTTCATTCTGAAAGATCACTTGAAAGTCACGTAAGAAAATTTAATACCTGGCCAGCCGTGAGATACCTCTTTCGCGAAAAACGAACTTTTGTCCTCTGACACGCGGGAAGTCGAGATATCCGTGCTAAGCTTGTGGGTGGAGGGTTCCAATTTGACAACGAGCTTCGGCTCTTCCTTCTTGCAATCAATCATTTCATCACCGACATAAAAGCATAAAGGCGCACCATCTGCCCAAGAGAAACTAATATCTAATGTACTTCAAAGCAAATCACCGTCCCAAGGCACACTTGGAACAGAGATACTACAACGTCGACATGTAGAACCGGGTTTTCTCTCCCTTTCTTTCCCCTTCTTATTCTGTCTTGCGAAATCTTTTCTCCTCTCCATACACATTGTTTAGGGAAATTCCAAGCAAAGTACCTAAAGACTACCGAAGTCGGGTTGGACGTTCTAAACAAGCCCGTTTCCTCAGTTAACAGCTCGTCACTAAGAATGATCCAAACTATTGCACGCATTTTGAGGACTTCACATCTATTCAGAGCTTTATTTCCGAGACAATAAGACGAATAACTCAATAGGGACTTCTGACCTAGTTGTGTTGCAAGATCATATATGCTAGGAGATGATACAAGCTCGAGTAGTGACATGCAGAATACGGCTTTCCTTTATGCATTTGTCGGGGCATCTGCCTAAACGCACAATGATTTGCGCCACACCGATAAGCTGCTCTTATCATTTGTCAGCCCCATCCAACGCCAAGGTCGCCTTCGAGCATCTGCATCATCCTCGACTTTTCACCACGACAACACCAACCACAGCGCTGCGCAACAGTTTGGCTGCTCTCTGTGTGCCTCTGCCCATCCGCGGAGAGCTAAAACGACCAAAATGCCTCCACAAATCAAGCAAGACCTCAATCGCTCCGGATGGGAGTCCACCGACTTCCCCTCGGTCTGCGAGACATGCCTTCCCGATAACCCATACGTCAAGATGCTGAAGGAAGACTACGGCTCCGAATGCAAGCTCTGCACCAGGCCCTTCACCGTCTTTTCGTGGTCCGCTGATCGCGCCCACGGCCGGAAAAAGCGCACCAACATCTGTCTCACATGCGCGCGCCTCAAGAACTGCTGCCAGACCTGCATGTTGGATCTCAGCTTTGGACTTCCTGTCGCCGTCAGAGATGCTGCACTCAAGATGGTCGCGCCCGGCCCCGGGAGCGAGGTCAACCGAGAGTACTTTGCGCAAAACATGGAGAAAGAGATCGAGGAAGGACGTGGAGGAACCGAGGAGTACGAGAAGACCGACGAGAAGGCACGCGAGCTGCTGCGGAGACTAGCGACGAGCAAGCCATATTTCCGGAAAGGCCGAGCGATCGAGGATGGCAGCGCATCGTCCAGTGGCAATCCCGCCGTGGGCGCTGGCGTCGGCGGCCCCGGTCCTATTCGCACAAGAGATTCGAAGGCAGCCAACGCCTCAGGCGCGGGCCCAAGATCAGGGAACAGACGACCCTTCCCCGCCGCCTCACAATTGCCGCCTGGCCCTCAGGACTGGTTACCACCCGCGGACAAGAACATCATGTCGCTGTTCGTAACAGGAGTGGAGGACGATCTGCCCGAGTTCAAGATTCGCGACTTTTTCAAGGAGCACGGAAAGATCAAGAGCTTGATCTGCAGCCACATGTCGCATTGCGCCTTCATCAACTACGAGACAAGGGCAGGCGCTGAGAAGGCAGCGGAGACATGCCAAGGCCGCGCAGTGATAGCCGGATGTCCCCTGAGGGTCAGATGGAGTGTGCCCAAGGCAGTAGGCACCATGACGAAGGAGCAGCGCGGCGAGATGGCGAGGGACGGAAGAAGTGCTTTCGGAGATACCAGGAAACAGAAGGCTATCGAAGGGCGGCCAGGTCAGAAGGCTCTGACTCAGGGCGACGGTCAGCCGCAGGGACAGGATGGTGCACAAATGAACGTGATTGCGGCACCCCCCGGTGCCAGCGACGTCAACTATGCCAGTTTGGCAGGGGAATAAACATTTGACTGAGGTTTTGGTTTCTCACGGGGAAAATTGCATCGCTGGCGTTTGGGGTGGACCATGATGGTCTATGGAAAGATACCTGTTTACACACTTGGCACAGTCATGTATAGTGCTGTTTCGCTGATAAATATTTCGCGTTCCCAGTTGAACTCCCACAATAGACTCGAGATCAGTCTGACATGACATCTATTACTTTTGTGAAATATGACCATAGGAATGGGCTTAGACAAACACATGATTCTACCGCTTTTTTTTTTTTTTTTTTCTTGCAAGAATGCTTGTGCATTCCATCCGGGCTTCCAGCGTGATAGGCCGATACAAGGTACCTGGATCAATTTGAAGAAGCCATATGAACGAGCATGATCATGAGTTTTAGATGTAGGAGCCCTCAAAGCTTGGCCATCCAGACTCTCTTCTCAACTACGGTCAATCCTCGCTGTCGCTTCCGATCTTGTTCCATGACTTTCAAGACTCTCCGCAGCAGCTTTCCTGTGCCGTTTCGTGGAATTTCATCGGTAAACTCCAGCTCTGCTAACCACTTATAGCGCACCTTTCTCCCTTTTACTAAGGACAGTAATTCCTGCCCAAAGGAATCACTGGGTCGTATACCAGACTTGGGGACAACAAACGCTTTCGGCTTTTCGCCAGAATATGGGTCCGGGATACCCAAGACTGCACACTCCTCGACGTTGGGATGGCTCAGCAATACGTCTTCCAGCTCTGCCGGGGGGACCTGGAGGCCTTTAACCTTGATCATTTCCTTGATTCTGTCCTCGATACAAATCAGACCATCCTCTGTAATGTGCCCGACATCCCCAGTGTGGAGAAAGTGCTCCTCATCGAACGACTCCTTTGTTGCTTCTTCATTGCCTAGATAGCCCATGGCGATCTGAGGTCCCTGGGCACAAATCTCGCCAGTCTCTCCCGGACCAAGAAGTCTTCTGGGCTCATCGAGAGAGAGAACCTTGGCAATCGTGTTAGCAACCAGCTTACCGCCGGTCTTGGCGTATTTAAAGTCAAAGTGGGACGGTGGATGAGAAGATATGCACGCTGTGGATTCCGTAGCGCCATAGCCCTGGCGGAACCCGGTGTTGGGAAACTTGGCATGAAGCTGGTCAATTATCTCGGGCGAACACGGCGCGGAGCCTGATGACCATCTCTTCACTATACGCCTCAGATCCGGCAAGTATTTGTCAACAACAGGGTCCCGAACCACGCGCACTATTATGGGCGGGACGAGAATGAGTTCTTCCACAACATGCTCGATAATTGCGCTTAACATCGAGTCCATGGTAAATTTTGGCAACATGATGGACTCTCCGTTCATGAACACCGGGTAGTGGCAGAATCGTACAAGCCCCGTGATGTGGAATAGCGGCATAACGGCGAGGATCCGGTAGCGGCCATCGGCGGGTAGCAGCTGCAGCTGACGAAGCTGGTGACACTGAGCTATCACGTTGTGATGAGAAAGCATCACAGCTTTGGGGAGGCCGGTGGTGCCTGAGCTGAAGTTGAGGTAGCCGCATATATCTTTGTTCGTCTTGCCCATCGGGATGTGATAGAACGGAACAGCTCTATACTGATCATGCTCGTAGAGAGATATCAGCTGTTGGATGCTAGTGAATCCAGGTGCAGAACCCTCTAGAAGTAGAACATGATCCTTGGGTATGCCCGCGCCGGTAGCAGCAGCCAGGGCGATTTCGAGAGAGCTGGGTATCGTCATCAAGAATCTGGCTTCCGCAGTCTGAAGGGCATGGACCATCTCCTCGACTGTATACGAAGGCGATGCGCCGTTGACTCTCCCGCCTTTTGAGCCGTCACATGTCAGTTAGGTCCTTCTCTGGCAATCTAGGGAGCCATGTGGACTTTACTGACCTGCCCTGACAGTAGCCCACATAGCAACCGGGTACCATATTGTATTGGAGCTGAACAACGAGACCGTCTGCTGCGGCTGCAGTCCATACTTGAGCACTAGAATAGTGCTTAATTGTGTGGCTGTTTTCTTGACCTCAGCAAAGTTGAGACGTTCCCTGGTAGCGGCGTTACTGTAACCCCCAAGGGTTGCGGGGTCCCCACGACATGGCGAGAACTCCTCGGACTCAAAAGCCCATTCCCAAGTAGTGAGATTGGTTGGGACTATACCGTTTTAGTGGGAACTCTTCGGGAACGAATTGCACCGGTTGCTTACAGTCTAATTCAGGATGAGGGGATTTCCAAAGTGTCATTGCGGAGGGAGAGGAGAGAGGTTACACCAGGATGCAATGGAGTATACAACGGGAGACATTCCTTGAGATGAGCATCGCGCGAGAACCATCATGGCCCTGCAATTCCACCACCGCACTTAGGTGGGGGTGCCTCGGTAATCGTAGCCGCAGTGTCGTGGAGATAATCTGGGGATAACTCTGGGGGATCTGCGGTGGATGGCACTAAATATACACTAAGCTACTGGAGCCGATATGCGCATAAAAGGGGAGCATATTGTTCTTGCACTTTAAATGCATGACCGGCTCTACTCTTAAACTCTTTCTTTTGGCACATAATTGAGTTTGCGATATACCTGGGTTCTGCTGATATAAAAGTACTTTAGTAGCTCTGGCGCAAGGCACCTGGCAGGCCTGGAGCTAACCACTCTCGCTCGATCCAATCCACCGCATACGCATACATCTATCTTATGGACAGTTACAGTTAAAAAGACCAGAATTCAGCTGGACAAATACGTAAGCAGACTATAGCAAGATGGTTTGGGCTCGCCTGGGAAAACTGCCTTGGCAGGCATCTGTGACACATGAAAATTGATTTGGTTTACTCGCTTGGCAAACAAAAGCGTTTTATAGACCCTCGGAACTTTCCTGCGCTCTGGCAGACTGCCACTTGTTCTTAGAAATCAGTAGCACACCACAGCTTTTTCCACGTAAATTTCTCATTGATTAACAGAAGACAGAGCTTAAATGACTTGGCTGAATTTCGAGGAACATTCGTACCCTACTAAAAGGCATTGATCCCCCATATTCGACCCCAGTTTCCTTCCCAAGACTTTCCCAGATCGGTGTCATCGGCTCCGGACCTTCCTTATCAAGATCGTACTTCATCCGTTAGAATGACGCCAGATTCTCCCACAATGGGACAAGCAGACGTGTGTAGTCCTCATGTCGACCCTGACTTGAAGCCAGACGTCACCACCGGCCGCGGTCCTGAATTCAATCGTGGATCTGATGCGACGACAACATCGAAAATAGCAATTCTGGAAAAGGATGTGTTGTCAGAACAGCTGAGTCAGGAGAGAACTATTCTCACAGAGGCCGACTGTCCTGAGATTCTGGGCTATGCCTTCCCGACCTGGAAGAAATGGAAGATCCTCATCATCATCTTTCTGGTACAATGCTCTATGAACTTCAACACCTCTCTCTACTCCAATGGGTTGACAGGAATGAGCGAGGAGTTTGGTATTACTATACAGGACGCACTTACGGGTGCTGCCATCTTCTTGGTAACCTATGCCTTTGGATGCGAGCTGTAAGTCCCACTTCGTCTCATTGACATCACCGACTATTGACCGTATTAGGTGGGCGCCTTGGTCCGAGGAGTTCGGCCGCCGATGGATCCTTCAAGGTTCACTAGCTCTCGTCAACCTGTGTTGTATTCCCGTAGCCCTCGCCCCCAACTACGCCCTTGTCGTCGTATTCCGAGCACTTGGCGGCCTGTTCTCTGCTGGTGGTAGCATTACCCTTGGCATCGTCGCTGATATGTACACGGCTGACACCCAGCAATATGCCGTAGCATTTGTTGTGCTGTCCTCTGTTGGCGGATCAATCTTTGGTCCAATTATTGGGGGCTTCGTTGAGAGCTATATGCACTGGCGGTGGTGCATGTGGCTTCAGCTGATTGCTGGCGTCGCTGTTCAGCTACTGCATTGGTTTCTTGTCGACGAGACTCGGACTACTGTGCTGATGGCTTCCTACGCAAAATCATTACGCAAGTCAGGAGCAAATCCAAACGTCTACGGAACGAATGAGCTGAAGACGTGGAGAGAGAGTCTAGCACCTAAGGAACTGGTCACGCTGTGGGTCAGACCGTTCAAAATGTTTGTAACAGAACCCATTGTCTTGGTGCTATCTCTCTTGTCGGGATTCAGCGATGCTTTGATATTCATGGGCTTCCAGTCATTTGGACTGGTTTACGAGATATGGCACTTCACTCCCTGGCAAGTCGGATTGACCTTTGCCGCTATTGGGTTGGGATATCTCGTCGCTTATCTTTCATATATCCCTGCCATTCGGCGTAATATTAGGCAAAGACGTGAGCGCCCGAATGACGAGTTCGCCAACTATGAAGGCCGTATGTGGTGGCTGATGTACACTGCACCCTGTCTGCCCATCGGCCTTCTAATTTTCGCATGGACTGCCAACAGCAACGTCCACTGGCTTGGGCCCGTCATCGGGTCGGCGATCATTGGCATCGCCAACTATTCTGTGTACATGGGTACTATTGACTACATGGCAAGTTCAACCCTGCACTGGATCAATCATTCAAGTTTGAATTAATAATCCATTACTAGGTCGCGGCTTATGGCCAATACTCGGCTTCCGCAACGGGTGGCAATGGGTTTGCTCGTGATTTCCTTGCTGGCATTCTTACCTGGGCTGCAATCCCGTATTACGAGTCATTCAAGGGAATGTCTCAGCCCCTCCCTCTGGCAAATACCACCCTGGCTGGTATCAGCGTGACGCTGGTCATTTCGACCATGCTCATCTATTGGAAGGGACCATCGCTCCGCAAACGCTCAAGTTTTGCTCAAAAACTGGCGCATCACGATCCTTCTCAGATCTTGGTATCTACACATTCAGGTGGCATTGGGACTGTGTAGAATTCCCGGGTCTGTTTGGGAATGGTATGCACAGTTAATAGGCCCTCTCCACGAAGGCGTTCAAGGAAGAAAGCGAGATGATCCTTGGGCAGCAAGTCTGCCAGTCTTCTTAAAGATATGTAAAGAATTTTGACACCCTACGTCATTGTGTTATTTCTAAAAGACTGTCAGCACAAGTATGAACAGCCCCAAGGCATACTTTGATAGGTCTCCAGCCCATAAACTTGGTCGGCTTCTGTCCCCACCGCTGTGGAATGTCACTTCTGGGTAGCCAACCTGCTTCACGCCATCCACTGAGCAGCTAATGTTGCATGCCATATCGTCCCTAGGCATGATCATAGTATGATCAAGGCTTCTTCCACTCGGGCCTGCCGCCGACCCGCTAACATTGAATACCACTTGAATCCATTCAATGCCAACCGTGACCTCTCCACCTACACTCATATTGCCACTCCAATATCCTCCATCGCCCCAGACATTGAGGATTAGTCCACTGGGTTGAGACGGAGCATTTATTGACTTATTCAATACGAGAGTGTCATTGGCCCACCATCTGACAACTCCATCAAACCAATCCAATCGATGCTCGATCCACTCAGTCCAGACGAGGCCATTCGGAAGCGTGACGTGCGTACTAGCACCCGGGATGGGTTTATCGGCAGCATTATCATAATCAGGTTGGTTTGAATACCAGATCTGACCTGTTGTGTCCTGCGTCAAGAGTTCGATGTCCGACTCTTGTGTGTCAGACTCGTACGTGAACAGCCCAACAACGGCTCCCTGATCAACGGGGTGGGAAGAATTACTTCCATATTCCAAGTTGTCCAGAAGTCTAGCACTAGCGGATGGTGCGGAGGAGTTTCTGAGGCCGTTCGGGATAACTCGAAGCCGGGCGCGGATGCTGGCATGTAGTAGGTTCTGTTGTTGTGATGTGATCTGACTCGACGACATGAAAGAATCCAATCGAGCGGCGCGTAGTGTGAGAAACGTCGACCCCCCGGCGCCATCTGTAGTGTTGCGAGATATATAGACGTTTTGCTTTGAGTAGATGTTTGGGAATGGACTGTTAGGACTTGAGGAGGAGACACCATCTAGATAGCTCCAGTCGCTGTTCCATGATGAAGAGTCAAGATAAGCTGAGGTTGCAGACTGTCCACCATGAGCCTGAAGCTCTCCTAACGTAGGCGGTGCCGTCGTGAAATCATTACTGCCATCATTGGGTATGTCACGGAAATCCCAAAAACGATGGTATTGAAAATAGCCCGCGTCCGGTCCATTTATGAGGTAGCATCCGCACGTGTCCGAATTGTCCTTAGAGGGTGACTGGACCAACTGATCGTCGGCATGAACTTTCGATATGGATATCGCTAAGCACACAATTAAATGGAGTAAGACTTCCATCGTGTACATGATGGCTCACGGTGTACTATCAATCAAGAGGTCACCATACCGTCGGAAGGTTCTTCTATATATACTACTAATATACGTACTTCTACGCGATGCCGTTATCCGGTCTATCCAGAAGGGGATTTCAAAGCAAGCATGTGTGTCTACTCGGCACTGCCGGCCGATGTTAGGGTCGCAATACGCCAGGAAAGGGGTTAGCGCAGCCACAAGTATGAGGTCTAAGGGACATCAAGCTTACTAGCAGCAACGCTTGCCTATTATGTGTTACATTTATCCTGGACCGCCCCAATATGTGAGAGATCCGGTACGGACTCTCCCGGAACGAGTAATTCGCATCGGTGCTGCCGCTCGGACCGATCAGCGCACATTGGCCCTGCCTCCAGCATTGCAATACAACTCAAGCGCCACCGCAGGCTGATCACGAAATGTCAAACACACCAGAGCGGCATTATTGGAGATGCCGATTCTATATCCAATCATATCTATCAGTATTGGTTCTCTAAATAAAACCAGCCGGATCATGACGAACCTTGTTTTGTAACACGGCGTCAATGCGCTCGTCCAACGATGCAGTCAACTCCCGCCATTGAGTCCACTGCTTGCGTTTCTCCACATCAAGCGCCATGAGTTTGGTGGCAGTTAAGTTAAGAAATGCAACTTCCAAGGCGAGTTCATCTAGCTCTTTCTGTACCGAGACAATCCAAGATTTCCTCCTTGAAAGCTGGTGAAGTTGAATCTTGAATCCCCTGCCGGCACTGGCGACGCCGCGCATCAGGCGTTGCAGCTTGTAAAGATCCTCTTCACGCAAAGACGTATCTAATTTGCACCAGTCCTTAAGGATGTCTACGTGTAAATGCTTCTCCTGAGGCGGACCAAGTACTTCCGTAACATATCCAATCCCTTGCTCGAGCATATGACCTGTAACATGCTGTAAATCAACAGGGAGCTTTTCCCCCGACGGCCCTTTATGGCGAAGGCGGTCCCAAAAAAGACATGAGGCCGTACTATACGCGCTCCAGCGGTTCGCCGTCCCTGTACATAGGGGATACCTGTAATCTAGCATGGAAGCGGAGACGATGCGTGCCACGTCTAAGGCCAGCATAGGACCGCAATGATCCCGGATAGTGCCCAGTACGCGGCGATATCGGCTGTTGTCTGAACTAAAAACCTTCCCTAGAGCCTCGGAACATTGCTGCAATAGGTCGACAAGGTCTTCCGTGGCTTTCTTCCGAAATTTGGACCACAAGTTCGCGAAAATCACAAGGGTGGTCATAGTATCCTTTGGTCCTTCGGATCCCACAACAAGAGTTGCCGCAACAGAGTTGTGTCTTTCCTCCTCCGAACATCGATCCAAGCACTGGGGGCACTGAACAAGAAGTTGGTTATCCGCATGGGGTTGAATGAGACTTCTGTCCAGCAGCCTGGCTATAAAAGGACTTGGGGTGCCTTCTTCTGGGTGCTCGCAGATATAAGTAAAGGATCTAGGCTGGTGTGTATCCATCATGCGGTGCTACTTCTCGAATACGATAGGGTTGCCATTGTGGGGTCTGCTCGTGGTTTCGGAGGCGTATAAGGTTGATTTCCCGTAGTATGATTCTACCTTAGTGGACAAAGGTAACCTTGAAACAGTGTCATTGTTGGCGACTCACGTACCGCACCATTGTCAATCACAGCTATTATTCTATGCGGTGCATGGCATGGTAGTGTGGATCATAATCTGTGTTCAATGTTTCAACACTTGTATTGGATCGCCGAGATGCTACAAAACGAAGCGAGATACAAACAAGAACGTTGAGATACATCGTCGTTGTGAGCGACAATACCATCAGCCTTCTTTGGTGTTCCAATCCTGGTCTGTTCCACAATCTGCGCCTCACAACTTGTTTTTTTCGTTTACCCAAACCCCGTCGCTTGATTAGGCTCAATCTTTGACGTCTCCAGAAACCCCAATGCTTGTAAAAATCTACCTACTTATGCTGATATGGTGGATATACCGTACTAGACATATTGGCAGGAGGTGGCCCCGTCTTTTCAACGTTGTTGTATCCCGCGTACTTTCGCTTCCAGAACAAAATAGGCGGATGGGGAATATGTGTGAGAACAAGGACCCCGAAATAACATATGGTTATTGACGGAAGCATCCATGGACTGCCCACAAATTCTGTCTCGTGACCCTTTCTCCCAGCAATACTTGCAAACGCAAGGCTAATAGCGACAGCAGTGATAACCAGTGTCCTCAGAATATTGAACATGGACCATCCATGCCGCTTTGTCAAGATATGCAACATTGTCATGAGGAACAATGTGAGCCCGGCGCAGGCAAAGACGTAAATGAACTGATATAAAACAACGGTTAATAATGCAACATGAAGATAAGGACTTAACGAAACCTACCACAATCCTAGTTGCCTTGTGCAGAGCATCAGTAACGACCTGTTGATCGTTTCCGGAGTTATTATTCTCTTTGATCTCCGCAGGCTCGACATGCAGACCGGCGTAGACAGCATTAACCAGCGTAAACATCAGTTCTTGAAAATTCTCCGTCACACGTGTCGCATCAGGATCTGTGTTTATCAAATCCAGATCGCTCCATAGCGTGTCGTTAGACCAAATAGCATCCGGCATATCATAAATGGAGTCAAGAATCCCGTTAACGTAAGGGAGGGTCTCGGTGCCATTCTCAGGTGGGTATTTGCTCAAGTATGTATAGACGATGCCTGAGACCTTGTCTCCCACTTTCTCGCTCGAAGTATAGTTGGAAAAGTCGACAATCCAATTGCTGAGTTTCACTACAGCTAAGTCGGCCGATTCTCGAGCCCGCTGCCAGAGAATGAATTGACTCGATCCTGCTAACAGAAGTAATAACGATACATGGACTGGAAGGTGGAAAGCAGCCCAGAACGCCTGGCGGTGTTTCGACATCTCCGTGTCATGCATCCAGTCGTAGTATATTTGGAACAGTAGATAAATCAGAGCAGTAGATGCAGTGACGATGCCAATCAGCTGAGGGCCTGGGACAATGTGTTAGCAAAAACTGCATGGCGACTTGCTTTCTGGGCGGAGATCTGATCTTACTCCATGTGCCAAAGTAATCATCCTTGCCGTACGTATCTTTCACCACATACGTAATGTTCTTCGCAAGTAGGATACCGCCTTCACCGAGGATGATAAGGGTCAATAAGTTGAATCTCTCAGCCAGATGAGTTCCAGTGAAGCTCAATGTCCTAGAAAACTTGGACATCACAAGATTTACTCCGACCTCCACAGGGCCCAGAGCGTACCAGATCACGTAGACGCGGCTCTTCCTGCTAGAGTCAAAGCGCCACGAGATGCCAAAATATATCGCAGCCGCCACGACATGGAATAGTACCGTGCATAGCAGTGGCAACTTTCCCTTACGATGTCGAAGGACTTGCAACAAAATTTGCGTGTACTGTATGGCGAGGACAAGGCGTGAAACGGCAAGGAAAAGGGACATTGCCTGGAAGATGCCCTTGACCTGATGGTCCGGGTCGAATTGTGTGCCGATAATGGCGAAGCCAATCATGACACCCAGGTGCATGGCCCTGGCACATCGCTCAACGATGCTGTCGGAGTAGAAGCGAACGTCATGCAGTGTGGTTAGGTTCCATGTTGTCCATAGCATGCTGATAAGCGAATAAATGAGCAAGCGAGCATTGGTATGGGGATCTGTAGGACCAGACATACACGATATAGCCAATGAATGATGTGCATGATTTGCTGTTGTAGATATTGTGAATCTGCATACGCAAGTCATTAGCTTCGCCACGCCTATATAAACCAAATCTTGAAAAGCTGTCGCGAACCGCGGGTCAACTCCCAAGATACTACATACCGATGTGAAAACACTCAAGTTTGCTACAAACCAGAGATCGTAGAACAACTAAAACTGTAAACACCAAAAAGCGAGAAAATCGGAATACGACGACTAACCTCCACCGGAGATGCTGAATGGTGCTGCGGCTGGTTAGCTATCACTTGCGTCTGAACGGTGCCGTGTGAGATGCGCCAACTCGGCACATGGGCAGCCGGAACTCACCTTTTCGAACTCCGGATGCTCGACCGAGTCGCCAACTATTGGCAACGATTCCTGGTCTCTGTGGTTGAGGGCATGGCCATTTTGACGTTTCTCTCCTTCAACAATCGGGTTGGCGACCACTGGCAGGCGAGTGCCGGCGTACGTGAGCTCGTCCTTCGACATGGTTTTGGAAGCTCGAGTTGGATGACCTCCTAAGCGCCAAGAAGAGTTCTGAGCAGGCTATTATGTATGGATATACGACGGTCATCATTGAGGCCTCGCGCGATGCGTTTACCGTGATCTGACCGGCAACATCATCTCTGTTGGATCAGTTGCATGGGCTTACAGCTGATACAAGCCCGGTGATTGGGCTGACTGTGCGGTGGACTTGGCACGGCCACAGCAGCGGTGATCCTGCGGCGCTGTGACAGCCGGACTGAACCAGGAGCTGCCAATCGGTAAGCAATGGCGCCAAGTGGCCTAAGAAGCTTGTCTCGAATTGAGTTACAAGGAGACTTCTTGTAAGTGATCAGCTCCGGTGATTTACACGGGTACTTGCAGCTGCTGAATGCAAATTGGCCCACAACGTCCCCAGCTTATAGGACCGATTCTTCCCTCCAAGGGAACCTCTACTACCCGCCAATCCGCGGCCTGGCCGATGTAACCGAAAAGAACAAGTCACCTCAACACGTGCCGATTCTTTCTTGATCTAGGAGATTGGTTGACTGTTGGTCTGTGAAGAGGCGCTGATCAACGCGCGAGCTGAATGAGCTGATTGTATGGATCTACAACCGCCACTGCCATCACTCAGCCTTACGGCCACTAACATGTTCTGACACTCCTTCTCGACCGCCAGGGATTCGGAAAGCAGATCCGACCAAAGTAAATTTAGTAAGATGACGTTAGGCCCTACCACGAGAGTGAGTCTGTGCCCGAGTCATCCCGCTCATCTGCTCCGTACTGAGGCAGTGCTCTAAATGCAACAACTGACAGGATCTACCAGGGTAGGAAGCGGGTAACTGTGTAACTCCACAGTTGCATTACGATTTTCCGGGGGAGGTATTATTATTAGCGAGGTAGGTATTCTGAAGAGTTTGTTTTCACATCTTCTGCTCTTCAGGCTGCAGCTGGGGTCAAGGGATGCTCTGTGCGACGTGGCCTTGATCGCCATGAATTGTTCGTGAACCTGCAAAATCCGGTTCCATGTTGGTGATGCTAACCCATGCATAGCCTTCCTGCTCAAGAACAACACGCCTTTGATGTTGCTGGCGCTGAACGATCTGCGTTGGGAGGTCCACACCAGTCTCGATGAGAACTGTCATTTTCAAACAGCACCCAGTCGGGTGCGGTGTGGGGATCCTGCGGCTTATTTTCGTTGGGGCAGGACTGCTCTGCGCTGCTGTGACGTCCAACCCCTGCAGTCAGAGTGGCAGCGTGTCACTAAAAGCTCAGGAGCTCAGTGGACAGTTTGCTATGCCAGCGCATCGTTCTGCCACAAATGTCTCACAATGTCCGCGGCGCTGGGCAAGTAACATGTGCTCGGTGCCACCGATCGTATCTTGTGTAATGACCAGTTGGATGACCCGGGGGTAACCTAGACGTTGGGCTATTTGGGGGTCATGCGTCTCCTGGTTTAGCGGGCCTCCAGCGGCCTTCAGCAGTGCAAGTCAGGCCACTCACTGTTCTCACGGCGTTCTCTGTCCCCAAGTTGTTGCGCCACGCAGGAACTTCTTCAATAGCCTAGGAATAATCATCAACTCTGTAACTCCTCAAGTTCTTGTGCCTCGTTTGAACATGTCGCTTGGGAGCTCACCTTTTCGCCACTTTAGCCATCTGTGACGCCATGCTTCACGATGTTTGGATTGAAAAGCCTCGTATGCAACAGGGATGATCACTGAGGTCTGCGGAGTTTTTGGTCGAGATACATCAACAGACTCACAACGACGCAGGACACCTCCCCCATATCGCATTGGAGGTTGCTCATCAAAGAAGGGCCCGGGTTCATCTTGAACGATCTCTTAATTGATGTTATCCCCTGCGCTGTAAGGACTGGCTGCTTGTCTTGATACATACACTCTTGATCAACACTTAGAGGCAAGCTTCCCGCCTCCATGAGCGTCCTGAGCACCATTAACGTCCCTTGTACCATCGTATGTGATCTCTCAGCTCGTGCTGTTGTTAAGATTTAGTAGCGTTGGTTCAGACTCACTCTGTTCAGATTGCCTCGGCCCTGTGTGGCATGTCGCTGGTCTTCCTGACTCTGTCTTCCCTGGTTTTGACTCCCATGTTCTTCGCCGGGGAATACAGACCGATAATTCTATGTAGTATCGAATATGGGACCGCATATTTCCCGAGGAAAGTATATCGTCACAGACGTCCGTTCTTAAACGGCAACATAATTGATACTCGGGGTTCGTGCCTGTACGTGGCCACGGTATTCGCTGGAAGAAGTCCACCGGTAGGGTTCGTGTCCTTCGGTTTGAATGGCGCAATGTCGGCCTCCTCTGGCCCGCTAATCTCATGGCCAGTGCCGTGGAAGGAGCAATGGCCAGATACGCGGCTGTCGAGGATCCATCGCCTCACCATGGGCTTGGTGCAAGCTCGCTGTCCATGGCAGAATCGCTTTATCTCGCAGAAGCCATCTGTGTCGAGGGTCAGGAGGCAACAGCGCCGGCGATATGTGTAGAACCTACTCACTACCGCATGCTGCCGTAGCATAGTAGTATCTCCCACATACACAGTCTCCCGATCGTCGATGCTCGTCAACTCTGCGATTCAAGTCTCCTCGAAGCTCGTCTGGGTCAATCATCGTGGATGTGAAGACTCTGCGTAGGACCGCCGATACTTTTTAGGTAATATGATTCACTACCACACCAGAAACTACGTGGGAAACAATATTAAGCCATTGAGAACTTGACATTGTTCATGCTGACTCCTTATCCCGTAGATTCCAGGTAGATCTCAACACAGTAATTTCTTTCCGCTCCTAGGCGAACGCCTTTCTTGCATTGCCCCTTCCTGTCCAGAACCTATTACCAAGTTATTGGGCCGCAGCAGGCCCGGACACTGGAGGCATGATGCGGCAAGGATGTGTTCCAGTTTTCTCCGTTTGGGTACCATTTAGCTAGGATGAAGACGAAGTCTCCAATAACAAAGTAGACTTCCAAAGCTCATAGGCTAGCAGACCTCACAAGACGGACGAGATTCTAAAGAAAAAGTCATTATACTACATTATCAAGTACAGAATAATTTACACGACCTTACGGATCCTGCACGTCCTTCTTTCCTTCGTCTGCTTATGCCATTTTCCCCACCGAAGTTTTTATACACTCCCTTCCCCACAGCTCTATAGTACAAGCTGTTCCACTGACTCGAATCCGGTTGCGAATCTTAGCTTGAGCAGATGTTCTCTTATCAAGCTATGATGACAAAATATGAAACAAAAGAAATTATGTGCAGAAACAATTACTTCCCTTCATGTGGTATTACAAGTACCAAAGCGGTGAACGAAAAAAAGAAAACAAAAAGAAGAAAAGAAGAAAGAGAGTGGTCGTCGGCCCGTGTTTTGTCTTCAGCGTACAACTATGTATGATCCTCAGGTCAGTAATGCAGAAATCAGTGATAAGTCTGACGGGTAACATACAACTCGGAAAACTTCAGAATATGATGAGGTCCTTATCATCACCATCATCATCGTCATCGAAGCACTTCTTGGTCTCTTTGACAGTCACAATGGGAAGCTGCACTCCGTCTCTCTCCTCGTTGTCGCTGGCGACCTCCCAATCCGCAACCGTTCGCGCAATTTCGGAGCTTGCGTCGCTGACATTGTCGTATGAAGAAGAGACACGAGAAGGGGGTAGGTTGAAAGCGGCCTGATGGCTTGTATGAGCGTTCCTTTCCCTCGGGGGGCTGACATCGTACAGGTCTTCTGGGCTTGATCTATTCCTCTCCAATAGAGTGTCATCCAGAACGCCATCGAGGTGAGATAGATCAAGCAGGTTTGAGTGAGTCGGGGTTTGATCGTACCTCGGGGGGAAAGCTCTGACAGCAGTGCGAGGGGTGACGATAGGAGAACGACGACCACGAGGTATCTGGCGGGCATTTGGGGTCGGTGTGCCAGTGGAACGCTCATCAGTATCCCCAGAAGCCTTCGGCGTGGGTGCAGCAGATTCACGATTACGGTGAGCTGTTGTAGAGCCAAAGTCGGGTTTCCCTCTAATGGCTGGGTTGTTAGTGCCAGGCGGGATGTTGTTACCATTGGTTATGACTCCATCAGCGACAACACGACCGCCCATTGGGCTGATATTGACTGACCGAAATTCTTCCCGAAGGGTTTCGTGCACAGAAACTGGCAAGGCGGTGTCGATCAGCCTGGGTGAAGTCTGTCTCTGCAAGCGTGCTCGGGCATCATCCTGGGCGGAATTGTATGCCACCCATTTGTTTCTCTGCACAGTGTCCGGCGTGCCATTTGTTCGTCTCTGCTTGTGGGAAGATCCGTTGCCAAGTGGTCTATGGCCTTGCATTTGGTCGACTTCGGGCTGTGGCATTCGTCCCATGAAACTGGGGCAAAGCTTTTCGCAGATACACTCATCTCCGCAGTCGTTTGAACATCTGTGACCGCAATGAAGCTTCCGCTCACAGGGCTTCTTACAGACCAGCTGACTGTGTGACATCGGATGGCAAAGGCGATCACATGGGTGCCCGCATTCTTCGAAATGGCCCTCGCACACCTGCCAACAACCGCCATAATTGCCCGCCAGGGTGTCGGCATCCATAATGTGGTTGATAGCCCCATGATTCTTGCAACGGATGGGCAGGCCTGATTGTCCTGGGAAATATCGACCTTGTCTTTCGAAAACTTGTCGAACGTTTCCCCACATGAATCTCGATTCAGGTGAGGCAGTCTCAAGGTTGGTAATATTTCCGAATATGTAGAGACCACGACGAGCACGACTGATGGACACAACACCACGGCTCATGTCTTCTACAAAGCCAGCAACACCGGGCATATTGGGCTTGTTGCTGCGAACAAGGGATAGGAGAATGATATCGTTCTCCTCGCCTTGATAAGAGTCCACTGTTTGGACCCCAATTTTCGCTTGGGCATACAAGGGCCTCAACAGCTTGGCGATCGTTTTATAGATCTTCTTCTTCTGGCCACGGTAGAAAGTCAAGATCGTGATCTGGTGCGCCTGTGTTCCGTTGTGCATGAGATATATGGCGAAGCGGACGACCATCTCCGCCTCCTGTGCATTGAATCGGCTCAATAGATCCGTATCCATGCTTTCTGGCCAAGTGTGTTGGAAGAGATAGTGACTGACAGGCATGCCAGGTATGGCCGGTCGGTAAAGCGGATCACGCACAATTGGATGGTCACCCAATGATGGGTAGAAGGGGTTGAGAACTTCGCGAATGGTGGTAATCATTCGTCGCTGCCTGTTGAGCATGGTGAAAGGAAGTCGCAGGTACGCTACGAGCCGCTCAAACATGGACACCGTGATGTTGTGATATGAACCGGCCAGTCCAGGCACGTCGGTGTAGGGATCAAGCTGCTGGTGATCGCCCACGAGAATAAGCTGCTGCAAAGAGGGGAACAGCGCTGCAGCAATGTTGGCCTCCCGACTCTGAGCAGCCTCCTCAACGAGGATGGTCTTTGCCTTCAAAGCAGCGAGTAGGCCTCGGTACTTTGACAGACCGGTGGTCGTGCAGCCAATAATGTGTATATCCATGGACTTGATACAGGCGACATCGCGCTTCCAACCATTGACCTTCAGGCTCTTGTACTTGCGGGTGTAGTTTGCCAGCAAGTTACAAAGGCCTTGGTGATGCTTTTCAAGCAACTGTCTCTGCCAGCATTCGTACATGGCACCTCGATACTTCTCCGGTACGTCGAAAAGGTCTCGCCTATTCATCTCGCGCTTCAGAAGAAGGCTTTCCTCATTATAATGTTGAGGGTTTGCGCCTCCCCATTTACGCGAGATATCTATCCAGGTGCCCTTCAAGACGAAAGAATCACCTTCGTCGTCCACAGCAGGATCGTCCAGGTCCAGCTGGAAGTCAGAAGTGTCAATCTCGTCGTCGTCCATGATCTCCTCATCATCAAAGGCGGGGTCTTCGTAGCGGCGCTGAGATAGGTCGACCATGGACTCGTGGAGCCACTCCGACATAATCCCCAAAGGCCGTCCCGAGGGCGGCTGATAGTCCCAGGAGGTATTCGTAAGTGACCCCAACTGCTCATTGGTGATGATCCCATATTCATGGAGAACCTTGGGATCGAGAAGTTCGTCAGCTGGAAACACAGATTCAATCATGTCGCCAAAGTCCCGAATAGCTTTCTTCCTTGCTGCTTCTCCGTTTTGGAAGTCCTTGTTGTGCGCTAGGATAGGTGCTCGTCGCCGGAGGTTGAACATGTTGTACTTCTTGATTTCCTCATCTTTCGATCTTCCTCCTAGTCGCAAAACGTTGTAATCCAGCTTCAGCAAGTGTGTCAGGATTTGATCAACGGCGTGATTTGTCTCCGCTGCTACAATGATGACCTCCTCGGTGTCCTTCCTCATTCCAGCCGTGAGAGTGTTAACAAGACTTCTGAGAGCTTGAACCGAGGTGAATGTTTTGCCTGTACCAGGAGGTCCCTGAACCATGGCAAGCTCCTTTGTGAGGATTCTATGGACTGCCTGGAGCTGAGAGTTGTCAAGACTGGTGTGGGGACCTATGTTGGCAGGGATCCCGGAGAGGATGTCGTAGTTGCGATACGGGCCGAGAAGTCTCTCACGCTCGATGCTGTCATCTGGCAGATGGTGGAGAAGACCAGATATGTCCATTTTAGGATTGTCGAGGACATACTGGGGGTTCTCATCAGCCTGGCTGCCTTGGACAAGATATTTGTCGAACGGAGTCTTAATCTGGGCGACGTGCTGAAGTCCGACCAGAGTATGTCTCACGGACTCGAAGAAACCACGGCGAGCTTCAATCATAACCAGCTCTTGATTAGGGTCTATGACTGCGTCAGAGATATCGGACCATAATATCTGAATGGTGGGAGGCTTCTTGTCTAGCCCATCTCTGATTGAGCGATCGGCAATGACAGCTGGCTTGCATATGGTCTCGAAGTTATCTGCTGCGGTAGAGATGGCCACGATGGTGCCTGGAGTAAGGCGACGCGTACGTGTCCAGACAATCTTTCTCCCGGCTCTTTGCGTGGAGAATTGCAGGCGACAGACAGGGCCGAGCCTGGTCATGAGGTAGCCTTGGACGAAGACCTACATTCAAGATGAGATGGATGCTGGGATGAAAGGACAGATTTTGAACTCGCCTTCGTGTAGACACACGTAAAATCGTCATCCATCATTACCGGGTTTAGCTTAAACTCACGTACTCCATTTCGGAGGGAGGTGATGCCTTCCTCTCGGGAAAGGCGATAGTGTATCTCAAGGTATCCGTTCTTGTCCGAGTAAGGATACCTTATGTCATTCTGTGGTACGTTCATCCGAATCTTCTCCAGGTCGTTGTCCCAATCTGGGTTGAGTTCCCAAGAGGTGGGAAGCTCCGGCAAGCTCCGCCAGTCACCGTAAGGCTCTGCAGGCTTCGACGGGCTGAAATCAACGTGGCTTCGTATGATGGACACCACGTCCTGTGGAGCCGCCTGGTCAGTTTGGTCATCCCGATCCATGATGTCGGGCTTGAGGGACGATGGAGATGGAAAGGATGGAGGTGGACAGGAAGGAGATGGGCAATGTGCTGATGGATTTGGGAGGGGAGGGGGGAGTAGTGTGCTACCTACCATCATCATCGCGCTGCCCTCGTCCTCCATCGTACAAAAATGTGGATGGTTAGCTATGGGTGAAGACAACAAAGGAGTGTCGAAGTATGGCAAAGATCGGACATTGGGAATAAAGCAAATACATCAAACAAGCCAGTGCTTACAGGATCTGGGGGAAAGCTTTTCCAAGATGAAACAAGTCTGAACAGAAGAGTGCAGCCAGGTTCTGTCCGCCGGGCGCTGGCCCAAACCCCACTGTCGGCGAGATCGAGGACCAGAGAGAGCACTGGCAAGAGCCACCCCCCAATATCGCCAACCGTTATGGAAAGTGACCAGTAGTGCCAGTGAGCCTCCTCCTCCTGAGCCTCCTCCTCCTCCTCCCAGAACCAAAAACCTTTCGTTGTTTGTTTCCACTCAAGATATCCCCTATGCCGTTCAGATGCCAATCAGGTGTGCTTTCAGCGTGCTTGATGGTTTGCATGGTGTTTGCTAGCGCTAACCGTGAAGGAGTTGCATGGTAGATGAGGCAGACAGGGTGAATAAGGATCAACACATAGACGTCAGAAGATCCTGTATCTGTACTTCACTGTTCTTTGTTCGGAGAGCCTAGAGCCCCCTTGCAGCTGGCGGTTGTGGAACGGAATCTGACGATGTTGCCTGCAGCCAAGGCGGAACCTATGCCAGCAGGCTCGATTGCTACACCAATGTTAAGCTACCGTTATAATGGACGGTAATAGGAGTAGATGAGAGCTATCGAGTAAAACTGCTGACTTACTGTGCAGGGGTGCTAGAGAGTCGTCTCACAGACATCCTTGGCTTCATTACAGCCTCCACAGACGTGGCTACCGGGATTCTTCAGCAATCAGTGTCAAACAGCAGGCCGATCTCATGCCGATCGAGGTCATGAAGGTGATACTTGCGATGGTTGTAGTGGTGGTAAATGCCGTGGCTTCATTTCTAGGCAGTGGTGTGTCGAAATTGCAATACGGTGAATATAGTTCGTCAAGAGTCTCCATGTGCTAAACAACAGGCGCATCAAGCGGAGGGTTTGAGAGTAGAAATATGCAAAAGACCGGCGAGATAGGAATTGTTTACCCAGCTGGGTAAGGGGATGCTCTGAGGGCCTTGTTGCCCAATCTTCAAAGCGCCCTTGAGGGGTGTCACCACCGTCTCCCCGCTTGCATAGTTGTTACTTCGATTGTCTGAGAGCAACAATACAAAAAGTACATTGGATTCAGATTATGAACCGATTGTGCAAAACAATGCAAATTTGGAGGACAAGAGTGGCTCTCTGTTGGATGGATCATCATATCCATGGCAAGCTTTTGATATCAAGTAGAAGGTCGTTACACCCTTTCAGCTTTATATATCGGGCAAAATCCATTTCACCATTCGTTCCTATATCAGGTGCAGGAGAGTGCTGATGAGATATGGAAGAAGTAATTGATTCTAGATTAGTGGCATCAGACTGATAGTAGTAGAAATGGCCAGAACAATGTACGGTGATATATTTGCCATTTACCTTGGCCGTCATGGCAATCCAAAGTTCAGAGGCAAAAAGGCTACGCCTAACAAGCAACATCTCGTCAAAACAACTTGTTCGTAATATTACTTTTCACAAAGCATTGTGACAACACATGAGGCAAATATATATTCTTAAATGTACAAGATATCTAATATATACAAGAACAGAAGTTCAACGCCGCTGAAAAAGCCAATGCAAGTCCCTCCCACCACGTAAATGCAATGAAGACTCCATTCATCATAGGCCGTACATGTCCTTCAGATCACTGCGTCGGTTGACGAGGCCCTTGGTGTAGAGCTGGTGTCCGATGCCACCGCGAATCTTGAGCATCTCCTTCGCGTGGGAAGCCCTGGAGGTCCGCTTACACTTGCTGGGTTGGGATCCAGAGCCTCCACTCCCAGTGCCGGTGCCGCTCCCACTGCCCACGCTGCCTCCCGTCAGAGCCAGAATCTTGTCCACAGCACGTTCGGCAGCCACCATGACAATAGCTTGGGTGTTGCCCGTGGGCAGGTCGGGATGCATCGAGGCATCAACTACAAACAAGTTGTCGGTACCATAGACCTTGGTGTCCGTATCAACGACAGCGCTGCCATTTCCAGTGCGACCGTCGTCAACGCCCATCTTGGTGGTGCCGACAAAGTGAGCACCGGTGGTGGAGGTGGATTTGAGGTTAGCAAAGAGTGCAGCGCCAGTGATGTTCGAAGGGGCTGCTGAGCCGTCCGACAGTTGGAGAGTGAGCGTTGAGTTGGCTTTGCTGGTCATCTGGACAAGGCGGTCCAAGAATACTTCGTAAGCTTCAACATCACCCTGGGTCTGGAGCCAAGGGGAGCCAGAAAATTGGGTGAGCTTTCCAGTAGTGTCAAGCACCACGTCGGCCGAGGAAGTAACGCCGTGGGTAACGTAGAGTTTGATTCTGATGGTGTTATCCTTCGGGCTGTTGCAGGTTCCTTGAATGTAACGGGTCTGCCCATCGCTGGGCGAGGTGACCGCGGTCCAGAAGTTGAGACGCTGACCAGACTGCGTGAGGAGTCCAGAGCCCTCAGACCAAAGAGAGACGGACTCCTCACTTGGGGTTGTGAAGTTGGTCGACGCGAGAGACGTGAGAGAGCTCTTGGTTCCGAGAGTGGCGGTGATGATTGTGTGGTCCTTCACCCCTTTGCCGACGGGCAGGTTAATCCATTCCGATGAGTCAGGGAGAGTAACGCCAGACGGAACTGTCTTGATCTGCTCGGTTGGGCCAATGCCGCTGTAGAAAAGGATTCTAGGGGTAGACAGCGCTCCAGCTGCGAGAATAACCTTTCCAGTCGTCTGCGTGACGCTGATAATCTGGTGAGTTCCATCTGCAAGCTCCACTTCAACGCCAGAAACCCAAGTACCATTACGCACCGCGCGGATCATCTTGGTATTCAGGCTCAGCTTGAAATTCGACATGTTCTCAACCAGGGGCAGATACGTCTTGACGGGGCCACCGCGCATTCCATTCTGGATGTTCCATGGAGGGTGGGAGAAGACGTCGATCTTCTCATTAGGCTCATTGATAGCGTCGACGGAACTGAAGCCATTGGCCGACAAGAACGAAGACAACACGTCGTAGGCATCCTGATCATACCTCTGTCCGTCGGCAGATGGCAAGTCGGTGGCAGGGTTACGAGCAAAGAAGCGCTGCGAAGCTGCAGCAACATCTGCCGACTTCCAGCCTGCAGGCCACTTATCGTCAAAGTCCTTGTCTTGGGGTGCGACAAACATCAATGCATTGACCATACCACCGCCGCCGAGAATGCATCCCGCCTGAGATGCAGTGTCCGTACAATACTCGGTGGTTTCAGCAGCGGATGACAAATAGTAAGCCATGGACGGCACATCGTACTGGGTGACGGAGGAGTTCCAGGAAAGGGTTGCCTTGCCACCAGTCGAATATGTAGAGGCACCACCACGTTCAAGCAGGAGAACGGATGCACCAGTTTCGGCGAGCCTGCCGGCAACAACCAGCCCAGCCGGGCCAGCACCAGCTATGATGTAGTCGTAAGTAGTATTGGAATGAGTGATCGGAGTAGTGCTGTTGCCAGGCACTGTAGAGTTGCCACCAGTTACGGGCGGCGTTGAGCTTGTGGTATCTGCCATGGCAGCCCAGGTGTCATATTGCGCTGACATCGCATCAGACAGCGTCAAACCGAAGCCTCCAAACCCAGCAGAGTGGTAGTTCAGGGCGGTAGACGCGTCAGCACTATCTGTGACCGCCGTGCTCGAGTACGCCCAGCCGAGGATCGGTCTGGCTTCGGTTGTCAGGAATGTGTCGTCGTCGTTTGTGATACAGCCAGCACATAGGAATGTAGCTGCGTAGTGTGTGCTGTTCACATAGGTTCCGGCGGCGATAGGATATAGATCAACATCACCAGAATAGACCGCGGGTGTCGCATAGCTAGTTGCCATTCGAGCAGAGGTCATCACGGCTTCACCATTGGGCCACGCAACCAACAGGAGCTTGTTTGCCATCTCCATGCCAAAGTCGAACCCTGCCCAGCCCGCTCCGTCGGTTGCAGGGGCGACGAGTTGAATGATCACATCGGTGCCGATGGTCTCGGGCAGGGCCATGCCAAACAAGTAACCCTTCCCATCACTGTAACCCGAGAAAGATATGCCTGTGGAACTGTCTGTATAGTTCAAGGTGCCGGCCGCTGAGGCGCCTAGCGCCATCGTAGCTGCGGTGGCTGCGTTGAGCTTCATGGTGGCTCACGTAGACCAAAAGAAAGAAGGTCAACAGAAAAGAATGGAAGAAGCCGTCAAGGCTGAAGAGAAAGGACGCGTTTGGAATACAAACGACTTGAAAATGAAATACAGGAAGCGAAGTAGTCTGAACAAGGGACAAAAACACAAGACCATCGTGACAGACGGGCATCAACGTGCAAATATATATATGAACCTGGCACTTACACGTCGAGCACGATAGCCGATGGCAAGGGTAAAGGCTTTGCCGGTCTTCCAGAAAAGAGCCGCAACTCTGGAAAACCTGCCCCCGGACCCTGCATCCTCCAATAGTATCGCGTGGAACAGAAAGCAAATGCCCGACAGTTGTCTGCTGCACCGAGTCTAACGTCGTTGATAGATGAAGTGTGGATGGGACCTCGCTTCTGGATGTCCAGGTCTCAACGGTCATGCGCTGATGTAAGTGGACATCCCCGCAATCTAATTTAGCAGAGGTGGGCTGTTTCAAGCGCCAAGGACTCATATAAACGAGTTCGCTTAAGATGAAGCTGGCGCTAGGTACAAAAGAGAGCCATGAAACGGGCCCACCAGCAGGATTGGTAGCCGAGAGTTGGGATGAAGCAGTACCAAGGGCGCAGAGAGATCTGAGGATCGCCACAGGCCCCCATTAAGAAGGTCTGGATGACGGAAAGCAGCGAAAATAGGTGATGTGCGTGCGTGGAAAGATCCGAACGTGGGACGACGACGACACCCACATCGATTTAGGGAGAACGCGTCCTCTGGCCCCGCGTGGGGACATTTTCAGCTGAACTTGCAATTTGGCCGGCTGAAAATGGGAGCCCAGGCCCACCGTTTCTGGGTCCCGGGTCCCCATAGTTAACACCCCCCGGCAACTTTGGAAGCACTTTTCTTGGCGGTCCATATGTAGTCATCCAAGTTCACCGCGCATATACCGTCCAGTACCTCCAGCGCGTGCATCAACGTCATCAACCTTGGCAGCGCATCCATGGAAATACTGAGCTCAGGTTGGGTGGCTTGTGCCGGTGGCTCAGTGTGGCTTTGTCTTGTATTCCATATTTAGTCATTTTCTTCCGCGTGTGGATTTTGAAAAGACAACGCTCCATTTACCCATATAATTGGCCCCTGCATTCTGGCGACCAACAACCCCTATTCTACGCCCTACGGAGGTGCCAGTCTTCTGGTCAGCCGGGTCCTATTAGACAAGGCACGTTGGCTTTTTCGTTAGTGACGAGAAAGACTGCTTTCGCTGTTTGGGCCTTCTGGGGTTTCACTGTCCTGAACACCACTCCAGGTTAATACCAAAAAGGTCAAGAACGTCTCGTGGCAGTGACCACAGCAAGACCAACGCAGAAATAACCGAATCAGACCAAAGACAACCTGTGCCAAGTCATATGACAGACAGTGAAGAGTTGCGGGCGTCGAGACTCTAATCAATCGCCGCCCGAGTTAAGAGCCCCGAATAGGTCGCCAGGTCATGGGAATTTGAGTACGTTGAGATATCCACTGGTTGTTGGGTGATACATGGACACTGAGGAAATCACTCCAGCAAGGTGTGCCGCACATAATTGGAAACCTTGGTAGCTTGGTAAAACCCTCCCGTCATGTCATGTACATTACGTCGCGACAAAGCTGTCGTCCAAGAGGTTGATTGACCTCGGGGTATTGGCGCCTACTGTATTCACGTTCTTGTATACCATTAGCTTTACAACTTCCTTCAGAAGTGCCGAAGATACCGTTTACTATGATAAGGACGTCAGGCCGGACCTCACTGCTCTTATCAACACCCAACAGAACCTATCTGCTACTTTATGTGATCAGCGGTACGTGTCAATGGATATGGAACAATGGCAAACTTGTGGAACTCAGTACGGCACTCTCATGAGAACCATTCAACATATACAAACATAATAATAACAATATAACTACAAATGGCATCAGCATAATAGCCATTGCTCCTAGACTCCCGTAATTGCTTCACGATGCCAAAGTCCAAAGACTTACTAGCTGCATTGCTCGTTGGACATGTTTCGCAGGCAAGTTCGCAATGGCGCTAAGCGACTTGTTCGCAGTGCCTCATTGCCAAGACAGTCTTGCCTTTCCAGTAGCGGTAAAAAAGACTTGGCAGACATTACAACCGATGGTAAAGATACGCACTAACTACTTAAGCGGTCTAGTACCGCGCTCAAAATGTATACTAAGCGGATAACTACGCATGGGACGCAACCGAGAAGTTCTTCGAGAATCTCTACGGTATCCTAGACGCGCAGGTCACTCCAAGAGACGGCGAAGACGACACCGCACCAGCGAAACCAACCAAGGCTCTAAACATCATCCTCGAGAACATCCGGCATGGTGTTCCTCCTAACAAAGACCTCTACGACGTATTCAAGTTTCTCTTCTTCTTCTCTGCTCCCTTCGGCACCGCGTCGCTGTGCGTAGAGAACCCGATCCCGGTTACCGAAGCCCGGCCACTGGTGTCACCCAGTTGATCCACCCCCAGTTCCCCGCCGGCACCTTCCCAGTCAAGACCCAGGATGGGGGACTGTGAGTACAAAAACGACGGGAAGGGCAATGCTGGGGCCTTGTGGTGTGGCGGCAAGGGACATAGCTGCAAGGCTCACGACGATTTCAACAAAGGCCGGGAAGGAGACCATTATTGCCGGGAACTGGGGCAGAAGACTCAGAGGTCTATAGAACAACGTGCTATTGTGGCTTGCGAGTTGTAGTATTATGTATAATATAATTTGTTAATGGTTGTTTTGAATAGATATATGTCATTCTCATTTTGCAGCATTGTAAATGGCATTGAGCTCTCTACATTGAGAGGTCTTCGCGATGAGGTACGTCATTGGTGGGATCTCGCAGGCAAGACTGCCAATTTATGCTACTTGTCGTATGGAGGTGTCGGCGTACAATGGAGACTGTTTTGGATCATTGCTACCAGTTTCATTATCTACACAATGATGGTCAGGTTTTCACGAGATAGCATCAAGCCAAGATATATGGCATGATGATGCCATTCCCAACCAATTTCAGTGCATGCTTTATCCAATGGGATGCTTCGTGAAGACCTCGGTAACTTCAAGCGGGCTAATTCCTTTGAAAAGGCGGGGAACCAAGAAAAATGTCCACTGTTCATTGAATTCAATATCCCAGTGATTCAGGACCCGGGCTTGAACAAGGACAAGGCTTTGATTCATTCTCAGTAGCATCACTGACTTGAAAGCCCTTCAGAGAGTTCTACAACTCAACGAGCCGAAAACAGGTTGAAGGGGATGACTCAGGTTCATACCATCAATAGCAAGTATCTACCTAAAGCAGATTGAAGGATGTTCTTCTCGAAAATGAACAGCGATGGTTAAACTTCTCTGGTTTTGTGAGCTCGATAAAGACAGAAAGCAGCAAGTCGTGAAAGTATTTCACATACTAGCGTGCACTTCCATGGATGGAATTGTTCCTAAAAGTTGGTTGTCGATCATGGACCTTGTCGGTTGTTCCCGATGTCAATATAAGGGCTGCAGACTATGGGAATGTTTGAGCAGCTCCACAAACTTGGTAGAATCTACAGCTGCAGCTAGTTCGGAAATCATCAGAGGATATGTAAGTACGGATATTCTTTAACCCCTGCAGTGATTTTAAGGAAAATTAGAAGGTCCAACCTGCACAGACCCTGCGTACCATCACAAGGCATTTGTGGGCAATATGATATATAACTGCTGCCGCATGCCAGTAAATATAGCTATCAGCCGCTTCGAGGATCATGGTCGCGTTGAGTTTGACGGCGACTGATGCGGCGTATCCGCTTTGCTTGCGATCGCTTAGTGCACGATGCCGGACAACAATCATATTCTGCCATGGCTCACTTCATTTGCAGACAACATTCAATCCCATCAGATGCAGCCGTCTGGTCCGTTTGCTGTGACATCTAACATGGGACCGCCCAAGGGCAGTGAGGCTCCAGTACCAGTATCCAAAGGCTTGGCAAAGTCGACATCCACATGGCTTCCAAAGAAGGGTGCCTCAATTTCTCGGCATGTCGATCGTGGAGCGGACCGAATCTCTCAGTTCATAAGCAAAGACGATCATTCTGACCATCAGGGGTGGGAGGAGGCCATCGCAGACCCACAAGACCCAGAGTACGCCACATCACCAACAGGCAATTAAGTGGATTTCCGAACCTGCGAGATACCCCAGAGATCAGAACCTCCAAAGATTGGTTCCGAGAATGTCCTGGAGGCTCTTCCGAGCGTTGTACCAGACGAATTCTGCGGCATCTACGTGTACGGAATCGACGAAGAGGAACGCCAGAAGCGAGCCAACCAGTCGATTTGTGATATCGAGACAACTTTCACGCCGACACTGGCTGTTTGCGTATGTTTACCCCTCACATCTTGCGAGAAGAATAGGAACCCTAATGGCAGCAAAGCATCGAGTACAAGGTGCCCAGCCTATACAAGCGAGAGTCTCGAACCAGCCAAGGCTGCATAGTCAGGCTGGTAGAGAATGAGGCGCTGTTTATCATCGACCGGAGGAAGCCACTTCCCATGCATGTCTCGCGTCCTTTGTTCCAATTGGTAGGATGTCAGAAAAGCAAGCTCGTTGCGAGTGCCAGTGACTACAATACGACCCTACTCAATCAAGAGATGATCATCCACTAACCGTTTTGATCGTCCTATGCAGGGATTCCTTTCAAACGATGTCGTCGAGATACGTCCATAGGCTGCCAGAAGAAACCGTTTAGTCCTTGGAGTGAAATAGTAAACATTGATCAGTCAGAAGTCCAGATTTTCGTGCGGCAAGAGATCTGCGTGTAGCGATTAGGAAGAAGCAGGAAGCGGAGCTCCCAAGTCCTCTCAAATATAAAAAGACCAGCTTTCACCCCAATCATGTTGATAATCTGCTCCTCGAAGTCACAGACGACCATCTAAGGATCTGCTAATCGATTTGAAATATACCAAACTCCTGATCCGAATCTCTTCACACGCAAACATGAAGGTTGGACACCCAGACTTTCTTTAGTTTTGACCAGAGACAATACTCAGCAGTAGCTAACGGGCATAGACCGCAACTGGCTCTCTGCTCTTGATTGCAGCGTTAAGCAATGGGGCAGTACTCAATCAACGTGCCGGAGAGACAGGAACCGTAGAGCCATACCTTGCACCTGGTTGTCAGATCACCGACGTGGCCACGGGTCTCTTCTGCGACTTTCCATCCATGTCACTCACGAACAGTGTCTGCCAAGATGTAACCTATCAATGCAGCATCCATCCGCCAACTTCATTCACTGCGGCTCTGGATGCTCCTACCACATCCAACTGCCATGTGGCCGTCTTCGCCAATTTCGGATGCACAGGTGATGAAGTGGATGGTAGTCGGCTGGGAACCACTCCGAGTTCTTGTGTCGAAGCGCCCTTCTTTGGGAAAATTGTTGACGGCGGTGTGCTGAGTGGTGGCAGTCTTTTGCCTTTCGGGTTCAAGAGCTTGAAGCTTGTATGCAATTAGCTTCAGGTCTACCATCTAATGGGTCGTCGTTCGACGGTCCCACCTTACATGACTACTCTAATAAGAGTCGATAGTCACATACATTAACCTGGATTATCCGCTGGGAAAGCCATTCACCTCTTGATGTGCATGAGTAACTTCCTGTGAATGTACAAGAGCTCTGAAATGCCAAGGAATGCCTCAGACTGTAGCAAACTCATGAGCAAAGATCAATACAATACAACTGTGGCAAGCTGTCAGTGCCAGGAGGCAAACTGCAACACCTGTCCCAGTCACAGGGGTCTTCAGAAAAATTTGATGAGTCGACATCATAGTTGAGTAAAGGATTACTTTCTTCATGCTCCTAATAGGGGTCACTTCTGTCCACTTACCTAATAGCTTCTGGTGTGCTAATGGTCGGGCCTTTGTCGTCTACTCCGTCCAGACCTGTCATTGCATTGGCTGCGTTGCCAAGGACTGGACAATAGCCTTGTCAAGAACTGTCAGGATGCATTGTATTCGAACAAAGCTTGATGGGATTTTTACTCATACCACTTCTGGCATCAATGGTATTGTGCCAAGTATAATAACCCCGAGCTTCCCACTGCCCTATGGCTTTTGTTCAGGACTATATCATCCTCACAGCACAATTATATTGTACGTCCCCTGGATCCCCTGGATAGCATCGATCTCAAGAGTCTGGAATTCTTGAAATTCGCCGGGGCGCACGAAACGGCAACTTCATAGCGCTTACCAGCTTCGTCTCGCCGCTCGTCTCTTCTCTTCCTGACCACAAAGATGGTAGGAAGGCTCTATATCAAGGTCCCAGCGACAGCTTACTTCGTGAAGGCCTCGTCTGCATCAGAGGAGCGCACATGCTCTCTACGATCCATGGAGCCCAGAAGAACCGATGGTACCCTGATATACCGGAGCCTGCGCGACGACACTGATCTGTCATCAGACTACGAGTGCGACACGGACAATGATGATGTAGACAATGATGAAAGCACCATATTGCCCAGTCCTGGTGAGTACGAGGCCCTCGCGTCGGGGAATCCCTTTAAAGGTGAGCATTCAGTGGGCGGCTCTAGTTCTTTCAGCGTCGAGGAGACCGCTCAAACCCAAAAGCTGAATAAGGGTCGACTTGCGGGATTCTGGGGTAGGGTCACCACCCGACAGACCGTCACTGAGGTAAGCAAGAAGCGCGAGACTGTTGAGGAGATCCTCATGCGGCTAAAGCGGGAAGAGGAGGAAGCCGAACGAATATTGGCAGCTGACGAAGAGGCAGCTCTAGACGAGCTGAGAACCCTCGGAGTCTAGGGAAAGCCTGCAGGTTGGGCAATGGGTCTTTCGCAGGGCAAAATATAGGTAGACAGATCAAGCTCATGTTTGACCATACGTTACCCTTTGATGGGTAAAAGTATGAAAAGAGCTTCATGAAACCATCCACCTTCAACAGTCTATGGTTGACTTAATACCAGGAGATAGACCACTGATCAGCCAGGCACAAGAAGTCCCTGGGTCATTCAGAGTTGACCTCGTTGGGGCATCACCATCTTTTTGCTCTATCCAGACCGTAGCCACTCATCAGCAGCAAGCAATTTACGAAAGTAGGCACATAAGAGACTTCAGCATTCAATTCAATGATATTGAATATTCTAATCTAACTTCTCCCACCATGCCTAAAATGTTCAAATCCATAAATACTAGCGTCATGACTCCGAACCATGACATGAACACATCCTTCGTTACCCTTATATACGTTCCGTTTCCTTCATTGCGTCCAACAACTTCTCCTAGAGGCTGGGGTCCATTCGTAAATGATGCAATCGCCAGGTTCCCTCGCGCGGCGTTGTCTGAAAGTGCCGCTTCATGTCATCACAGATCGTATAATACAATTCCCTAATTCAATGTACCGAAAAACGCCAGTTGTTTCCTGTGACATCCCGTTCACTCTACTGTGCCCAATCCATACTTGCTAGTCTCGTCCAGCGCACGTCACATTATACCGTCTTGCCACCACAGTCTGGTATCTTGATGCCATCCTTCAGGTTGCGATTGACGTCCATGAGACCCCAGTGGTCTTCCCAGTTCTGGGATTTGGTATTGAATTTGATCTTCCAGGGTTCGTCGAACATTTCAAACCAGAAATAGTTGGTACCGTTGTCAAGTGCAGGGCAGACCCAGTCGCTCAACAGCTGGTTGAGCTCATCGATTCCCGCGACGGCCTGTTCGGGACAATCCGTAATTGTCTCGCTGGCGCAGTCCATGCCGCCCTGGGACGGCCAGCCAATCTCCGAGATGACATTCTTTGACGCGTCAGACTTAGTGAACCCAGCATCGTGAGTGGTCCAGAAGGTATACGTCCATGAAGCCGCCTCTTTGGCATTGATGCCACCGAAGAAAGGGTGAATGTTTGACATGATGTAATCGCTCTTGGAAGCCAAGTTTGAGTCCCAGTTGTCACCTAGATCGGAAGTTGCGACAGGTAGGCTCAGGCCTTTGCTGGTGAGGTTTGTGCGAACTCCGTCTAGCAAGGTGCCGAGCTCTGTCAGAGTCATCTCCTCGCGGAATAGGATTTCGTTGGCGACAATGAGGCCTTTGAAGGGCGAATCGCCGTACGTGTCAAGAATGGTCCACATCTGCTCCAGCTGGCGTGCATTGGTGGTTTCATTACCATCTTGCCAAACACCCAGCCAGATCTTGATGTCGTTCTGCATCTTCAGTTGGTTCAGTGCGTGGATCGTCATCTCGGTCTGGTTACAATCGGTGCCGTAGAGGCGGATGACGTTGGTCAGTTGGCTGAGCACAGCGACGTCGCGGGTGATGTTGTTCTGTGAGGGAGGATTGCTCAGGCAGTCGGGGTATTGCGTGTTTAACGGTGTGTAGTCTACACCAGGGAAGACCTTGTGGAGGTTCTTGTTGTTGAGCAGGGCCTTGATCTCATCGGAGTTGATGTCCAAGTCCCCGTTTTCCTGTGTGTCTTCGCTGGCTGACTGACCTCCGCCACCGCTGCTGCTGCTGCTGCTCCCAGCCTTGTTCTTGTTAGCAAGTACACCGCCGACGACTCCTCCTGCAATAGCGCCCGCAATCACCAGGCCGACAAGAATGATAATCAGCCACTTCCATTTCTTGCTGCTCCCCTGCTGCTTCTTGATCCACGCAGATTGCTCCTTGGCGTCGCCGGCTGCATATCCGGATCCGCCCTTCACCGGGGCGTAGTGATCTCTGGCACCCATGAGCGCGCCGGCTGCTGCACCGCCGGCTGCTGCCCCTCCTGCAGCGTTGGCGCCTCGATTGCTCGTGTTGCCAAGACTCAGCATACTGTTCCGAGCCGAGCGCCGGGTGTACTCGAGACCGTCGTCCCCGTCATCCATAATGTCGTTGGGATTTACTTGGCCCATTCCCGGGTCTAGTCGTTGACCATATGCGTGGTAGGGGTCTCGGAAAGGGTCGCTGGCATGACTGCGTTGACTCCTGGCGGGTGTGCCAGCGCCGGAAGGTATGGCTCCTGCGCTCATCTGTCCAAGCGATGGCGATGAATCTTGGTATTGGCCATGACCACCGTAGGGATCGTGCCGTCCTCCTTGAGACCTGTCGTACGCTTGGCCGTACGTGTGGTCATAGCCTTGGTCGTAGCCCTGGTCGTAGCCCCGGTCGTACCCGTAAGGTTGCTGTCCGTACTGCTGACCCTGATGCTGTGATTGATCATATGCCTGTCCGTGGTAGCCACGTTGGCCATAGCCCTCTGCGGCCCTCATGGCTTCCAATCCGCTCTGTCGTGCGTTACGCTCTGCAACTGTAGAAGCGATACCAGCGAGACCACCCGCTGCAGTCTCGCCAAAGTTGTCAGCGCCAGGCGTTATGTTGCTTTGGCCGCCTGAAGTCCAAGCAGATCTGGCGTTGTCCTCGCGATGGAGCGGTGGCTGCGGAGCGCCTCTTGGGGAAGGTCTTCCTGCTGTTGATGCTGCTGCTGCTGCTGCCGTTGCCCCTACTCCTGCTCCGGTGGCGACTGCTTCGTAGCCGCGACTGCGTCGACGTTCGTCTCTGAGGCGCGTGAAGTCTGACTGCGGGTGTACGCCCGGGCGGTTTCCTGAGCGTCCGGGGGAGTCGAGGTTGGGGTTCCGAGACGACGAAGCCGGGTCGTCGTGGTAATATGGGGGAGGTTGTGCCTGGTAGGTGTCACTGCGATGGTGCTGCTGTGGGTACTGGTTGTTTCGTAACGGGGACGAGGACGAAGGAGCACGGTTAGGGTTATCCAACGGGGCGTGCTCGCCTGGGTCCGAGTCGAACGAGTAGCGACGGTCCATAGTTCCCAGACGCTGGTCGAGCCCTTTGCTCCGTATAGGGTGGCCTGGCACCGGAGGGCGCAGATTAGGAAGGCGGGATACGGGAGATTAGTGGACCAGGGAGTGTGCAAGTCTGAGATCTGATCCCCTCCAGGGCGGGCGGGTGGGTAGAGTGCAATGGCCCGGTCATCCACCAAAAGGGCTGAAGGTGGTGCTGGAGTCTCACAGTGAGGCAGAGGAGCGTGGTATATGTGACACAGCTGCGCCCCTTGCTGGGTCGAGATCGTTGCCCTTTTAGTGAGGGCGGACTGGGATGGTGAGACACTATGCGCTACTGTCCAAGTTGGCCACAACCGCAGAGGGAGCCAAAGCGACGCTGTACAACGAGCGGGCGGCGCATATAACGGCGGCGCTGTGCCCGTTGCCGACTCAAGGGGGTGACGCAGCGCAGTGGTCGCGGTTGGTCTCTTGCCAGCAGCCAAACGAGTGCCGTGCGTCTGGGCAGAGCGAATGTGTGTATTCGTACACAAATGATCGTGTACGGCTTTGCACGGCTTGTAGTGTGTGCAGTAAGTCGGCCCGTGTGTGGTGGGTAACTGGCTCCTTCGTACGGGATCAATCAGCTACTGGTCAACACCTCAGGTGATCGGGCGGTGCAAGAGTCGGCTCGTGTCCGTGGAAGGTTGCTGTCCTCGCTCTGCGGAAAAGAATGAACAAGTTCGAGAATTGGGAGGTTAGAGTTGCAGCTCGTATTTCGCGGCGCTGCGCTGCTCGTATTCCCAGGTTATTTTGCTCTGGCTCAGCTGCAGACGCTGACGCTGGTCTGTCTCTGGTTGCCGGGGAGCGGGCCAAACCCACAGGTGCAGCGGTGCAGCGCCTTAGCGGGCGATCACTCCGCAACCTGGGAGTCTAAACACCCACCACCGCGTGGGAAAGCTGAAAGCTTTGGACAACGGAGACCAGTCACCAGACGCAGACCAAGAGCCTGAAAGAAAGTCCCGTCAAAGAAGGCTGCTACCGAGAAGTCAAGCTCACGACGCGTTACAACCTACCAGTGCATCAGACGATACCGGTAGACTCTTCCAGAGTCTGAGATAGTTACATTCACTATTCACTACCAGTCGCATTCCAATCCAGCCTTGCCAACCTCCAGGGATAGAGGTGCGTGCGACTGCGTACATTATGGCAAGACAGCATCCCAGGTTGTGTGAGTGGTCTTGCTTGTCAAAAACCCCAGTTACCTAGTTACGTAGTTGGCCACGTCCTGGTGCCCTGTGTTGCTGCGTCTTCCAGGGGTTCACAAACAGAGTTCGCAGGGCATTTCCGACTGGCTTCCCTGGCTTCTTTACTCTGCCCTCCCCCAAAAAGTCCAATGGCGTGAGTCGGCAGGCGATCAGACGGCCCTTCTCCTGAAAGCGTCCAACGCCGGAGGATCACTGGTGCCGTGGTTGGCTGACCAACAAAGGGCGACGAACCGGCGCCAAATCCTGGTTTGTCGCCGTCGGGCGATCCCCCCAAGAAGAAAACAGAAAACAGGAACCGGCCCCCTTCTACCAACATCCAGTGCTATTCTTGGCTGGATAGCTGACCGCAACCAAACATCAAGGTGCGTGCGATATTTTTGAACGGCATTAATGCGCACATGAGGCGAGTCAGCGGGGTGGTACTGCACAATTCGCTATAGACAAGTAATTTCCGACGCTTGCTTCACACCCTTGGGCCCTCTTCACGCACAGGCGACGTTGGATCAACCTTGAAGGCAATTCAATGGGGCGAGGCACTAAAAAAATAACTGGTGAGAAGCCGGGCGTCCAGGGCGTCAAAGGCGTCCCCTCAGCCCCCTCTCTCTTCTCTATCACGAGTCCCCACCTCATCGCAGATGGGAGACCCTAACCTGGCCTGTTCCCTGCCAGCTCGTTCATCCAAAACCCAAAGGCCCCACGGGTTACATCATGCGACGGTCTCTTATTTGATGCAGGAACAGGACGACGGGGATTATCGGCCGAATCAAAAGTTCGTAGCAACACACGACTGCACCGAACTGAGATCTGCCCTGTCTGCCTCTCAAATACATACATAGTAAACTGAATACGAGTGTGCCTCCTTCTGGCCGTTCGAAGCCTGAATTACACAGTATCTGATTTCTGCCTCATCGCATAGCCACAAGAGCGGTCGAGGCATGACTGAGCCTTTGACTTTGTGGTATGTCCGTCATGCAATGCACGTGCAATTCGTCCCATTGACGGCAGCACGGCAACCTAACCTTCGGGCACGGGCAGGAGGACTGTCATTTCTCCTCCAGGGGCCGACTCAACAACACATCAGCCACATGGAGCCCTGCTCAGCCACTTAGAGCAAGCCACACCTGAGAAGATGCCGGGGCTCGCGGCGACAACCTACGAACACGCAAGAAGGAATATATCCGCTCTAGATAGTGCCAGTGGTAATAAAGTGTGAAATAGCAAGCAGTCAGAAGTATTAGGGGCTTTCTCTCTTTTCCCTTTCTATGTTCCTGCCCGAGACCACCAACCCAACGTGCCAAAAGAGAGTAGGGAGAGCAACTTGCTATGCTCGACACAACCTGCTATTTTGACTCGGCAGGTTACCCAGTATCATCTCACTCATCGTCCAGTCCTCGCTCCCCACGGCGTTCTGCGCGTAGAACACACTCCAAGGATCGTAACGCTTCTTCAACCGGTACAGCTTGGCGTACTTGTCCCCGAAGAAGGCCTGCCTGAAGTCCGGCTCGATATAGTCCGACTCGGACATGTACGCCCCTGCCCCAGGGGATACGTCGCGCCACCGCTTCATCCAGTCAAATGTCAACTTGTCGCTGGCCGCCTTGATAGACGCCTCGGGCATGGTGGGATCCCAGAGCGTGGCGGCGATCGCGTGCATCGCCACGTTCCTCCAGGCCGGGTTGATGCTGTTGTCCGGATAACCCGTCTTGGGGGCGGCGGCGATGTTGAAGGCGATTATGTAGGCACCGTCCTCCACCACCGACCGGATAGAGTCAAATGTCGCGTTGAGTTTCGTCTCGCTTTGCCAGTTAGATCTTGGGAAAAGACGGCTTGCCTGCCTGATCGTGGTACTTCCCCACGGTTCGACGGGGAAGGACGCGTACCACGCATCGTAGTAGTCATTGAACTCTGTGTAGGTCGGATTCACTTCGACCCCTATCTGTTTCCACCTCGAGAAGAGAGGCGCCACCAGAGCCTGCAACTCGGCCTTCGACATCCCGGGCGCGAACCACGGCCCCATGTCTGACATGAATTGACCCGGCCCTGTGGAGGTAACCCGAAAGTATCCATAGTTCCCTTTGTCCGCGTAGTCGACAAAGCCGTCAAAGTAGGCACGCAGGGCTCCCCAAAATTGTGATGCTGTGATATTGCCAGGTCCTCCCGTGGAAAGGACGTAAGTCAGTGTTGTGACTTTGATTTTCGGGAAGGCCTTCACGACGATTGAAGTAACGACGCCGTACGTTGAGCCTCCGCCACCGCAGAGCGCCCAAAAGAGGTCAGGATGCGACGATTTACTGGCCGTCACAAACCGACCATCTGCCGTGACCACTTCCATAGACAGGATCTGGTCCGCCGCCATTCCGTACATCGAGGAGAGGGGTGAGTGGCCTCCACCCAGGATATAACCGCCCATCACACCGACCGTACGACCTTCGCCGCCGACCGCCGTCACGCCGTACTTGTGGGCCGCTTCGTAGAGCTCAAAGGCCTGCACGCCAGCACCGAGCTTGAAGGCTGGGCCGTGGTACCCACTTTCACGGTATGACTCGAAGAACTGGACGTCCTTCAGATTGTGCGTCCAGAGCGAGAGCGCTCCGTAGCCGGTGGACTTGGCGCCGAAGTCGTGGCCCGTGTTCTTGATTACGAGACGTAGGTTCAGGTTTCGGGCTAGATTGACGGCAAGCTGGACTTGTGCCACGTTGGAAACTTTGACGGCGTAACTGGGATACCCGCCTACGGTACAGTGGCGTGTTGCCGTAGTATTTGGGAGTAGTCTTGGTGGAAGGCATGATTGGCCTTGGAACAGGACTGCATTCACTGACGTCGGATCTTGAGCGCTACGCTTTGTCAGTGTTTGAAGATTCCCAACTCTGTACAGCCGCGCTGGCTTACTGGTAGAGAGATCCATTGGTCCAATTATCCGTGAGAAAGCCGCATTGCTGCTGGTTGAACTTGCCAAAATCATCATAGCATGCCGCAGCGTAGGGCACTGTTTCGATCAAAGCACCACCAAGCAGGACGTCAAATAGTTTCCACAAATACCTTGGAGGCCACAGGAAGTCTCCGGGATAAGTCTTGCATCTGGGAAAGAATGTTCTTTTCGAAAGTCCTCCACTGGTGACATTATCGGCTGTTGCATTGTCAAAAGCGAAGAGAGTGATATTCGTCAGTTGCAAGTCGGTAAGATTGGCCAAAACGTAATCAGTCAGCTGCAGTGTCTCGCTATTAAACAGGTCTGCTGTGGAGTTCGAAGATCGCTGGTCAACAGATTCTAGGGCTGGCGCCACTATTGACTGATTCACCTCTGCTCTGAAATCAGTTTGAGGCCCAGAGATAGTCAATGAATGCCATCACTTACGCACTGTTGAATTATCGTTGTTCAAAATAGTCTGTGAAGTACCCAGATGACACAATGACAATCCCCATAGTGCCAACACAGAGCCGAAATTGCTCTTCATGGTGACAAACGTGTCCGGCGAACGCCTGTCACAGCAGATGGACTGGTGAAACAGAGCGTCTGCCAAGAACCTGTTACTCGCAGCGAGTTTAGCTGAGTTATACTCACCTGACACTGATCGTATATCGCACGATCATCCTTCAACTGCTCTGTAAACCCCAGGTCGTTCTGAATCAGCCTCAGAGCAGAAATTAGGGGTAGACCCAGGATCGCCACAGCCAGTCGGATAAATCTCCGATCGCCACGCAGTAACCTGGCGAAATAACTGCCAATGAATGCTGGGGTAGTACAACGTCGGCCGGCTTCTTTCCATTAGTTGGGCGACCTCCATTATGAAATGCGCTGGAGCGAATGAGGACCACGCCCTGCACGCACATCAACACGTGGTAGCTGAGACGGACACAACGTAGAATACCGGCAGATAGTTCACGTCCGGGCCGGCTGTTCGGGTAGGATAATATTTCGTGAGACGAAAGAGTCCTCTTTGGAGGTCTGTTGGTCCCTTCCAGACTGTGCGGGACTGCAGGAGATGATATTAGCCTGCAATATAATGGCGCAGCAAGTTAAATGAAGGGTCTGTCACCCCTTTTACGGACCACGAGGAATAGAACGATAATTATACATCTAAAGGAGGGCCAATTCAGTTTTCCTCTTGGTTTTACCCGATTGGTCAAGGCCTGCTATGCAAACGTGTGCGAACCGTTCTAAGTGGTCAGTTGAGATCAGCCTATTCCGGAGGCGTGTCTTGGTCTTCGGATCTGCAAATCAATCCATCACGACTTTGGGTGGCCATTCTTGCTTTTCTATGGGTGCCATACAGGTAAAGGCCATGCAATGAGGAGAACAAGTATTAGACTTGCCTGAACAATGCTGATCAGCTAACCTAGAGGCATACTCAAGCTAACCACAAATTTGCAGATATAAACAGGTTGCTGCCTAGATCGTAGAATTGACTGAGACGATTGTCAGGTGCTCTCCTTTGAAATGGGTGTCTTCATTGTTGGTCTGGTCTGCGAGTGGCGTTGACGGAAGCATGATGCACGGTGTCCATGGGAAATTACAGGTAGTATGATGTTTCACGCAGGCCTTATCGACCCTAGGCAATTTGTAACAAGTCATTAGCACAACTAAAGCCAAAATGGAATTCTACAAAGAATTGATGTTACGCCAGCACGTGTTTTAGATCATAGGGTCGAATGCCGCATTAATCCGCACCAGTGATTCTTCTACGAACTTTTTTCCGGAACCGCCACTCCGCGTCGGCTGGGGGGAGAATCCCAGAGATGAGACAGTTGCTTTAGTGTCCGTTACATCCCGAGTGACCAGAATGTAGCAATGCGAAGCATATGTACGCACGGCCGGCCGTCATGGTCTATAGAAATCCATGAGGAATGAGATGTGTGAAGCGTACGGGGCTACATGAAGCTTTTCTCAGCAATGAATACCAGCCTTTTCGAAAGCCAACAGGTTTTTACTGGGGAAACAATGGATCAAGCGTATGCTGTGGACCATTATCCCTATTCGGAGCTACAACATGCTGGCTTCTTCATCCTATTCTTCTTCCCTGCGCTGGCTCTGATTGTGGTGATGATGCGGATGTATAGTCGGACAAGGACCAAGCAGATCGGATGGGGTTCGTATTGTGCCTAGCGAGTCTGCAGTGTTACTGATCTTCTAACGACCGCGCACAGACGATGCATTGATTTGCATGGCCATGGTAGGAGCACCCACGCAATACGAGCTGCTACACTAGCTGACGCCTTAACAGTTACTGTCAATTGCGGAGACGGGGGCTTCATACATGGGTCAGTTGAATTAGCGATGACTTGAACTACTTTACTTATTATCCATTTGCAGGTATGCGAAAGGCGTATTTGGGCGTTCACGTTTACGACATCCCGCCAACGGCTGATATGGTAAGTTGACAGTCGCACCAAAAGCACCAGCACTGGCCCGTCTCGCATGGCCCTTTCATCTCTCCAGAACATTTATAACTCGGCACAGAATAAATGGCTTATGGTGTCTCACAGAGTCAAGGGCTGTTCTGGAATTACGTGATACAGACGCTCTACAACCCGATTCTTGCCTTGGTCAAGAGCTCCGTATTGTTGTTCATGCTACGGCTTGGAGGCCACCGGAAATCTGTTCGCTACTGCATCCACGGACTCAACATTTTCAACATAGGGCTTATGGTTGCTATCTTTGTCACCGTCATATTCCAATGCAAACCCATATCCTATTTCTGGGGACGAGTTGCCGATCCTGAGTTGCAAGGCACATGCGTCAACACTGGTGCATTCTATGTCTCAACTGCAGCTCTGACAATTGTGACTGATCTTCTGGTACTTGCGCTACCTTTTTGGATATTTCTGCGACTCAAAATGGCCTTGAGAGTCAAGTTGGCGTTAATGGCAGTCTTCCTCCTCGGCGGGGTGTAGGTAACGAGGCAACCTCAAGATTGACAGAGCTGACTCCCTGCAGTGTAACAGTCGTTAGCATTCTTCGCCTCCAATGGATAGCCGAAACTTCGTTCTACCCTTCGCAAGTCGACCCTACGTACGATATCCGTTTCACGTACTCTGCTGCCGAGACCAATCTGGCAATCATCACCGCCTCAGGGCCTGCGTTGCGCCCCTTGTTGGTTCGATGGTTCCCTCGATTCTTTGCGTCGCTTACTGGAAACTCTATTCCCAAATATCCGTACAGTTCGAATAGATACAACCTTAGCGAACGATTGGAGGCGAGGACGAAGTCAACCAGAAGTGGCCTAGCGGGTCGATATGGCACTTCATCATACGCAACAAAGGATACCGAGCGGGGGGCCCGTGTGCGAGACCAGTCCCCAGCTACCAGCGAGGAGGAAATTATGGCGTACAGTGGAATTATAAGGACAACCGAAGTCAAACTCGAGTTTGGTCATCCGCAATCGCCCCGAACAATACAAAGCCAGAAGAGCCAATTGCATCCGAGCTTTTGAAACCCCTTTATCACATGCTGGTCCTCCTGCGGCGTAAGAAAGGTAATTCATTACATATCCTAGCTTACGGACACATTAATGGAGCTCAGAATAATCAATTTATTTCTTTCCAGAAATTTGTTTGAGAACCTTCCTCCTCTGGGACAGCATATGCGTGTAGAGAAACGGACCAGCTGTGGACGGCAATTAATACACTAATCTCGATGTTGACGTTTGAAACGTACCGGGGATGTAGGTTAATAGCCCCAGTAGGAGATAACCTCTGTAAAATGGGTGCATAGGTGTCTCCTGGATTAGGCTGAGATATACCAGACCAGCTTCACTCAGTAGTCCCGCTGGGTACAAGACCAGGAATGCATTGTATCTGAGAGTTGTCAGTAACTTCCTGCCTCAGCAATGAAGGTGGGCAAACCTCAGCCACTTAAGCCAGTTTGGGGTGTCTCCATTCGATAGTTGAACCACAAAATATCCGTAACGGATCATCTCTGAGCATCCCCAGGCCAAGACACAACCCAGAAACTCCCATGCACCCCACGAGTGACCAACTTTGTTGCCAACAATGATCTCTGGAAATTTTACCATTACGGTCCAGACTACTAGATTTTTGCCACCGATCTGCAGTGCCGTGGTGAGGGGCGATGCTCTGACGAGTCCCAGAGCCGCATGGAGTACTTCAAGCAGTGCCAGCGTCTGCGTGCCAGCAAGAAGGGGCATAATCTCGGCGTAAAGCTGGTCCACATTTGACTGTGGGTATGATCCCGACAATTTGGCGAGGGTATACAGCGTCAGATACCCCCAAAGAAGAAAAGACATGGCATTATAAGCCAGCAAATAGACGGATTTGGCCCCCATTGTCGTTCGTTTCAGGGGTTCGAAACGCTAAGATGGTGTGGCTTATGGTTGGTCCCAGCAAGGCTGTACTGCTCCACCAAGCTGCGTCAATGCCAGAATTTGCTAGCAGAAAGGAAAATGCACAAGTAGTTCTCCCAGCGAGTTTCACTGTAACAACTTCCTCACGAGGAATAGAGGCTTAGGTTCCTTCATTTGTAATGAAAAGTGAGATTAGAACGTGAAAGCGGTCAAGACTGGCAGATTAGTGAGCGAACGGCCCCGCTGCCCAATAGAGTCGTTCCCCCGTAAAACCAACGCCGTTGGCCGCACCACGTACGACAACGGCTGAACAGCGATGCAGGGCTAATCAACAGCTGCATGCGAGTCTCCTGCAGAAGACTTCCTTGTATGGGTTGCAAGTTGAAAGAACACCCAGATATCCTTCCATATGCCGCGATGGCAATCCCTCCAAAGGTAGCGCTCGTTGCGCAAGCTTCTGTAGTGCATCAGTGTCACATCTCGCAACGCCTATAATACGCGGTATCGTTTGTTGTTGTTCTTATTATTGCTATTTGGTGATGCCTTATCGTTTAATAGTTTCCTAGCATCATTTACTACAGAGTTCTCATCACTTTGACGAACTGAGCGGTGTGCGTGGAGTGTCCCAAAGTCTAGGACCGTTTGACCTGTTTGAGAATCTGCTAGAATATGTCGATATCATATTTCGATAACCTTTTCCGCAGAGAATCTTATTGTAGAGATCAAGTTCAACTATAGACACACAGTATATATCCACATCGCCAGAACATACGGGCATATGAATCTCAAAAAAGCCCGGGAAAGTCAAGCATGCCTTTCGTCATTCTTTTGTGAAGTAGTACCAACGGTGCCGATGTTTAGCGAGATTTGTTTTATTATTGGATCTCTCAATCAGTGGTACAGTACCCCAAGTGGCACGCGGGCTAGGTAGAGGGACCCGACGATGGTTGACTTCCCTGCAACAGCAACACCAACCCAGACTGATGAGATATCTGGTCCAAAAGACCACTAGTGGATATTGACTCGTACCTCAAAGACAGAAATCCTGCTTAGCCATCGAGGCTGCTAATCATTGTCAAAATACTACCTGATGACTTTGCTGACCAATGGCACAGTAAAGAAGGAAGTGCTCTTGGCACATTCTGAACTGGAATGGTGCTTCATGGCGCAGCACTTGAATTCATCCAATTCTTGATTTTCTGGCCGAAGTCTCCTTTGAGGGCATACCACTGCTCCAAATCAAGGTTGATTGATCCAGAGGAAGTCCAGATAGTTACATATTCCAAGAACTCCTTACGACTTACCATTGGTGGAACCCAGAAAATACAAACGTAGTCGTTGGGCCCGTGACGTCAGGGTCTGGTATACAATGCAGCGGTACGTTTTGACGCTTAGCGAGCTGCGCGGCACCCCGACGCACTACATGATAGCCTCGAATCGAAGAATTTCTGTACGTAGGAGAGGACATTCACAACTACCTGTCTGCAGTGTAAGCTCAGACGGACCAATTATCTTGCCCTGTGGCTACAGGCTAAACAGGGGTCCAGACCACGCACCCCGACGCAGTCTCACGCTTCTAAGCGATGTCATCCCGATTCGGACGATTAAGGAACCATTTGGGCTATTCTTGGAGCTAGAAGCTAATGGTTCCCGTGGATGTACTCTGTGTTTGGCCTTCGGTTATGCAAGTTTCCAACGTTCTGTGGCCTGAAAGGTATGCAACATGCAACGGCGTTCCGGAACCCTGTCAAACCACGCGACAGATTTCGGCTACCGTGTATGGATCCTGTGCCTCCGCAGTGACCGTGTCCCATCGAATCATAGAACCGCAGCATCTATTGAAAGACTTCAATTCAGCTGTATGCAACTCTTGGCGACAACACTACTAGGCTGATGACGTAGATCTTTCCCATTAGGGACATGACCTTGCAGTCAATAAATGTCAGCTCACAGCCGCCAGAGCTGCAGCTGTGCAGCCTGTTCTTGGCAAGTTATATGGTTGCAAAGCTCGTGCATCGGGGACGTGTAAGCGGTATCATATGGTTATGATGTGCAAATTGAAGATAAAAGGAGGCATACCTCTAGGAAACCAAGGGACTTGTTGATGCTAACGGTGCTTCTCCAAGCCAGTACGCGTTTAGGCAGAATTATAATTTGTTGCAGAATGTTATCCATTGGCCAAGCGCTTACAATTACCACCCTACTTGCAGGGGTGGTCTTTGGAGATACATGCTCCACTGTGCAGTCGATCTCGTCGATTGAAGTTTCCAGTCCACTTTCGTTGTCATATATTACCGAGCAGGCCGATTACTGGTCTTCTTCTTGCGCCGCGCTCACGCCCTCCTGTATTATCTTCCCGAAATCTGCTGATGAGGTCGCCACTGTCATCAAGGTTCTGGCTGATAACGGCGAGACGTTTGCCGTCAAGTCTGGGGGCCATAACCCCAACAACTACTTCTCTAGTGTTGCGGGTGGCCCCCTGATCTCTACACAGCGTATGGACCAGGTGCTTTTGGATCCTGTGACCGGCATCGCACGTGTCGGGCCCGGTATCCGCTTGGATGAGATTGCTGCTCAGCTCCAAGGCACAGGTTGGACTTTCGTAGGTGGTCGAATCGGCAACACCGGCGTTGGCGGGTTGGTGCTTGGTGGCGGTCTGTCTTACATGTCGGCACAGTATGGGTGGGCTGCCTCGTCCGTCCTGGAGTATGAGATTGTTCTCGCAAACGGAACTGTGGCAACGGTGTCAGCAACTCAGAATGCGGATCTGTTCAAAGCTCTCAAAGGGGGTGGGAACAACTTCGGTGTTGTCACGACGTATGTGTTGCAGACGTATCGTCAAGGCAACATCTACGGGGGGAATCTTGTATTTCTGCGCACGCCAAAGACAGACGCCGCGCTATTGAAAGCAGTCAGAGACTTTGGGGAGTACAACCAAGATCCCAAAGCTGCTGTCATTGTCACTGCCGAGCGATCGACGGCCAGTGCTATTGACTCTTGGATTCTCTTCATTTTCTATGATGGCGTGAATGTGCCAGAAGGAACATTCAAAAACTTCACCGACGTTGGCCCAACCCTCAACACTTGCCGAGTCCAGACCTATTCCGAGCTCATTGGAGGGAGCAACTGGGTCATCGTTAAAGCCTCAGTTGTTGATATCGGCACCGAAACCATCCCTCTCCCCTCTGCTGAGAATGGGGACTTTATGGATGAGTTACACTCTCATTGGCGCAACGTCTCCGGTACTGTGCAGTTGGAACCCGGGATTGTCGCATCTATTGCCTATCAGCCATTCCCTCGGCGTATCGCTCAAGCTGCCAAAGAGCGAAGCCCTGATCTGATAGACTGTGATGACGATGTGGATCGCATGATCATTGAGATGAACTACAGCTTCACTTTGCAAACCGAATACGAGAAGATGGCTGATACTTTGGAGGCGACCTACACCGGCGTTCGTGAACGGGTAGTAGAATGGCAGAGTGCTGGAAAGCTGCCTCAGGCGTACTTGCCAGTCTTCATGAATTATGGCTTTTACCGTCAAGATTATTTCGGGAGACTGAAGCCAGAGAACGCCGAGTTTGCAAAAACTGTAGCTTCTCAGGTGGACCCCAAGGGCCTGTTTCGAGACAGAACCGGCGGTTTCCGGCCCTAAGAAGCAAACATGCTCACGAATGCCAAATCTTTCTATCTTGAAGAGGGTCCAAGATACTCTCTTTCCCCTGCTTGGAGACTTCAGGAGGTACAGTGATTTTTCCTTAATCGTCAGGAGGAATGGCCTATCGAAATGGCACTCATATCATGCAGATCATAGCTAGATCCACTAGACGGGGACAGTTGTGCAATGAAGTAGTAAAACCAGGGTCATCTCTTGGTCATATTTTGCATTCGTCCGATTGGCTTGTTTTCGCTTTCAAATCATCCCCACGTATCTAAGTATGGAGTTTGCCAGCCAAATTATCACTCCCTCGTGAACTGGATTGCATCGGAGCTGACATATATCGTCCCTTTCATCAAAGGTTGATATTTGAAAAATGGCTTTTGCTGAATGATCGAAATATATAGCGCCTGGGCCGTGCTAGATATGCTTTTCATCCTTGTTGGGAGCGTCAAGCTTTGCCCCCTGGCCATGAAAGGTATTGTCACTCTCACAACGCTCTACGCTACTGAATGGGTAGGAATGCGACGCGTTTTCCGTACTTCTTGCCAAGACAGGACTCGATGTTTCGTGACGTTAGAGTAAATCAGAGAGAGAGAGAAAAAAGGCAGCACATCGCTCTAGGTAAATACAGTGATGTTTGGATTCCTTGTTTTCTGCCAGTCCCTCCGAATGCTCTCTGAGGGCACAACCATCGCGCAAAAGATCACAAATGCAGGGATTCGGTTCGTTGTCATCATCAACAACAAGGGCAAGAGCTTTGCGGGGCTGCAATATTCAATACCAGTTGGACAAACGCAACAAGCACCCATCCTTCTTAATACCTTTATCAACTTCCACTCAAAGACTACACAAAACCCTTCTTTTTCATCCGACAACCCAAAAAACCGTCCATCACTGCACAGCCCAGCAGATTCAATCATCCCACCATCAAAAACCCCATCAATCATCCAAAATGTCTGGCAACAAGACGACCCTCACTGGCCGCGACCTCGAGCTCGCCGGACTTGTCTGGCAGTGCTTCGATACCGAGCCCAAGGTAAATTCTCATCTCACATCTTCATTCCTTGACCTTCAGTTGTGACATTCTTAATTACTCATCATCGCCTCTCTATCAGATCAACTATGCAAAGCTTGCAGAACTTGCCGGCTTCAAGAACAGCGCTACAGCATCCGCCTGCTGGGGCCCTGTCAAGAAGAAGCTGATGGCTGCTGCCGACAATGGTGAAGGCCCTGCCACCACCCCCAAGTCGGCCAAGCGCAAGGCGACCACCAAAGCAGACGACGGCACTCCGATCAAGAAGGCTCGTACCCCAAAGGCCAAGGCCAAGGCCACCGTCGATACCACCCCTGCCGAAGACGAGCCAGTCAAGGATGAAGAAGATGTTGACGCCATCGATGCTGAGGCCTAGACGAGTCGCCAGACCATGCAGATATTCCAGCCCGGGAGTTTGATATCGCAATTCGACATGGACGACACACTAGGGCGAACTTGGGAGCGTTTGTAAGTTGGCTGACTGCGATTATATATCTACAGTGACTGACGAATATTTCTCTTTACATCCAGCTGACGTTCCCACCGCAATGATTTAATGTTGCTGCTCGTTTTGAGAATTCAGGAATGAGACAGCACGGGAGCAGTCTCTCGATGGACTCAGCAGTAAGGTAGCTGGCAGCAGTCAACCTCTCGAATGGTTTGGAATGGTTCGGTCACAGGCCGTATGTAGTCAGACTGAAATGTCTATTCCCTAAACAACCTGTATCGATGATCACACTTTCATGAAACAACGTAGCGTCGATACAGACTCCGTTCGTGCCTTCCGGCGAGCTCTAACAGGCTATTCCAGCGTTCAGCTCACCTGGCACATCCTAGTGCCGATACAGGTTCCGTTCTTGCCTTCCGGTGAGCTCTAGCTGCCTGTTCCGGCGTCCGGCTCCATAGTACAGTGATTCCTCTCTTAGTAGTTACTCATACATGCATCAGTACGCATCATCGATGCCATTTGTCGGCTTCGTGTTAATGTGAGAACATCAACCCGACAGTACCGAAAGCGATTTCCGATACCAGTTCCTCCGTCACTCGTACTGAGGCGGAATATCATTCGCCAAGTGGAGGTCGTTGTCAACACTACGCATGAAATGATGAGCAGCTGCGCGGAGGGCTTGGTCCCTCTGCCTGCTCTGCTGCAGCTGGTTCATGTTGGCAATTCTAAGCTGCTCAACTTCTTGGTTTGCCGTGGCAAGCGATGCTTGCAGGCGTTCAACCTGAGCCTGGAGTCCACGGTTCTCAGTCTCATGACGCTTGGCAGCGGGCTAGTCCGGGTGGCTGATCGATCGACGACGCTTAGATAAGCCGCCGGTCTTCCAGTCGGGAAGAATGGCATTCCGAGCTTCGGCGGTAGACTGGGGACCAGGCAGGTGAGGCAACTTCGCCAAGTCTGTGTCTGATCAGAAGTGTTTCTATGTTTGGGATGTTCTTCGCTTACCGAGATTCGAGATGTCTGCGAAAAAGGCCTCTGTCAAACTCTTGTGCGGATCCTCAGGATCGGGCATGGTGATCTTCAGCAGCAAGGCATGTGTTCCTTCATGAGATCATCCATCTCTCGCATGACCAGGGTATATTTCTGGTCAGGCTCTTCGTTTTTGTGAATGATGTGGGGGTTTCTAGTGATGGCGAATCGGATTTCCCCATCAACCAACTGTTTGAGAAGAGTTGGTTGCTCGCTGGGTTGATCGGCGTTGTTCTGCAGGAATCGTTTGCGGTTGAACTGGTACGCGTCGACAATGTGTCGTAAAGTCGGAGCATACTCAACATGGTCGAGGTCAAACAACTGGCAGAGCTGATAGGTGACATCGTTCCAGATATGACGAGGATTGAAGAGAATGTCGTTTGCGGGCTTGTCGCGAATGGAAAACCTGCGCTCTTGGACGCATGTCTGTCCTTGCTATTTTCTTGTACTTTAAGTAAGTGCGCAACACATTTTCGGTCTTATTTCGCTTGCATTATGCAGTCTCCATTGTTCTTTATTTGGGTATAGTATTATGGTGCCGTGAGTTGAAGCACAGAAATATCAATCGAGCACAGATTTTCAGGGAAGCCATAGCATTGTTTAAAACTTAAATAGTACGTAACATAGTTCTGCGAATAATAGTATAGTTTTAATTATGGCGCCAGCCGCTGCAGATAGTTTCCACGTAGTATGTGTACATTTACTACAGAGCCACTGGCATCTGTGAGTTTCGAGGCATTTTCGGGGAGTTTCACTCTCCATATCAGGCAGGTCCGCAAGGACCAGAAACGCCCTAACTCTCTATTACGATGTCATACTCTTTTGGAGCAAATATAAAATGAGCTGGAAGTAAGAGCTGCGACTGTACGGGCTTGCGGTGTCGAGCTCAAGCGCACCGAAAGCACCTGGCCGCCCCTTAAAGTTAAAAATAAACATATTTACCTTCACAACAGTAAGGCTGTGAATAATGACATTTTCAAAGTGATTTATTCTTCTTTCGGTAACGTCTACCCACACCGACCAATCTCAACCGGCTTCTTCATCACTACCATGTCCGCATAAACGGCAACCTTCTGCTGGTCTAGCAATGCCCGAGTTGTCGCCGTAAAGCGTCTTAGTGCTAAGGCAATATTAGTAATGCCGCGTATTCGAACCTAGATGGATAGGCCTTACACCGCAGGAGCTGCAAGAGCAGCCGGAGCAAGTGCCGGAGCAGGATCAAGCAGAGCAGGAGCTGCAGATTGAATTAGTACAGCTCTTAATCAATGCTGACACCGCAAGCTACCTATGTATCTTGCAGTTTGGGTCTCAGGTGTCCATGGTTCACATACCAGGCAGGCATTTTGATGGGGGGTTTTTTTTGCGGCTTCGAGAGTCGAAAATATGCAGTTGAAGTATGTGTTGTATTGGTGATATCAGTGTTGCAATCTGGTTCTACAATGAGGTGACTTTACAAAGGTCGATTATGGCCCGTTTTATACTTCGTCCCGGGAACCATCCCGCGGGCGTCCAGGACTTTCAGCCCCGCTCCCCTTTCCGATTTTATTACGAGAAGGCCATATCTTTCACATCGGAATACCAACTGCGTAAAGCCGGTGCCGTGGATCGTCCTTCCCCTCACCTGTGCTTCCAACAGAATCCCTTATCACGACCACATGGGCCAATGGAGTTGAGCAGTCCGACGCCCATCTGACATCTCGCAGCGCGTTGCGCGACTTTCGGTCATGGATTCGGATCAAGCGTGGGGTGCGGCCAATAGGAGAAACGTGGGTGTCCCCGAGGCTTACGGGACGTGTTATGGGGTCGTCGGCTCAGGTGATGGCTGCTGGGCAGGCTGGGATCGGCCTTCGGGGTCGGCCGGGCACACATCCTCGATACTCGTCAAGGTGGCAATACTATGCTGGAAGTAGCTTCGAGTGCTTCACTAGCGGCCCGGCCCTGCATCTCTCGGCTCCACTCTCGCTTGTTGCGCTTGATTAAGCGGCACACATCTCATGGCACACATGATGCTGTGTCTGGTGGGGTCTCCTTGGAGATGTTCTTGGCCAGGCAGTATGACCTTGAGCATGGCTTTGGTCAACCGTGACTGGCCTGCTTAGAAGCACGTGAGACTAATTCATGACTAGCCGCCTACCTTTATGTTCAGCCTCGTTGGGAAGCCAGTGGAGAGAGGTGTTTAGAAGTCTATCAGGGGTTGTATTTTCTGCGTCTGCAGAATGATGTCGCAGCCACCGGCGGCATTGTGGATGGAACGAGCCGAGGCCAGTAGAAAATCGCGGTCGTAGGGTTTGCAGGGTGTAGAGCGAACCCAAGAAGGATGAATGGTGGGTGCCAGCGCATTGAAATTGACGCTCTCTCGTTCAACGATACAGAGGTGGCCACATGCCATATAGTCTTGAGCGTCAATATCTGAGCGGCACAGCAATTTTGTCGCTCGAGAGAAGCCGCTGGATGGCATAGTATTTATTAAACTTCATGTTCAATCCGAAGTCCCTTGATGGCGGATTTAACCTTGGCAGCCAGCAATTCTGAGCACCTTGATGGCCAAATTTTGAAGCCACCGGCCAACTTTTCGCCGATCCTGTCGTTCGCAAGCAAAGACCTCAAATTTTATGCTTCCAAATAAAGTGTCAAGACTCCTTTGCGATTATAATTCACTTCGTCATTGCTCTTTGGCCGTTGCAGGACAGAGCCTTAAACTCAGCAAGGTCATCTTGATTTGGAAAGCAGGGCCGCCAATAGACCCAAGCCTAAACCACCATCCCTTACCTCCGAGGTACATCTTGCTTCTAGGATTATAAGGTTTGAAAATATATGCCTGCGGAGACTTCTGCGCGTTGGCCGGTGTGTGACCTCAGCGGAGCAGCATTCATGCAAGGTGATCCAAGAAGCGGACCACACCCTGAGTGGTCATGAGTGTGATCAGCAACGGCTGTCCGAACCACACCTGCACATCGAACCAATTATCCGAAAAGTATTTACTACGCCCACGTTATCGGAAAAACTGTTAGTGAAATGCCGTGTCATTCTCTGAAGTAAGCACTCCGTTGAGTGGGTCAAGGGTCAGCAAATCACCTGGATGTGAACTTTTCCCACGGGGAAGATGTCGGCCAAGCTTCACAACCAACGCTTGTAATTCTGAGGCCGACTGTCTCGCATGCAATTTTGAAACCCGGGGATATTCCAATGACATGCCATACATAGCTCGCAGTCTCTCAAAATGCACAGTTCAAGGATCGCTACTAGCCAGATCAACCGGGGACGATGATAAACGAGTGCGTGGCTGGAAATCTTGACAGCTACGTTATTCTGCGACCGTGTGCCGCAAATAATTAGCTGCAGGGTAACAAGAAAATGACCAAGTCGTCCACTACGGCCGCTTCTCGGTATCGACCAGTCATGGAGCCAGAGTATCTCCTCGTGTTCAACGGCATCCTACGGATCGTATGAGACCATCAATAGTCATGCTAACACAGACGATACTTCCTCATATTACATTTTAAAGGTGATCACTCGTCCTCTGCATCCTCATCCATATGCTGACTAGCCCAAGGACTGTTCTTCCTCAGGGTAGATCCAAACCTGACGAGCACAAAAGGTATGGGTATTAACGCAACGCTGAGAAAGGCTAGTAGGCTAGGCCCCCACTGATACCCCAGCTTCTCGAACAGATGCCTACCGAACAGAGGAAAGGCTGCACCAGCGATGTTACGGATCAACCCTATCCCAGCTAACGCGGATGCGGAGTAGACCTAGAATCCATCAACACGAGGAGTACAGATTTTCGTCTTCTTTACTCACCCTATAAGCGTCCTCTGTGTACTGGAAAGTCATCAGAATCAAGGTATAAAACGACCACCCCCATAATCCCGAAGCTACGACTGGGACTATTGGTGGAATGCTTGCGTCCGTGGTCCACGCGAACAAGAACAAAGAGACTGGAAAGACTTGGCAAAGGTCAGTTACTTGCTGGGGGTGGGATTCGCGTACACTCACCAACAGCTGCCACCATACTGAGTTGTAGCCGTGCTTCCGGGACTGCCGCGTTGCCCGCGGAGGCGAGGCATTTTCTGTAGTATCTTTCTTGCCATAGGTTGGTAAAGGGGCCGACGGAAATGCCAATAGCTATTCCCAAAAAAGCACAACCAACGCCGATAGTGCTGAAGCCGTGTCCCTCCCCAAACACCATGTGAAACGCGCCGTTGAAAAGAAAACTGAGGCCATAGAGGTAACCATTGTACAGTGCCCCAAATACGACAATGGCTTCAGTGAATAAGAATCGAAACGGCCTCGTCAAGGCAACGTGGAACAGTTCGTGGGCAGACCTGCGTTGGAGAGGTGGGGGCTTGATACCACCACTTTCGTCTACTGCATTGCGGTCAATTGCTTTTGCTCTTCTCCGAAGAATAGTGGTATGCCTGGTTTCGCGAATAGTCAATGCCATAAGCAGCCAGAAACCTCCACAGATTCCTAGCAAGGCCCAAAAAACCTCCCGCCAACCATTGTGCTCGGCCACAAACGACATGGCAAAGAAGCCCGAGGGACTTCCGCAGGTGGCCGCCCATAGGTAGATTGACATGGCAATACCTGTCTCATGGTGCGTCCACATGTCCGCAATGGTCCCGCCGAAATTGGCTGCACCTTTGATCAGTCCGTATACTTCGTCGGCGATTTGAGGAAGGCAGGCTTACCGATGGTTACAGCAGCGAACAATCCGCTGAAGAATCTCAATACCATGAAACCACAGACACTTTTGATGAGCGCTGTTGCTGCCAGAAGCACCAGAAACACGGCATAAGATCCAATGTATATCACGCTTCTCCCAAAGAACTCACTCAGCGGCGCAAGGGACATTGGGCCTAGGGCCAGGCCTAGGATGTAGAGGCTCAGGCCAAGCGTCGCAACATTTTCTGAGAGGCCGAATTCCGCCTGAAAACTCGCTGAAGCCGGTGAGAAACCGGACGCACCCCAGGATACCGACAGATCTATCGGCGTTATTACAGCAACGATAAGCCATTTGCGCCATGATGGCCTTCACAACAGTCAGCATTTCTAATTGAAGCCATATCCCCTCGAGACAGCATAGGAATTGAATCAGAGGGGAAAGTCGGATCCTGGGATTCCCATACCAATTGCGAGGATTGTCAAGGTCGCCAGCTTCAAAACGGTTCACGGCGCGCTGAGATGTAGATGCAAGGAGGGGCGTCGAGGTGGTAGGCTCGACGTCAACGCCCTCGAATGGTCCACTTCCTGCGGGCATGGTCTTGCGAATCCCTGGCGTAAATACCCTTTCCACTCTGAAGAAGAGTTCCGAGGGGATGCTAATGCCGAGCTGGACCTCTAACACGACAGATGAGGCGGTGGGTCGACTTGACGGTGAGGGGTTCGGCAGTGGCCTACCATGCCCGACCCGCTGCTTGAAGTACCGCCGGGCGTATCTGCTAAAAACGGGCCCGAGACGACGTCAGAGCGACATACTCTATAAGTTAGTGAGTTGTGTTGCTCATTAATCACAACTGCACCACTGCAGTCTGTTGCTGCAATCAACTAACCTATCGCTACCGATCATATTGAAGATACACCAGGCTTAAGGGCCGGAACTGCTGCTTCTTGGCCGAAGCCTGGCAACGCGCAACCTTCAACCTAATCACAGCTTTCACCTCAAACATCTTTCGCAACAGTGTGACTCAGCGGATGCATAAATTACTATCATAAAATCGTCTAGTCTCAGAATCGAGAGATTTTTCATAAATTGCGCTATTTCGGAGTATAAATCGAATCCAGTTGAATGCACTTACTGGCCCACGAGTAGATGTGCACGCTCCAACATCTCAGCCAGAGAGACTTCTCATACAGACCCACGCATTCCCCCGAACGATGACATCTCCGATCCATAACCTCCGTGCTTTGTGAGAGGAGGCCGTTTCGCGAGGCAGGTCATAGTTTTACAGGAAATTTGAGAAAATCTCACCATTTTGATCGTTGGGAAGACCCTGCGTTAGGTGAAGACCATGGTAGCAAGATCGCATCACTTATTTCATCCGACGGTAATGCTAAGACTTGAAACCCCTCGGCCCCCCCCCCCCCCCCCCCCCCCCCCCCCCCCCCCCCCCCCCTCCCGTTCTATCTGCCGTGCCTTGCGCAGCCCTCTAGCCTCAGTAATCATCGCCATTATTGAACCCATCTTCGTAGTAATCGTCTTCGATATGGTCGTCGTCGTCCCATTCTGAGTCTTTGCAAGGTTCATCATCGTCGTCGACACCGTCTTCGTCTTGGCGATCGCTGCCCATGCTCTCTTCATCATATCTCATGTCCCGTCCACCACGAGCGTCCTGGTCTACGTATTCTTCCTCGGAATCGGACGGCTCCGGCTCAGTGTCCGAGTCGAGACACGACCGGTCACTATCAGAGGTTGAGTTTCTCTCCGCGTTGCCCTGCTGGCCATTGCCGATGCTGCTGCGACGTGCGTGTGCGTCTACTTCACGGTATCCTTGGACGATCTGTTTGGCTTCCTCGTAGTCGTTGGGCACGCCAGTAGCACCAGTCCGTAGGCCGTGAGACCTCATGAAGTCGTGGTAAGAATCGAAGGCGCCATCTCTGACGATACGATTGTCTGAACGCGTATCTTCGCTAGCATTGTGGCCGCCAGAAATTCGTCCTGTTTCGGCTTGATATTTTCGGTCACGAGAGGGACGCATCGTGAGTGTTATATCACATCAGCGAGATATGGATGGCGAGCTGCTTAGCCAAACCTCAATCAGAAAGAATGTCCAAGGTCAAGCTGATTTATATATAGAGATTGAATGACTGAAGCGTGGCTCAGCTATGACCGTAACTTCCAGGTATTGTTGGACCCTCTGATGATCCATTGTTAGTCCGCTTGTGCTTGTTCAATGAATGATTGCCGACAGGAAGACAAACAAAATGACACAGCATGAGGTGGTTGAATGCTGAAATCCTCGAAACACAACACTCCTTACAGTCATCTCTATCTTCTTTATGACGACGTTATCTCCCTCTGTGAAGCCTGCGCCATGCCCGATAGCTCATACTTTATAATGATACGACACACAGAAGTCGATACCACGAATCGGGCATTCGGGCAAGCGTTCTCAATGCCGCAGGGACGGTAATGAAGAGAATGCTCGAAAAGACACGGCTTTGCGTCAATTACAGTAAGGTAAGCTCGTTAGTATAGGGGTACCATACGCAGTCCCATAAATATAATGCGCAATCGTCAGTATAGCGCTGGCCCAGGCTCTGATCGAGCCCCAGAAACCAGTGGGTTTATAACGAAAAACTGAAGCTGTGTTCTGCATCTTGCAGGGTGTGGACTCGTCCTCTGCCCACGACCTTAGGCGACTCCACACGTTTTCATCATCTCTCAGTGGCGGGGACTCTTGTACCACAGAGCTTCGAAAGGTATAGGAACCCCATAGGTGAATGGCTCCTGTCAAAAGACTCCAGAGGAGCGGGTGGATTACTAAGTCCGCGGACCAAGAAACGAAAGTGCGCATTCCAAGCTCATAGGTTGCGTGAAAGACGTTTCCAATCGCGGCTATTGCAAGCACAATCTCAACAATCACAACGATTGCTCGTAAGGTGGCTGGGCGTTGGGTTTTCAAGTCACCCACGGCCGAGTAATCCTGGCGGTCCTCCAATAACTTTAAAACTTCTTCGCGTTCCAGTGGTCTCAGTGGAGGCACGGTCGGCGACCCATAGCGAGAAGAAGCGCAAGGAGTGGGCGTCGCGAAGCTAACAAGGCCGTTTCTGCCAAGGTCGAACCGGCGAATGCGATGATCGTGGGCATGAGACCGAGTAGAACGCCTGCACTTGCTATCTCGGCTTTATCAATTTCGCGCAGTTGGTCGAAGAGACAGTCGATAACAGGATACAAGTACGTCCAGGACCCTGTGGTCGGCGGGGCACCGTACCGAGAGTCCCAGCCGCTGTCTACTTGGTTTAGATAATCCCAATATTCCCTTGAGCAGTTTGCGTGTAGGAGAACAGAGAGCGAGTCATCGTACCAGTCCCATGCTGTGTATCTTTGAGCTTGATCCAAGTTAGATCAGAGAGACATCTGAAGTTTGATCCGCGTGATGCTCAGGACTTGTTTTTGTCGAAGAGTAAGGCCAAGGGGGTCAGTCTGGTCTACCGGGGTTTGAGTCGCTGGTCGAAGAATTCTAGGCAGGTAAATCAAAATGGTTCCTCTTATCTGGCCAGCTCTCAGTATCTTATCAAGGTTAGTCAGACAACTGATGAGCATATCAATGTCAGGGACAGCTGCAGGTGATTCCACATGCGACCACCTATCCTCATTCAGAGGATACATCCTAGCTTCAAAGAGAGAGTATGGGGTATAACTGGCCCGAGCCAATGATATCGGTTGAATACATAAATGTAAAGACCTCAGCAAAGCTTTCAATACAGCTAGGGCCCTTTGTGTCCCATTGACTGCATTGCCTGTATCCATTTCGACTGGCTGCAAACACGCATCAAAGGACAAAGAGAGCAGTACAACACTATCAAAACCGCGCCCCTATGCTAAACACACACTACTAGCTATACTAGCAATAATAGGCATAAGTGTCACGATATGCCTGAAAGCCGGTCACCGGAACCGTTATTTCGAGAGAATGGTGCGGAGTTGGGCCGTTGGCGAAGGTCAGCCGCTCCATCCCCAGAGCCTCAATCCTATCTTGAAATCACTTCAGAATACAAGAGGGCGGGTCTGCATATGGAGATGCAAAATCAACCGAAGAACCCAAGACAGGTGAAAACCCATCCATCACCTGCGCCAGCCATGCAAGTTGCTCAAAAGCGGTCCAAGGAAATCATAGCCACAGTGGTTGATAGAACACCAACCTTGCGACTTTTTTGCCCATATTGTTTGAAGGGCACACATGTTGGCCATCCGCCGTCAAGATTTACAGACCAGCCTTAGTAATGGCATACATTTGCAGCATTGGAAGTGTAGCTGCATTTATGTGCATCAGATATAGAGGCAGAGGTGTGAATGGGATGTTTAGAAATCATTATTTTCCTATATATGTACGTGTCCAAAATGACGCCTCGCTAGGATATAATAGTAACACATTGATGAAAGACACTCATAAGATCGTACAGAAGCCATGCTATGTAAGCCTTCTAATGCAGAAGTGTTGGTGCTTAGAGATCGTGACCTATTTCGCGTTAGTGCAATTATTCCTACCACTGTCTGAATGATTACTTACGTCCGAGTTGCTTGCCACGCTTGGAGACTTCGCGGGCGTGGAACTGCTTGATCTTGGCACGCTTGGCCTCCTCGGCAGCCTCGAGCTCGAGTCTCTTTACTTCCGCTCTTGCCTCGCGGACTTGTATGCGGGCGGCCTCGAGGGCACGGTCGGCATCATGTTCGGATTTCTCGGCGGCCATGACACGCTCGCGGGCTTGGACGATCGACGGGTCTAATTCGACGTTGTTCCCATGTCCGAAAGATCGTGAGAGTAGTGATCTCCGGCCTGAGCTCGCGTCAGTCGACCTGCGGAACACGCCACCGCTATGGGTGCTGCTGGCAGAGGTGTGGTAAGTAGTACCGGTGTTGTGCGAGTTGGTTGTCGTGCTGCTCCTCATGGTCGACGTTGGCGAAACAGATCGCTCGCGGCGGCTGCCGAACAGTCCATGGCGCTTGGGTTCCTCGACAGGAGCGGGCTCGTGGACGACCTCGTCCTCGGGCTTGCGACTGGAGAAGAAAGGCATTTTGAGTATAATAGGTTGATTGATATAGTTTAGATAAGGTGGTGTGAATTTGTTAGATTGCAGGGAGTTTCCTCGTACAGACAGGAGAGATGTCAGGGATATGAATTCAGAGTATCAATAGGATGACAAACCAAAACTTCTTTCCTCAGGGCATCCAGCTCTATTTGACCTCGTAGCATTGCAAGCCACCAAGCAAGCTCATCAAGATAACATCCCAGACACTCTACCATGTAAACCGGTTTCTGAGGGTGGTGTTGGTGAGCGTTGGCCAGGGATCGCCGAGAATGACGTAGCGTCGCGCCCAATCAAACGGCGCAGTTGAGAGCGCCATCCAATCACAGCGGACCGATGACGAAAGTGGGCGGAACGGACCCTGAAGGTAGTCGCATATGCAGGGTCTTTGACGTTGAGTTTCCTATCAGGTGTCGCGGACGCTATGCCAGCCATGCAGCATTTGGACCCCTAAGTTGATGAGCCGTTCGTCTGGTTTAATTCGATCCGTGGGAGATGACTCGCGAAGTGTAACGCGAATGGCAGACCGCTTCAACACCATGCTGACGGACTCCAAACCCGTTTCACCTCTCTACATCATCGTGCATGGATATCTCATCTCTCGACAGACTACAATCGTGATCTTGCATTACGCTGAAATCGAGCCTCACTTGCTAGTCGCCCATGCATATGGCGAAGTCAAAATTACTTTTGATTCATCTTGATAGGGTACAAGCTACGTGGAAACCCCGCAAACCACTGGGAGATAGTGGCAGCCCCTGAACCACAACGTGATGCGCACACGCAGCCGCGATGCGTTATGTAGTTGCAAGCCTCACCATATGCGATATAATTGGTCTTCGTCTGTGAACTGGGAGGGACGCACATCTCCATGGATAGCCGAGATGCAAAAATCAGTGTGTCATTGGAGGGGGAGACATGAGCGCAAGTTCTCAACTCAACGTTTGGTAGGGTCAGATGGCTCCCAATGTCTTCGCCCTGTTCACAGCACTTCTAGATAACTCGCCTAAGAAAATCCTGGGATTCGGATGGATGACCGCTAACTTACGATTGAGAGCCCGTTCATGACCCTCGTGTAAAAAGCACTTGACATAGGCGTCTTCCTTCCTTCGACGCATTGCGCCAATTTCGCGAAATAGTATCTCTGCCATGAATAGTAGTGGGAAGAACAGATCTGGTCTGCCAGCGAGTTCATCTTCATCCGTCTCGGGTGCTTTCAATACACCTGAATGAACAAGCCCGGGTGTCATGCGGTGGGTGTGCCCGGTCACTCAGGTGCTAACTCCACAGTGACTAGTCCTGGGTGCCCGGGGTACCCGCCCCATGGGGTACTGGAGTCGAGCGAAACATCCGACAAATTTACTGAACCGCAGTGTAGTGCGGTGCAAGAGTCCTTGATCCTACCAATTCGAGTGCATAGAATTCTAAAGATAAATAAATATACTGATTATATGCTGGGGACTTTTCCCACTGCACGGCGTCGTCCCCAGTATTGCCCGCCGGACTAAGCGGAGCAAGTTATGCTCAGGGAACGCTCCATTATCAGTAAGTTAGCGTTCCGAGCACCGAAGACAATTGACCTAACTTACAGTAGCTTGCCGGCGCGAGAGCACGGTCCTGAGATTACCACGTTTCGGGATGCAACTCTCTTGCCTGTAGCTCCTCACTTCCTGTTCAACTCCGACGCTGAGAACGTATTCCCTCCCATGTCCCAGCGTTGCCGGATCATTCCTTCGAGTGTCGGTCCGAGATGGACCCCAGCGGCTGAAAATTGCACCGACTCACCAAGCTCCACAACACCATTTGCGCCGCTCCGGTAAGATGTATAAGCCGCTGCCCGTGGGACAAACATGATCACCTCAGCAGTCCCTGGAGTGATCTCTCGGCATGCGCACTCAACGTTTTGAGTTATCTCGTCTTGTCGACTGCTGGCCTGTTCGACCATGAGTCCACAGGACAGTATCGTCCCTGGCACGTTCTGGCCAAAGCCAACAGTCCAAGCGCCACATCCTCCGGCAACCCCGGCATTTCCGTCGGAAGACTCAGACTGGGATTCGAATTTCATAGGACACGCTCAATACTTGAAGCGATTCAATGTTGAAAGACGGCATAGCGGTTGGGAGGCTGTGGAGAGGAGATGGGCTCAGAATCATCCAGCGCCGACGGCTCAGCCCCAGCAGATAAGGTACGTTGGATGTTAGACGCCCAGTTTCGGATGAGGCTTCTAAACAAACGGCACAGAGCACTGTCGGCGCAGACGATGGAGGCGTTAAGTAAATTACATCCAGGGCTATCCCTTCCACCCCCAGTCTTAGAGATAGACTTCCGCATGCGGGTGGTACTGAACACCAATGTGGCCACCATGGCAGTTGGTGACGGGTTCAAACAGTGGACAACATCCACCGAAGGATCATGGTCTGGCACGATAGGTCATGGCACCGTAATAGTGAGTATATTCGGGTGGTATCATATTCCGTGGCTAACAATGCATCCAGGGCGGAGGCCAAGACAGCACAAACGCGGAATTATCAGGGACATATATCGAATCAGCTTATAAATTGAAGACAAATGATGACCCACCGGCGATGTAGGTCTCCTGATACGAAGATTAGGTACACACATTCTGATCGGGACTCTCAGCATCGAATGCAAGACGCGCGGGTTCAGGACAGGGCCGCCTGACGTGATGAAGGCTCTAGAAGACCCCGACAAAGCCCAAACAGTAGATCCAAGACAATACCGACATCGCACTGTGATTACAATGCGAACAAGTGACTCTCGATACGCCGGCAAAGTCAACTTTGAGATGTGGGTAGGAACGGGTCTATGGCGTGGTTCGGAGGTCATCTATGAGTACGTTCATTGAAACTCGCGATACGAGCCATCGGCTGATGCTTTCCAGTGCGTATAAAGTTTGCTAACCACTTGCGTACTTTCACACGCAAATGAGGTCAAAGTCATAGGATCCATTAATCTCAGAGGAAAGCCAAGCAATGTTGAAAACGACCATATCATCGACGTTGACTATCTAGCGTTCCTTGCCTCGTCGCGCAGAAAGGGTTTACGAGTCTGTCCAAGTCACAATCATGGTTCAAGTTGGATCTCTATTGGGGACCGGCGTTTTTGATCGGGCAGGCACATATCATTCTTCTTTGTGCTCGGGGGCAACAGACGGCGACAAGTCAGCAGTGTTTCTTGCATAAAACATCCCAAATCGTGCTTTTAAGAGACCGTTAACCGCGAATTTAAGTTCCTCATGTGTGACATCTGGCTAGAAACTCATCACAGCCGTCCAATAATGACATGATTATCGCCTGTTATGATGCAAAATGCTCTTTTGGGTGATCCAAACATGGAGAATATAGTTGAGATCGATGCGCTGCTAGTGTGTTCATTGATAAGACAAAGAGATAAGGTATTATGGGCAGCAACTATTGTGTTTTTCAAAGGGTGCATAAAGACAATGCAACACAAGATCAGTGTCATAATCTGACTTAGACAAGCGTATCAGTTTCAATACACGCTAGGGTCTGGCGGTGATATCCAAGTTAAGTACTAGATGGTAATGGTCTCCAAGATCAAGTTCTCCCCCAAACAGTTGTACACTTCTGGATGTCCATCATACAGGGGACAAAGTCTGTCGAACGTGGGCTCCAGCTTTACACTGTGAAACAAAGTACCGTCGGTTGTCTCAAAGAAACCAAACTAAGGTCACAACAATACACGCTTGAACATGGCTGATGCATATCCGCCCAGAAATATGGGTTTTGGGGCATTACCGGACAGAGATTCCAAGAATTTGATGGATAATGTGGAAATGCTGCAGCTGAGTCTTCGCGAGCTCGAGAAAGAGAATCGGCGCTTGTCGAGGGAGATACAGGCAACAAAGCCTCGAGGCGCACCCCCCAAGAGCCAGCACATGGCGTTATCTAAAGACTTCAACGTCCTACGCTGCAAGTTGGAGCAACACGGGGACCTTGACATCAGCCGGTGCTGGATTGCAGCACGTTTGGACAAACTTGGTGTGTCCTTAGACGATCCAGCCCGTATTCACCTGTTGAAGACGCTGGCGGAGATACATTCTCGCCTTTCGCTGCATATGCCCGATATTCTTGGCCAAGGTGGAAGTGAGACTCTTGTACAAGAGGGTCGCAGAAAATCCCATCAGATAAGCCCCGATTGGTGCCCATAACCCGTCGGCCATAATACTGAATATATGACAGCATATGCCGGTTTCAATCTCCTGCTCTTACCGGCTTTGAAGGCCGTCATACCATCAGTAAATACGGGCTAGATGTCTCGCTGGGCCCCACCGATAAGTATTGGTCTATTCCAGTAAACCAGATGCCAACCCCTGCAAGTTCGAAATAGTGATCACGAGTTGAACGTTGCAATCTCCCAAACTTTTCCATCTAACATCTTCCCATATTGGAGAACATTTAGAGAATCGTATGATCAGTGGTTTGTCCCTTGTCGTGTCAACAGCATGTAGTTTGTGGTCTTCATTAACCTTAGGTATTGAGAATTGGCACACTTTGAGGATGTTGTAAGATGCCTCCCCATCGTCTATCTCCGACGTCTAATCGATTGAAGCGACACGCATGCAGATATGCGGCTACAATGCATGGTGTTCAAGTGCCGACATCGTGAAACGTCAGCTCATGTTGCACGCCCCCATTTCGAAACGAGACATACTGTTGCATCAGTCAGCCTATCTCTAGCCAAGGAAGAGTTCCCAGCTTTGATTCTGGAAGGATAGTGGTTGAGTGGATTTTCAGTGCAATGGTGCCATATGCCAGATATCGGACGAATCTCCGATTTGCGATGCCGTCCTCCGAAGGGAAGAAAGGGGATCCACTGAACGCAATCCACATGCCTATACCGGTTTGGAACGCGACCACGGCCCGTTTGACTGCCGATCTTGCAATCTAGGACGTTGCACTATAGTAACAATTGATCTCAAAAAGTTCCTTCTGTGGTAGGAGACGCGTGTTATCGTGGTGCATCTACATGTTAGTAGCGGCAGAAGCCGCGTTTCGGGGGTATAACTGATAAGTCGGGAAAAGTCTTGGCAAGACTTGAATCTCGACGTAGTATAATACCTCATCCATAAGCTCACCAACGTGCCGCTCTTCACCCTGGTGACCCAATCATTTTGGTATCGTGAACTTTCAGAGTCCTAACGTAATGCGATTGTCCACTTTTCCGGCTGTTCTGGCAGCGCTTGGGCGCCTCACCTACGCGGCGTCTAGCCAAGGGTGCAACAAGACGTCCGCGGCACCGACATTGGAGAAGCGCGTCACTGTAGAGCTCGCAGCAAACAAGTCCCGATCGTTCATGTATTGGTTGCCTCCGAACTATGACCCCAAGACGCCCGCGCCCATCATCATCTCGTACCATGGTGTCAGGCAATCTCCGACTAAGCAGGCGAACCTTGACCAGTTTGACAACACTCGCTTCAATACAGATATGATCGCAGTTTACCCCCAGGCAGTCACACCGCCCGGCTCAGATGAAGTTATGTGGCAAGGACCGCGCAAGGCAACCCAAGACGACATTGGCTTCACAATGGAGATACTCGACCAACTAGAAGAAGAGTTCTGTGTCGACACGGACCGCATATACGCGTCGGGCAAATCAGAGGGTGCTGGGTTCGTAGGAATGCTGGCGTGCAACTCGACCTCCAACGCCCGAATTGCGGCATTTGCACCAGTTTCTGGCGCGTTTTATCCTGGCCACAACGATGGCATGAGCGATAAATGCAAGGATGAAGTCCCAGTGCCGTGCAGCCCGATGCGCTGCAACATTCCCTTCCTAGAGTTCCACGGCGGTGCGGATTTCCTTGCTCCGATCGAGGGTGGCCTCCATCGGCATGAGTGCCTTCCTGATATCCGCACCTACATGCGTCAGTGGGCTCAACGAGACAAACTAGACACGGAACCTACGGAGGTATACAACCTGACGGACGTGGCTCAAGTGAATAAGTACGACGACAAAGGCACCGTAACTTTCGTCTATGACGGGGACAAAGTTGGCCATGACTGGCCATGGACTGTGGAAAATCCAGATACAAAACGAGCACATTCCAAGCCCGCAAGCTTCAATGCCACGTCGTATATCATGGAGTGGTTTGGTAACTTTACTTTGGCGTAAGATTATCGATCCGGCTCTGAATCATGTCCATTTGCTAACCTGAGTACCGACTAGGCCACCGGACAACTGTAACGCCACCGTGTGAAAATAAAGCTCGAATGGTACACAGCATAACCTACTTGCATTAAATAGAGATTTGATTTCAATTTTTGTGTCAAAGTTTAGGATGTCAAGAATGTCAAAAGTGACATTATACACTAGCATTTTTCCGATATAATTCATTTATTGGGAACGGCCTTGGTGTAATTCCTTTGCTCCTACCACTGAAGCTTGGTTCCGGGATGCAGAACTACTCTCGTGCTTGTCCTATCCCTGTCCATGCTAGTAGTCCAAATACTCTCCATTTCACTGCCGTCGAAAGACCCCATCGCTCGTCCATACTGGAAATTACCAAATCCGTCCAGTTTGTCTCATTGACCAATATTATTGCTTCCGCTAAGAATGTGAACAGTAGTGTGCTACACGAACTAAACAACTCCCAGAGCGAAACCAGCTCGGCCGCTGCCTCTATGTGTTCATAGTGGTGGTCAAAGCCCGGCGACACCGTTTACTCCCGACTCAACGCTATCATTGCCCACGGAGGGTGTTAATTGAGGCATTCGGAAACGACATGAGAGGGAGCCCAATCTCATCTGTCACGGCTGCGGTATCAACTTCATCTGGTCCCACTCCAATAGCTAACAGCGGGCATATCAGGTCAAGCTCGAGTTGTTCAAGCGCTTCAACTCGCGAATACTGGGTCCCCTGTTGATCTCACTGGCGCATGCTAAGTGGGGTACTTCGTTTTGGGATAAAGATAGACAATTTAGGATATCATCCGCAGTCGTGAATGTTACGGTCATGTATCGTTCTTTAATACTCTCCTAGGAACTTTGAATAGTTAGCCGTTGATTTGGAGGTACGGCCTGCGAATATGGTCACTTCGAGACTAAGTCGCAAGACCAAATCGCTTCTTAGTATGTCTTCTCAGAAAGCTCTTAAGTACCATAGTAGAAGTATACTCCACTTATCACGATCGTAGCTACCCAGGGCGCCTCCACTAATGCGGGATTTGGCCGTACTTTGAGGGCTTCGGGCCGCGAGGGCTAGTTTTCCGCCTGTTCGGCAATCTTTCCTTTCACGGCCTAACACGGCCACACGATGCACCAATCCAATCAAGGCAATGTCTCCATCTCTCTGCAGCGGGTCCCGCTGCTGCAAAGCGCTGATCACACCTTTTGTGCCTATCGTCTGCGTTACCCAAATCCCGAGCTTTCTATCATCTGATCATGTCGGAAGACGTTGTGTCACTGGAACAAAGCGGAGCACATAATTCGCATTCCTGTTCTCCTCCTATTTTTCACTCCCACATCCCCTCCTAGAGTGTTGAGAATGTCAACCGCGTACGACTATATCGTTGTCGGCGGGGGCCTGACAGGCTCGGTCGTCGCAAGTCGACTAATACAACACGATGCGAGCCTGAAGATTGTTGTCATTGAAGCCGGTGGAGATACATTGGACCGGGAGGATATCATGATGCAGGACATGGGGAACTCTCTCCATCTGATAGGTGGGGATTTGGATTGGAAGATTTTATCGGTCCCCCAAAAGCACGCAGACGGCCGCACATTGGTCTTACCTCAAGGAAAGGGGCTTGGAGGTGGAACGACTATCAATGGAGGTAAGCGAGGTTGCAATGCACGGTTGGTTCCTCAACTCATCAGAACTAGGCGGATGGATTCGTGGAGACAGAATGGACTACGACGCGTGGGCCGCAGAAGTCGGCGACCATAGATGGAGTTACGATGGACAGCTGCCATTTATGAAGAAGAGTGAGAAGCACACCAACGCCACCGTGAACCCTGATCAGCACGGCTATGAGGGCCCTGTTGTCATCCAAACGCCATCATCATCCGGACGGGCTTACCCGCTGCGGGAAAAGGTTTTAGAGTCATGGTCTCAGCTTGGCGTCAAGGCGTTGCCTCATCTTGATGGCAATGCAGGAAGTCAACTGGGTGTAGCAGAGGTGAATGAGAACAGAAACCAAGGGAGACGTCAGGTAGCTGCAGCTGTTTACTCACTCGATGGCGTAATTGTCATGACAGAAAGCCGTAAGCAAGACATACACATTGAGCATTGATGATTCGTTGCTGACCACATACTTATAGTGGTTGAAAAGGTGATCCTGGAGAGGCAAGAGGACGGCTCAATTGTCGCAGCAGGTGTAAAGCTTGCAGACGAGAGTGAACTGCGCAGCCAGCAGGTCATTCTCGCCGCTGGCGCGTTGCGAACTCCACAAATTCTTATGCTCTCAGGAATTGGCGCACCGGAGGAGTTGAGTAATCGTAAGTGCCTTCAGGTCGAAAGTGTATTTAAACGATTCAACATCGTTCAAATCCACTGCCAAGCGGCGTCCTAAAAAATACAGGCTGACTAAGGATACTATAGATTCCATCCAGACACTCGTCGAGTCGCCCGAAGTAGGCAAAAACTTGGCAGATCATACCCTGCTATTCACGGCCTGGAAATTGAAGAACCCTGATGACGGATGGGCAGTTGGATCCAAGAATGCGCTATTCACCCAACCTCAGTATGCCTTGGGTTTGCCTATGGACTTTGTGGTCACGACAGATGTGCCCAAGGAGGGTCTCGCCGTTGCAATTGAGGTCGACGAGGGCGTTAAGCCCGATGCATCAAGCCATGCGTTATTGAAACAAGCAAGACCATTCTCAGAGTCATTCATGGTTTATGCAGGGGCCCCTGACGGGTCAGCGGTCGCGATAGGTGTCATTGATCTCCATCCGACCACGCGTGGCGCGATTACGCTCGACCCATCGAACGTACGTGGCACGCCGCTGGTTGACACGAATTACCTTGGGACCGAGGTTGACCGATACGTTCATCGGGAAATGCTGCGTAAAGTCATTGATTTTGCCGCCAGCGACAAAACCACCATAGGGAGAGATATCCTAGAAGGAGAGATGGTCCCCCCAGGCGTAGAACCATTGTCTGTCGGGATTTCAGATGCGGCCCTTGATGGGAGGGCACGCTCCACCGTTGGGTAAGTTTTGACGTTTGCCACGTCTCAGTATATGTGGTGCCTTACACTAACGGCTTTCAGTACTTCCTATCATTTCCATGGAACCGCTGCTATGGGCAAAGTTGTCGACACAGACTTAAAAGTCAAAGGTGTAAGGGGGCTTCGAGTTGTGGATGCGTCAGTCATTCCGGTGAACTTGGCCACGCACTTGCAGGTCCCTCTGTACGCTCTGGCAGAACAGGCAGCTGCAATCATAACTCAGGAGAGAGATTCGGATTCCTAATGGATCATCATTTTTTGGAGCATATCAAGCTGAGGCTCCAGTCCAACCTGTCGAGCATACAATGTTGTCAGGTCTCACATCAATATACGATTTCCTTTGTCGCAAGCGTTGCAGTGTCGGATCAAGTTTCAAGTATCAGTACATGTTGGCAATGGTTCAGCATGATACTAGGATTGAAAGTCTCACCGCCGTCCGAAATAAGAGTTTCTCCTGGACGTAAATCACACAATGCTTGAAAAGCTTCGTGAATATTAAGACGATTCGCTAGGCTCACGATTTAGGTAGCAAGTTTCTCACTGCTTACATCAGACACCAGACAAATTCTCCATGCTATCAATGCCAATCTTGAATCTTTAATTAGTCTCTGTGCGTCTGAAATGCTTCTTGTGGTAGGCAGCCTGATAAGTGACCGGCTACGGGGCCAAGAATGGAGGGCGGTCGTTGCCTTTCTGCCTGCTAAGGGGCCATACTAAAAGGACGCAGACGTACCCTATTGATGACTGTCACCCAAATTACGTTTGCACAATGGACTGAGTGATTAATTGCAGTATCACGGGTGTTTTAAAGGGCGTAGTTGGCCGAGCAGGTGCGATGCAGCGTGACTGAGCCGCCAACAGCCCTCCGCGAAGGCTCGGGTAATGCCTTGAAGGTGTGTAAGTTACACAACACTCTCGCTGCGCCTATCCCCTACATCCTCATATGGTGTAGCTTGGAATTAATTACCCCTCTCCGTTTCGTGTGCGTGCAGTGTTGTGTTTCTTTCATCAAAAATACGTAGGGGAAGTGCAAAATGCCGAGCAGGTATGAAGCAACGAATTTAGCTCTGGTTTTCTCGGCATGTGGGTCATTCACCATCTTTTTTGCATCCACTTACTCTTGTTTGTGTCGTTCGCACCCTCTGTCCTTTTCTCCTTGTGGCCATTGTAATAATTGGCAGTTATATAGCAGGACATAATGTCGCACGAAGCATACCATGACCTCAATATCATTTATGCCCGAAGGCCAGCCACCAAGCAACTGCTGGGCGAAGACTGGAACGAAGCTGGTGGCTGTCACGGATTATTCGAGTGATGCTGCGTTGCGCAATTGACAACATACTATTGGCAGCGAGGTCATAGGTTTATATTGGGAGCGGTACAGACGAGTCGGAACGTACACCCGAATCTCGTTAAATAAAGTCCTTGGGTCTAAAGACTCAAGCGAGCCGGTTTGACGCACTGGCTTTGAGACCGGGCGATAGAGCGCATTTTAGATGATCTTCGAGGAAAATTCACTGTCAAGATGCAGGAAGCGATCCAGAGCAGACGAGTGACTGCTGTCGATGAACGGGATGATAAGGCCTAAGTTAGGGTTGTTCTGTGTAAGCGAGCAAGGCGAGTTACATAGTTCGAGCAATTACTATAGAAATGGCAAGCAGCACAGCAGTTCCTCACTCGTCGTCTTGTGTCGGCGCTTTGGCAAATAAAGGCTCGACTGTGCTCGCTCGCAATTCCAACTGGTGACACATAAAATTGCGGCTGGCCTCAAGAAAGAAACCATGGGTCTCCTCGCTTGTCTGGAGCAAAAGGTCCGATCAGCTCGGTGGTATCGGCGATTAGATATGCCCATCAGGTCGCAGGGCGAGGGCCGGCGACCATACAGAAGCTCCCGAATGTCAGGTCATCATCATTCCAGCGTATCGCGGGCTCCGCCAAGGCCCCCAGCCTGCCAAAAGGTTCCCCGCTTGCCTAGGTGCAGTTCGCCCTGAAGAGATGGAGTGATGATTCGTACGCCAGTGGATAGCCTTTGCGCAGTTTTTGTTATCCATGTAACTCGTACATATGAATCCGGTAGGCATCCTCTGGTTCCATTCGGGTCGCGGTCACCTCTGCCAGTGGTATCGCTCCAGCATGAAAGCCTCATGAGAAACACATCCCGAATCGTGGCGTCAGACTCAACAGACCAGCACGGGACCCGCGCTTTAGTGACGAAATCGTTGCGGGCTACTCCGATTTTACCTGACGTATCCCCGCGCTGATAGCCCACCCCAGCTTCGCCAGCTTGTCCAGCTCTCCACAACCGGGAGAGACTCGTGCTGCTTGATATCGCACGACGCATGTGTCGCGCTGAGCCCGGCAGCCACAGGACGGATCTACGGGTGAGCTGTTCACAGCCGTAGATGGTGTACACTGGGCAATTGGCCGCTGGAACAAAGGGACAGGGCGACGCGGCCAACATGCAGAACCGCCGATCTCGACCGCCGGTGCGGCTCACCTCGCGAGGTTCGTTCCGGGCAGGCTCGCCGCTGCCAACCTTACGGTCCTCGGGGCCACGAGCTGCGGGCACGTTACGGCGGCAGTCCACGACACAGCACTACCAGACGTTCCCGACACAACCACCGAGAACACCCGGCCACCGGGCGCACCGCTCCTCCGGCTCGTCGTCCACCACGTCACTTGGCCACGAGGGCCACCAGCCAGCCACGCCGCTGCCAGTATGGCAGCTGGCGCTGCTTGCCCTCCTGTCCCTGTCAGAACAGACGGCTCTGAACTCGATATCGCCATATCTGCCAGAAATGGTCGCCTCATTTCCCGACGTCGATGACGAGAAGGTCGGCGTCTACGTTGGGCTGCTGGCATCAGCATTTGCCCTGGCGCAGCTGACGACAAACCTGTTATGGGGCTACGTATCCGATATAATAGGTCGCAAGCCGGTAATGCTCATGGGGACCACGCTGCTGTGCCTGTGTTTTGTCCTTTTCGGTTTCTGCACCCGGTTCTGGCACATCGTGTTGGTGCACATCGCCATGGGTTTATTGAATGGCAACGCGGCAGTGGTCCCAACTTGCCTCGGGGAGCTGACGGACAGGAGTAATCAGAGCAAAGCATTTACTTGGCTGCCAGTGGTCTACAGTTTGGGCAGCATCACCGGGCCGGCCCTGGGTGGCCTTCTGGTGGGCACGGTAGCCGGCGACAAATTCCCTTTCTTGGCACCTAATATCTTAGGGGCTTCTCTACTGGCTTGCAGCGTGCTAGTCCTACTATTCTGGTTTGACGAGACTCTGGAAGAAAAAGGCGAATCTTTTGACTGGAGCGAAAAGTTCAACTGGCTGTGCTGCTGCATGAAGAGGACGAAGAGGAAGCTGAGCCATTCGCTTTCACGAGATCAGCGTGATGGAGATGGATTGGACGACGAGGACGACCAGAATGAAGAGCGTGGGCTTCTCAGACCGGATGGGGATGAGGGCGATGACGATGCAAAGAGTCCGTCTGATCCAGCAACCTGGCGGCAGATTTTCAACCGGACCACTGTGCTATTGCTGGTCACGTATCTTGTCTTCCAGGTTTCAAACATCTCGTTCAGCAGCTTGTATCCGCTCTTCGCGTCAGGTCCGCCGCCCACCGGCAGAGAGCTACACGCCGATGTCATTGGCGTGTCTCTCTCCGTTGCGGGATTGTTCACCATCATATTCCAGCTTTTCGTCTTCAGGCCAATCAAGGCTAAGCTGGGCAATCTTGGTACCTATCGAGGTTCGCTCCTCGGTCTAGCCATCAGCATGGCATTGATGCCCTGGGTTGGCTACCGGGATTCCAACCCTCCCTTCGGGGTGGGTAGCAGCAAAATTTGGCTGTACGCGGAAATGGGCTTCATCTTGGTCATCAAGAATATTTGTGCTGTCGGTGGACTTTCCAGCGTGATGCTTTTAGTAAGTAATCTATTCCCGCAAGCGGCTACGATCCCTGCTGACGCATCCCCAGATAACCAACTCAGCGCCGTCCCACGCAAGTTTAGGCACGCTTCAAGGCGTTGCCCAAACCCTGTCTGCGGCTGGCCGGAGTTTTGGGCCATTTGTTTCAGGCAGTTTATTTTCTCTTTCTATCCATGTGCAACCAAAAGGGGAGGCACTTGCCTGGGGTTTGTTTGCAGGTATCTCCCTCATGGGCTGGCTTGGAAGCTATGCCATTCATGCAGAAGGCTTAGAGAGTACCGACGATGGATATGAGGAAGAAGAGGAACATCAAGACGACAGCCAAGCGTGATCTCAACGTCAGCAAAATCACCAAATTAGACAACAAGCCGGCCGAGACAGCCAACAACTATCAAGTCTCAAGAGCTAGAGATGTGCGACCTGTCCCGTGGTCTATCACCTGTACCCCTGGGGTTTCAGTTTGCAATATCTCAGGTGTAGCTAATCATGTTGGGGCCAGGATAGGATATGCCACGGTATGGACGAAGCTGATCAGTCTTGATCACGTCAGGGTACTACGTCAATCTGCGGTCAAGATTTGACGACACTAGAAATAGAAATTTTCTAGAGCAAGGGAAAATTAACTACTGGAGGCCTCAGAAGAGGCCAAGCATTAAGAATTTGATGAAGTGAAGGGCCCCGGACGTGCACAGCGACACTCGTCTCGAATAAATTTACCGGAATTGTACCAAAATCACTGGTATCAGTCGCGAATATCAGCTGGCGGTAGTAGTGCGGTTTGTAGTTCATGGACACTATTGGAAGATATATAGAAATGTGACTATGAAGTAAAGGGCCAAACTCTTGTACAGGTGGCTTTTCTTACCAGTCGTTGTGCGAATAGAAGTATCGTGTGCGTCTGCCGTCATATCGTCGCCAGTCGGAGCAAGATGTGCAAGGGTTTGTTGTGCTTCAAAGCAAGGGTTCGGGCCGATGCTTAAGCCGGATCTCGCCGGGATGGCTGAGGCCCGGATGTTGGGACTGCCGATGCAGTCAAAATTTAGGTCTTCCGAGATGGGTTTAACGGGTATAATTGGTCTGACAAGCGCGTGCTTGGTGAGAGGCATTGGGTTGCTTACCGCGATCGCTACTCACATTGCAGCTGGCCGACGCTGACACAGCCACGACGCCGCCGGGTAGACAGACTCCCGGAGCAAACTGCCTACTTATTTACATAGCCACGGTCTACCGCAGCTGGAGCTCGCTAATCCACAGGGAAGGGAGACATTCCGAGAACAGCCTGCCATGATAGAATCAGCAACAACATCATCAACAGCAACAACGCCGCGGGAGGCCTTTCGCATTGCCATGCAAGCATCTTGAGTCTTACCAGGACCTTGGGTCATCAAATCTACTGCTTTCATTGATAGTGTATGCTCCACATGGCTAGGGCAGTGCCCCCAGTAATATCACGGTGTAATAAGCCCCAAAAGCCCATGGCCAACATCTTTTAAAAGGATCAACAAGGTCGGGGGCATCCCGTATTCCGAATTTGATTAGATGACCAAGCAACTAACAACACGCCGGCGCTTAGTGGCGTCTATCTGTGCTACTATTATCTTTAGAAACAACGTAGATCAGATCATTAGGCGCGATCTGCGCCAAGTTGATGTACCCCAGAATATCTGCTTTTACATCATGTAACACAGGAGCACCCAGAATGGTCGGCTTTCTCAGAACCGGGGTCGTTTAAGTCAACCAAGAATCTGAAACAGTCGGATAAGTGGTCCTCGCTGGTCCCACATGATCACCAGTCTCGCTCCTGGCTGCGTTGGCTATGAGCGGTGGTTGGTGTTAGGTGGATAAGTGGCTTCGCAGCATTCGTCAGATCCCTGCCACAGCCCTACGGCATGCAGCTAAAGTCTGACGCCAACAGCTATCCAAATCCTTGGACGGGGTTTCCGAGTCGTAGTCATCCGTTCATACTTGGTATCATTTTGTGAATCTAGATTATTAGCAGTTAACTCTGATCCAAGTACACTGACGAAAACGAATTCAAATGCCCGTCGGCGAGCAGAATGCTTCAAGTGTAAGCAAAGGTGCTATTGTTCCAAACACCAATCAGACGATGAGGAGTTGTTTTCTTCCTACAGATGTCAGCTAATTATGGTCGACATTTTCCAATCTTTGCGGCTATTGTGTTTCCTAACGGCTAGGCTTGTTGCTCTTCAGCCTCATCATCATCCCTGCCTCGTCATCCATATTCACGTCCGCACCAGGAGGACCACGGATACTCATTCACCCCCATATCACGCCTTCTTCTTAGTGCACCTTGCTTCAACCGTCCTAGGTCGATATTGGTCCACCCATATGTTCTGACTGCAAGCCATACATAATGTATCGGCCCTTACTCGTTCTTAAACAACACCTTCGGCCATGCGCCTCTTCTCTTCTGTCAAGTTTTGTTACGTCAGTCTCCCAAGCTCATCGTAAAAGTTGGACACGATTCCATAGGCCTTTGTATTCATCTCTCACGGCCAGTAATATATACATTATAGGGACGAGTGCGTAGGGATTTTATCGTATATATTGTGCTTTTATTTTGGTACGCAGGCCATGTTTTCTCGCCCGGGTCGGTCCGATAGGTCAAGCCATAGCTTTCGCAGCAGCAAAAAGGGCCAGTCAACTCAAGTACGTTCAAAAGTTTGCTTCCATGACCTAACCCCTCGGTCATAGTAGTGGAAACCCCTTAGTCTGGAGTTAAAGTCATGTATTATCGCACACATCTTGCGCATCGCTAAACATGCGTGGTTTCTTTTAGTCCAACCGGCAGTTGATCGACTCACTTCGACACCACAGAGTAAATACTCTCACAGAACTATGTCGTATCGAGAGAGTGGCTGCAAGCTGCGAAAATGAAGACGACGTAGTTGCTTTTCAAGAGCCAATGACGGCAGCCTGGACACACTATGTCAACAGCCAGCTTCTTACAGAACTCAGAGGCTTGACATCTAATTACCCGATGTGTGCCGACATCCTCAACGAAGCCGTAAACAGGGTCCGCAATGACCCCGACTCGAACCGAAGTTGGAACATGGCTTGGCTCTGCCTGGTCAAAATTCGCGACGAGTGAGTCAATCCTTTTCAAAGAAGAAAATGCAGGTATGACTGACACTGCTCCAGTGGTCTTGTTCCACATTATGCCGGAATAGAATCTTACCGAAGAGAGATGTGGGGAGGTCGAGACCCAACTCAAGTCGAGGCTGATCAACTAAGTCAATGTTTTGAATGGGAATGGACACAGGCAATTGAGAATATGCTCAGGCACTGGCGCAACCCACCAACATGGTATTGAGGACGTATATCTCGGATTTGGTGCCTACTTATATGTTTTTCTTCTTCTTTTTTTTTTTCCTATGTTCTCTTAGACTTTCATTACGGAGAACCGCAGCGTTGTAGGTGTTCGGCGCATTCAGGCGATAGAAGGGGTGGCAGGACCACAGCTCACTTGACTAATATTAAGATTCAAGGAGGGCATCATTGCTCCCTCGTTGATAAACTACAAGTTTACGACGACGAATTTGTGTAGCTCATAATGGCGATATAATTAGCCTCAAGCTCCTTATTCCAGCTACTCATCAGACATTGATATTGCCAACGTGTTTCGCGAGGAGGGGTATGGCCGCGACTGTCCTGTCCACCGACTCTCCATGATATCCGGTTGCCGTGATGAAGTTGAGCTGGAGCAAAGACCATACGGCTAGCAGGCACTTAGGCAGCTGACATTGGGGAGCAAAACTGCGGGATTTGGACGAATTGCGGTGGACTTGCAAGGTGGCTCGTTGACTGTGTAGAACGCGGACAGGGAAAAGCAGTGAGTAATCTCAGCGGCAGAAGCAAAACTTCTTGATTCGAGCGGCTCAGCAGGCTAGTAGCAAGGGGACACCGGAAGGGAAGTGGACTTCTGGGCCTGTGAAGAGAAACACGACTTGGACCTAATCTCTTATGGTTTGTGCTGAAAAGATTAAGGATATGCTCTCCATGACCGTGTTACGAGGTTCCTCTGTTTAAGCTTTGACCGTTCGTTGAGCCCACTTAACACAGCGCAAGGTGTTTCAACCCCGTGTTAGATAGACTCTGGAGTTGACAGCTTTACCTATTTTAGGTTTTATGGATTATACCCACCGTAACCACTAAACGTCAAAATGCTTGTATGAAAAATCTCCGATTAGAGTGATCCAGCTTCCTCCTGTGTGAACAGGAGTTACAGATGTCTTTGGGGCTGAATTCTCCTAAGCTTTCGCAGGTGGAGCCAACCAACATCAGACGATGGGTCTTGTATAATCGCGACAGCCCATTTCCCGTCTACCCCGCCAAAGCCCCAATCATTTAAAAGTCCACCAGTAACGTGCAGAGCGGTTTGCCAATTCGGGCATGACCTCCTCCACACCGTGGATCTGGATCTTCCGGGGTAACTCGGCATTTCAACCCCGGACCTGCATAACCGCAAAAGGCACAAGGCGATGCTGGGTCATTGGTGCGCGTGGGAGCAACCTGGCGCATGCGGCTACATGACGTCGGCCTCGTATTGTTCAAGTGTTGTTTGGTCGGTCTCATACTTAGTTTTCCCCCTTGCAAGGCTGTCTCTGCTTAACCGTCACGTATACGTATATAAATCAGGGACAATCGCCTAGGAGTTGTTTGTTCATTCAGCAAGTAACAGTGGCCCAGTCAAGGAACTTGGAACAAGATCATGGCGACAATAATGAGTGGCCTGAAAGTTGCCGGCCTTCTGGGTATTGCCCTAGCCGGCATGGCGAGCGCATCACCACTGTCACCTGATAAACGCCAGAGTTCAACGTATGCCAACCCAATATTGTGGGAGGACCTTCCAGATCTCGATGTTTTCCGGGTTGGCGATGTTTACTACTACTCGAGCTCCACCTTTGCATACTCTCCTGGTGCTCCGATCCTCAAGTCGTATGATCTCGCGAACTGGACGCCCGTGTCGCACAGCGTTCCGTCCTTGGACTTTGGGTCCACAAAGTACAACCTAGCGAGCTCCAGCGACCGCGCGTACGTCAAGGGAATCTGGGCCAGCACTATGCGATATCGTGAGTCCACGGACACATTCTACTGGATTGGATGCATCGAGTTCAGCAAGACCTACATCTACACGGCGTCAGGCACCAATGCGCGGAACAACAATGGCGAGGTCGACTCCTGGGACTGGAAGCAGGCCGCTGTCCTCGACACATGCTACTATGACTGCGGCTTGTTGATCGATGACGACGATACCATGTATGTGGCATACGGTAGCACAAACAGCAACGGCCTCAGTGTGGCTCAACTGTCCAGCGACGGGCTGTCACAGGTGACGACAAAGCAGGTCTTCACCAGCGACACCTACTTTGAAGGGAGCCACATGTACAAGATCAATGGCTACTACTGGATCATCCCGACCAAGGTGGCAACTGGCGAGTGGGCGTTACGGTCCAAGAATCCCTTTGGTCCGTACGAGGATAAGATTTTCTTCGATCAAGTGAAGGGCCCTCTCAGCAACGCAGGAAACGCCCATCAAGGTGGCATGGTTGAAGCGGCCGATGGAAAATGGCATTACATTGCGTTCCTCGACTCGTACCCCGGCGGCCGCATACCGGTCATGGCACCAATAACTTGGGATGCTGAAGGTTGGCCGCAGATTACTCTAAACGGCACAGGTGCTTGGGGGCTTTCATACGACATGCCTGTCTCCACAAGCAAAACCGTACCGGGTCCGACAGGAAAGGATTCATTCACCGGGTCCGCTTTGAGCGCTCAGTGGGAGTGGAACCACAACCCTGACACGAGCAAGTTCAGCCTCGCGGGCGGCGATGGTGGCTTGATCTTGAAGACGGCCACTGTGACTGATGACCTCTTTACGGCTCGCAACACGCTGACTCACCGTATCCTCGGGCCTAAATCCGAGGCGGTCTTCGAGTTCGATATCTCAAAGATGGCTGACGGAGATAGAGCCGGCGCGGCCTTGTTCCGGGACTGGTCTGCGTATATCGGTGTCCACAAGGAGGGAAACACTGCAACTCTTGTCTACGTTAACGATGTGACGCTCAACGACGACTGGACAACCAAGAGCAAGGGAACTGTAGCTGCCACAGGACCAACGCTGACGGCGAGCACCGTCTACTTGCGTATAGTTGCAGATATCACACCAGCGCTGAACTTGAATCCGGTACGTGAGGGTGTTTTTTCGTACAGTTTGGATGGCCAAAATTGGACGCAGCTTGGGGGAAGCTTCCTCCTGAGAAACAGCTACACCTTTTTCATGGGATACCGGTTTGCAGCTTTCAATTTCGCCACAAAAGCCCTTGGAGGACAGGCAACCCTGCGAAGCTTTTCCATGGAGTTGGCTAGCTGAGAGCCAAGGCTGGGAGAACTGCTGTACAGTCACCAAGCGGGCTGATTACGTGTACATACACATAGCCCTCCGCCAGATCACCCGGCAGTAGGGTCGATATAGTGTGGCGTTTGATGCACAATGACGAATCCCTATCCCCTGGTCTGCATAATCTCTATCATGGGATGCGAAACCCTGGTTTTTAAGATACAGTACCGTAGTAGTTTGTAGAAGGTGCTTTGAATTGGCTGATAACAAGTTCCGGAAGCATGGACCCGCGGCCGGCGTGTCACAGCTAGATTCTAGAACGATGTCGTTATTGCTCTAACTATAGTGTAGGAATAGTAGTTAAACTTTCTTTTTGATATCCTATACTTAGAGCTGATGGACTCCCGATAAGTGATATCAAGCTAGATAACTTCCCAGGCAGAGAGCCTTATTCATTCATGGCTTACAAATCAGCTACATGCGCAATAGCCGCCAAACCACAGAAAACAAAAACAAAACCACAAAAGCAACACTGATTTATCAAAGTGAGGTCAAATATACGTCAGTGTACTGCTGCTGGGTGAGAGCAATGACGACTTAGCTGTTGTCGTTGCGCGATGGTTGAGAACGTGTTGCTACCTTGCTCAGAGCGTCTTGCTGTGAGATCAGTACGTTGAAAGGGGCTGTGCACTATGATAGCGCGCGGCCAGACATTCGCCCGACTCACTCGAATTACCGGATTAGGACAATGACAATTGCAGGCCACATCGCTGCACAACACCTAGACTTTCCAACTAGAAAGCGTCCAGACGAACTCAACACCAGAGATTGCACGTAAGGTTTGAGCTAGTATCAGAGACTACAGTATAGTTGAAAGCAGTGTTGCTGCTGTTGCTGAACCCACGCGTATAGAAGGATCAGACTAGGAATCCAATGCCAGACGATTCTCTCCTGTACATTGGCCCGGGCATGCCGCGTTACAGATGTGGCTGCGGCTCTCGCAAGGGAGTAATCCACCCCCTCTAGGCGTAGACGCAAGGTACCAGGAAGTTGTCTATTCCGTTCTGAACCAAGCAGCAGACGAGTCCAAAGCCGAAGCAGGGTGTTTCTGGGTGTTTCCTGTTGCACCGTGGTATTAAGAACGGGTCGAGAGCCTGGCCAGCTGCCTGGCCAGCAACTATTGACGAGTCGCGACATCCGCGGGCCGGCAACACACACCACCAAGACACTAGCCCCGGGGTACTCTTAGCGTGCCTGGCTGCGGTAGTGGGGGGCTAGCCCACTAACTAAGTGTATTGGGGGGTTTACCACATCCCTTTCTCGGTGTGGCCCTGGGATTGGCATAGCAAACGGCGGCCGGGAGGCCGGATGGAAACATTGATCGCTTGCAATCGTGGCAGCGGCCGATCCTTGCAGGAATGGATGCAGGTTCGGCCTGCATACAAACGGGGCAGTGCTTCGAGGGTTTCCAAGCGCAGATGACCAATGACACCGTTGGCGAGCTTTCTTAGCCATCTGTCAAAAGGTAGTCTATTTTGGGCGCAATTAAATATCCCGTGGCACCTGTCCAGTGCCGTCTCCCACGCTCCTCACCGTCGGTCGACCATGAGTATTGCAACATGGGCTCACCGACGACAACGGGAGGAGTGACGGGCTTCCAGTTCATCACCTCCATCAACACGATAACCCGCGATGATGAGACGCGGCGGAAAGTGCGCTCTCACGCGCGGCGGCAAAAGCTGTCGAATGAGCCGTCAAGTCAGCCGCCTGCGACTAAGAGCACCAGCCAGAAAGAACGCACCTCCAAGTTCAGACTCGGCGCCAGGGCTTCAGGCTCGGCCAAAAAGCAGAGCCAGCCAAAGTCAAGATCACCACAAGAGGAGTCCTCGACGTCGAGTCCTGACAGTCTCGTCGAGGAGGTCAAAAACGAAGGCCGAGATGGCTGGCACACTGAGATGATCACCGAGGAGTTTGGCTTCACAGTCGCTCCCGAGCTGCAGAATTTCTCGGTCTTACCGATCCGGACAACGCCGCTGACGGACAACCTGTTCAAATGGATGATCTGTGTGTGCCTTTCGCCGCAAGAAAAGTTCGTCCAGAGATGGTTTAACCGGTGCGGGGCGCCTTCGTATTTCAACACATACCATTCGAGCTTTCTATCCCTCTCTCATGCGATGAACCCCCAGGGCAACTGGTTCGATTTTGTGAGCCTCATCCGTGTATGATTGAGGTAACGCGGTGCTGATCCTCAACCCTAGATTACAGTAGACCCGGCAATGACCCACGGCTTCATGGGCCTCGTGGCGGCCATGCACAACGCGCTGGCCGAGTGGGATGATATGACAAGTATCGACTTCCATCGATATGAAACAATCAAGTACATCAACAAGCGGCTCAACATGGAGGGCCGCCATGATACGACTGTGTCTGACGGCGTCATAGTAGCCGTATCTCTCCTGGTTCAGATCGAGGCGTTCATTGGCTCACTCTCGTCAGCCAGAGCGCATCTGATGGGCCTGAAGAAGATGGTGGAGCTTCGCGGCGGTCTTCGCCACGGCTTTGGCCATAGCCCCCTACTTCAACGTGCCTTGGCATGGGCAGACTTTGCCTATGCGACGGCTTCACAAACGCCGTTGTCCTTCCCTTTTATCCCGCAACTGGCCGACCCACTGGGTATCCAGGACAGATTCTTATCGCGTTCTACAATGCTCAATGCGGCGGCGAGCGCTGACCCTGGGGCCGGCCTTGTTATCCAGAATCGAGAGATCCTGGAGATATTCGAGCTGCTCTATTCGACAACGCGAGCAGTCAACGGCTTCGAGTTTAATAAGCTGGAAAGTCTAAGAACGGAAAGGGGCCAGATGAGTGACAGCATGTACCTGACAGACTACAGGCTTTGTATCCTAGAAGAGACTATCCGGTCTCGCGAAAGGAGCAGGTATGAATCAGCGTCGATGATTTCGACGTCGCCCGTTTCCGCCCCCGACGATCAACTCGTGACGGCCTACAAGAACCCCAAGGATCTGTCTGATTCCCTTGTTTACGCCAGCCACCTCTTCCTGCACATGGCTCTGAGGGGACAACCACCTCTGGCAAGGGCACATAAGCTGCCATTGGAGGGGCTAATGGCGAGCCTGTACGAGCCCCTTGCAGCGTCCGGCCTCTTGATCGACTCGACTCCCAGTCCTTCCCTCACGTTTGCCAGCCAGAGCCCAGAAACGCAGGCATCCGCTGGGACATCGCTGGACAGTTGGCCAAGCCCCGTCAACGACAAGCCAGATGAGTCCACACACACATCGGCGCTTCCTAGGAAAGATGACAGAGACGACTTGCACGAGGATTTACTCTTATGGGTCCTGTTCGTCGGTTCATGCGTGCAGATCCGGCCTTCGCCAATCCTAGACGGCTTCGAGTCCATGCCGGATCATCGAGCCTTCTTCCTCGGCGCATTGCGACAGCACTGTATCGCGCGAAACATTCTAGACAGGGACGTGCTGTTGTCGAAATTGCGGGACCTGATATGGCTGGACAGCTGGTGCGAGAAACAACTTGATGTGATCTGGGCACGCATTGGTAACGAGCTCGGTGTTTAAGCTCCTTGTCGTGTGATTTTCCTGAAAACAACGGGACGGCGCATGTGAACGGCTAAAGGACGGGTTACGGTTTGAATCAATGGTCCACGATGCTCTGGGTTTACGGTTACGTGGGTTAATGAAGTCGGATTCAGGGAGGCACGAGATGGAGATACCAGCCAGTCATGTACGCATGGGTTTTGTAACAATATGGACAACGGAGAATGGCGACAGACGAGGGCGAGTTGCGTCTGTCCCCGAGAAAGAGAGAGAGGGGGAGAGAGAGAGGGAGTACCTTGGGGATTTGTTTTACTTGATCGACTGTGATACGTAATCCACGACCATGTTTGTACGAGTTTGCATGATGGAGGCCATGACGACAAGTCTTCTTCCACTTGTTGACTGTCTTGACTCGACAGACTCGGTGCTAGCATGTGTGTGCCTCTGTCCGGCGGCTGCTGGACGCCCCGTGGTGCACGGCTGCTCCGTTGGCCACGGGCGGCAAGGCGGGATCCAATGCTGCAGGTGGCATTGAATTCCTGTCTGGTTAGTGGGTCTTTAGCGGGAAATCCAAATTAAACTGGGCAGTTTGGGCACCTCCCACGCTTGGAGCCCGCCCGGAACAGTGGGGTTCTGCCCAATCCAAGGATCTGGAACGGTAACGTGGATAAGGGGATAAGGGAAGAGGGACAGAGGGAAAGAAAAAAAAAAGTTTTCGAGGGGCAGACAGGCACGGCCCCCCCTTCGCCCCAGTGAGATAAGCGTTCCTCAGCACTAATAATTCCGATTTCTGGCAACTTGGGAGACGTGAGATTCAGATTCTGCATACATCGCACTTTTTTCCTGCCCTGTGTCGTGGGCTATTCTTGGGCGCCTGCTGATTGTATCCCCGGTACACAGCGCGAGTCTGCTTTTCAGACTCATTTAGGCCCAGAAATCCGCAGCCTGGCCTGGTCCTCGCCTGCAACAAGCCCTTCACGATGCCTCACCCAGTATCGCCGCCGATAATGATAGCCAAATCTGGCTCAACGACCCCTCCCCCGCCCGAGATTGCGGCGTATCGCGACACCGCGTTCAACGCCTCCAGCTCCCAAGCCTCGATCGACGCTGCCTATGCGCTCTGTGCCCAGCTGCTCGAGACCCCCGGCGGCTACCGTGGCCTCCAGCAGTATGGCATCCTGGACGACGTCAAGAAGGCCGCAGCCGACAAGAAGAGCGGCCTCAAGCGCGAGGGTGCCCAGAACCTCTTGGGTGCGCTCTTCGAGAAGCTGCCCTCCCAGCAGCCCCTGAGCCAAGTCTCTTTCCTGGTCGAGGACCACGCCGTCCTGGGCTGCGCGCTTGACGCCCTGTCTGACAAGGGCACCGTGGTGCGCGATGCTGCGCAGTACGGAATCGACGCCCTGTTCAGCCATCTGAGCGCCGAAGCCCTGGTCGTCGGTCTTCTCCCCGCCCTCATCACCTACCTGTCCAAGAAGACCGGAAAGTGGCAAGGCAGGGTCGGCGCTCTGAAGCTGATGCAGAAGATGGCCGACAAGGCCAAGATGGAGATCGGTTGCACCAAGGAGCAGGCCCTGGAGAAGGACCTGCTCCGCGAGGCCATGGGCGAGAAGCTCGCTCGCCTCATCCCCATCGTCGAAGGCGACATGCACGACCTCAAGGCCGAGGTTGAGAAGCAAGCCGTCCTCACCATGACCTCTCTCACCACGCTCCTCTCCAACGACGACGTTGCCCCCAGGATCCCTCTGCTCGTCGAGACCATGCACCACCCCTCGACCGAGACCCTTCAGAAGGCCATCCACGCTCTTTCTCAGACCACCTTCGTCGCCATTGTGACGTCCCCTGTGCTTGCCCTTTTGACGCCCTTCTTGGAGCGGACGCTCAACAACCCCTCAACCACACAAGAAGTTTTGCGCCAGAGTGTCGTTATTACAGAGAACCTGACCAAGCTTGTTCACGATCCCATCGAGGCTCGTACCTTCCTGCCCAAGCTGCAGCCCGGTGTCAAGGGTGTACTAGACCGTGCCTCCCTCCCCGAGGTTCGTGAGCTGGCCCAGCGCGCTTTGGACGTCATGGACAAGGCCATGGGCAACGAGCACGCCGTCGTTGAGAGAACCACTGGCGATGATGTCGCAAAGGTCCTCGATGCCGAGGTCAAGAAAGCCGTCGGCGGTCTCGATCTCCTGACTGCCAAGGAGCGCGGCTACATCTGCGAGATGGTGGCCGAGGACGTCAACCACCGCCAGATCGCGCGTATTGAAGCACGCATCGCCCCCTACTTGAAGGACCTCACCAAGTCCGAGCCCAGCGAGCCCATCGCATCCGCTGTTCACAAGTTCTACCTCGAGGAGGATCAGCGCAAGTATGGTGTTCCCGAGAAGGAGGACGACGGTGAGACTGAGATCGTCAACGCCGACTTCTCCCTCGCCTACGGTGGTATGCTCCTGCTGTCGCACACCAACCTTCGCCTTCTCAAGGGTCACCGTTACGGTCTCTGTGGCCGCAACGGTGCAGGCAAGTCTACATTGATGAAGAGTATCGCTGGTGGCAAGCTCGAAGGCTTCCCTTCCCAAGACGTCCTGCGAACCTGCTATGTGGAGCACAACCAGGGTGAGGATGCTGATATTAGCATTCTGGACTTCATGGTTAAGGATCCTACCATTGCTTCCGAGGGCCGAGAGCGTATCTCTGAGGTCCTGGCCGAGTTCGGCTTCACTGCCGGCCCCGAGGGAAAGCAGTCGCAGAAGGTCGGCTCCTTGTCTGGAGGATGGAAAATGAAGCTGGCTTTGGCTAGGGCCATGCTGCAAAAGGCTGATGTCCTCTTGCTGGACGAACCTACTAACCACTTGGACGTTGCCAACATCGCCTGGCTAGAAAACTACCTGAAGACCCACACGGACATTACCAGTTTGATCGTTTCTCACGACTCCGGTTTCCTCGACAACGTGACCACTGATATCTACCACTACGAGCCTGGCAAGAAGCTTGGCCACTTCAAGGGTAACCTGGCGGCCTTTGTGCAGGTTCGACCTGAGGCCAAGGCCTACTACGAACTTGCAGCGACTTCTGTCCAGTTCAAGTTCCCGCCTCCAGGAATTCTCAGTGGTGTCAAGTCTCAGACGGCTGCCATCATCCGTATGAGCGGGTGTTCCTACCAGTACCCCGGCGCTACAAAGCCCCAGCTTACGGATGTGTCTTGCAAGCTGTCACTGCAGTCCCGCATTGCTGTCATTGGACCTAACGGAGCTGGCAAGTCGACCCTCATCAAGATGTTGACAGGCGAGACGATTCCCACCGTCGGACGTGTGGAGAAGCACCCTAACCTGCGTATCGGCTACATTAAGCAACACGCTCTTGAGCACGTCGAGATGCATCTTGAGAAGACACCCAACCAGTATCTTCAGTGGCGGTACGCCAACGGTGACGATCGTGAGGTGTTCTTGAAGCAGACACGTATCCTTTCGGACAAGGACCGTGAGCAGATGGACAAATTCATTGATGTTCACGACGGCAAGGGCGCGCGACAGATTGAGGCTCTTGTTGGTAGACAGAAGTGGAAGAAGTCCTTCCAATACGAAGTGTAAGTTGCAGTCTGTCGTTGACGATGAACCGAGCTAACCTCTTATAGTAAATGGCGTGCAACCCTTCCCAAGTATAACAGCCAGGTTTCCCGTGAAACCCTGCTGGAGTGGGGTTTCGATAAGCTGATTCAGGAATTCGATGACCACGAGGCGTCTCGTGAAGGTCTCGGCTACCGTGAACTGCAGCCAAAGGTCATTTCCAAGCACTTCGAGGACTTGGGTCTCGACCCGGAAATCGCCAACCACAACGAGATCGGATCTCTGTCTGGTGGTCAGAAGGTCAAGGTTGTCATTGCTGGCGCCATGTGGAACAACCCCCACTTGCTGGTCTTGGACGAGCCGACTAACTTTTTGGACCGAGACTCCATGGGCGGTCTGGCGATGGCTATCCGAACCTTCAAGGGTGGTGTGGTTATGATTTCCCACAACGAAGAGTTCGTCGGTGCGCTGGCCAATGAGCAGTGGCATGTCAACGATGGCAAGATGGTGATCAAGGGCTCCACGCTTGTTTCCCTTGAGGACTCTCGCCCTGGATCACAGCTGACGAGCGCTGTTGCCAGCACCGCTGCCAGCAGTGTGGTCAGCAGTGCAGTCAACAGTGGCGTCGAGGACAACGTGCCGCTGAAGTTCAAGGCCAAGAAGAAGAAGAAGAAGACCAAGAAGGAGCTGAAGGAGCAGGAGGTCCGGAGACGTCTGAGACACATCGAGTGGTTGAACAGCCCCAAGGGCACGCCCCACCCTGTGGATACCGACGACGAGGAGTAAAAGTTTTACGGATGACTTCAAGATTTAATGATACGGCAACGCACAGCGGTAGATGATTTGGGCATTAGAGGTTACCGTCTTGGATCCTAGACAGGACCGCATTGATGATAGAACGATGTTTTGTTCTGCATAAGATACGGGTCATGGGTCATAGAGGCGTTCACGATAGACGGCCAGGGGCCTGGATACTGAATTTAATTATTATTGCAATCATCAGGGGAGGTGCACGCCCATACTAACTGAACTGGTGCTATGAGTGTTTGGTGCCAACTATGATGTACTAAGACTATCTCGAAACGCGCAACAGTCCTTCTTTCTCCTGCCAAGAATGACAGAAACCATGGGGCAGTACTTAGCAAAAGGGCCAATGAATGAAAATACGCTGATATCATGTGGGCTCTGTTTGATTCATCGTCATTTGCGCCTGTCAAAGCAACGTATGTGTAGGTGAAAGGATGCGTGCGGAGGATCTGCTGCGCCGCCACCTAAAATGTAGACTTGATGTCAGCTCTCCACTAAAGACGGCTTACCGCTCCTGCCTAAGGTCACAACCAACCGTAAGACTCATACGCCGGCCCGGACCCATCAGTACAAACAACACAATACAGAAAATCTCTCCATACTTCTCGTCGCAAGAGCAATTCCTCTCTTGCTTTCATAGATTGACCTGGCAAACGCAGCCCTCCCCAACTGCTGGCAGTTTCGTCTACACAAGCACTCCTTGTGCCTGCCTTCAGCATGGCTTCCCAACTGGACAACGGGATCATACGTGGCAGTTCGCCAACCGAGCTGGCACAATACCTACGGGCAGAGCTCCCTCACGGGTGGGAGCCCATCTCGAAACATCTCCTGGCATCGGTTGCTTCTGGTGCCATCCCACCAACCGTTTTCCAGGTCTGGCTGGCCGTCTGCAAGGATCCCCATGCCGTCGTATTCGCTCTGCGACAGGATGTATCGGTTCTTGCCAGACATGTGGCCATCAGACGTTTCGGCAAATGGCTAAGAACGGCCGATGAGCTGCAAGCCATCTGGCAAGCAGTAGGGGAAACCAAGGGCCTGGTCGGCTTGATGGCAAACTTCAGCGTCGATGAAGTCCACCTGTTATGCCGGACCGTCCAACTGCAGTGCAGAGCAACAGGTGCCAAGGAGCAGCGTGAGAGTATCGTTTCGGAACTATACGGTGCTCTGACTGGCACTGGAAAAGTTCCAAACCCTGATTCACGCCCTTTGTCCGCGATATATGGAAAGCTGGTACCAGCTTGCAGTGCTGAGACCACTTTGGCGTTCGCCAAAGACAAGCATCCTACTCGCAAGGCCTATGAGAACCATACCAACGCATACGATCAATATGCTCTACAACGCCTGTTTCCCATCGAAGGGGAGGCTGAAAAGATTACAGCATTCACGAAGTTGTTCGAAGTGAACCGCCCCCTCGCAGTCCATGTCCTGCAACGCATTGCAGCCGATAGCACCGCCCTGGAGCACAACAAGCTAGGACTGCGGAATGACCTCATAATTCCACTGCTCAGGCGATCGTATCATTCTCGTCATCATTCAGAGACTCAACAGGTCTTGCAGATCGCAGTCGAATGTGCACAGAAGGAGCCTGCAATCCTGGGTGGTTTCACCGACAAGGATGATCCATTGTTCTTCTATGCTGTTCAGCATTGGAAACGATCGCCTAGAAGAGAGAAAGCAGAGAAGCTGCTGGCTGACCTCATAGGGGTTATGCCGGAAATAACAGGTTTCATGCTGCTTGTTCACGCATTGATGCAAAACGTCGAACCGGCGTTGCGATATCCTCTTCTGTGCCTGAGTCTTCGCAATTACAAGAGTGTCGCGCTCGATCTTGAGTCTGAAGACTCCGAAGTGGATGAGAAGCTAAAGGAATACCAGATGCGCTGGCCGGCTGGCTTGTTTCTGGCCCTCCCAGCCCCAACAGCTCTACATCTATTCAAGCGATTGCTGAAGACTTTCCCTGATGGAAAGTTCTACTACAAGGTGGGCTATGGCGGCATGAAGAGGCTCATTGAAGCCTCTTCTGCTGATGATACGCTTGATTTGGACACAGATGTTGCTATGACGTTTCTTGCTTCTCGTGTGCCGGCTACTGTCAGCGAGAGTAAAACCTGGCTTGATCGAGCGAAGGAGGAAATCCAGGATCGGAAGTACAAGTCAGGCAAGCAACGCGAATGGGAACACCGTGCCTCATGGGCCGTGTCCGTCGTGGAACTGGCTTTCGCTACCGGTTCCCAAGACATCGTTGCGGACATTCTCCTCTGGGCACGACGCTACAATCGAGACACAAACGTCGTCGCTCATCTGTATCGGGCCGGTGTCTTCTTCTCAGAGGATTCATTCGATGTGCTCACCGGTCTGCCTCGCATTACAAGCCCTGGAACACCGCCTGGTCTTCCGGATATCAAGTCGGCGGTCGAAAAGGGCAACGAGATCATGTTCCAGATGCTGGAAACAGTCGCCATGGGCCTCAAGGAACCGGCATTCAAGCGGTATAATTGGAACGGGCTCCTCAAGCTCTTACCAAGCGTTCTGCAACGTCGTTTGGAGAAAACACAGATTCTTGAAAAACAATATGATCTTTCCAAAGAGGAAGTCTTCGCCCATATCTGGCGGCCCACTATTGAACTCATGGTGAAAATCGAAAGATTTGGGCTTGAGCCAAAACATAACAAGCTGGAGCTGGCTGCTATGGACGGCGGCCTGAAGGACTGGGAGCTCGTCACGCCCACGGAGGCATCCGCAATGTTCCTGGACAAACTCGCAGAAGAGCGCAACACGATCTGGACGAAGTTCCGTCCAGAGAGCCACCCAGCCACCACGACACTTGGTAGTCCGTGGCCAAGAGGCTTACCCATACAACTTCTCGTTCCGCGCCTGTCCGCCGATAAGTACAGATTTCCGGAAATGCCGTATTTCCAATCACGCGCTGAAGCTGTAGTCTTTTCGGATTCGTCAGCTTTGAGTCCTCCGCCACAAGACAAGGAAACTAGGGATGCGATAGGTCCATTCGTCGAAGATTACAAGTTTGCTCTGGACATGTTCATCCAAGGGGCCAAGGATGAAGAGGACCGCAAGGCACGTGCTCTGAGAGCATGGGATCATGCCACGACTGTTCTGACTGGTGATCGAATGTCTGAAGTTGAAGCAGCCCGGTTCTGGCTGCGCGTCTTTGACTCTGAAAGCTACGCGCATCTTCTCAAAGACTTGGCTTGGCTGAAACTTGCACCTAAACGCAAGATGTTGTTACCTCACCTTCCTGAATACGACGAGGACGGCCCTATTGAGTGGAATGAGTCCTCAATAAAGATGTCATTCCAGACACCCTACAAGACTTTCCACAAGACTTGCCTGGACTGTATGCTCCGTAGAGCACAGAGCTGGGAATGCCCGGATCTCTGGAGCACTGACTTACCTTTCCACGAGGGAGCGTCCAGCATCGGAGACAGTCGGCTCATGTCTTTTTGGACTAGTGCAAAGCCTTCGTCCATCCCCAGGTCTGCTGCTGATGCAATGACAGCTGCGGCTGTGTGTTATCTCAACAGCAAATACGGCGCAGATTCTTCCCTATTACTGAAACCACTCCCGTCGCGGAATGACATACGATTCCCGCCTTTGTATCTCGATCAAGACTTCCTAGAATCTACGAAAGAATCGAACAGGGCTTACTACGACCGCCAAGCTCTCAGGCAGCTTGCTTACAGTCCGCCCGCTGATATCATGGTCCACCTGGCCCAGTCAATCTTGAAACGTCTTGAGGACGAGGCTCCGGAGGAGGACCCGAATGGACGTGAAGTCGCCATCAAAGTGGTGAAGCACCTGACGCGTAGTGATCACCCAGAAATCGCTCGCGACTTCGTGCGGGACATCATTCTAAATCGGCAAGAAGACAGCTCATGGCATCGCCATCTCTTCAACGTTGGGTACTTGCGACGCCTTCCAGCGAACGGTGTTAGGGCTTTTTTCGAGAATTTAGCTGCAGAGATACAGGTGCGATTGCAACAGCACACTGAAGGACGGGCAAAGTACTGGGCGGAAAAGAAGAGGCTCGAGGATGATGAACCCGCCGAAGAGAGTGTCGCCTCCACAGCTCCCGCAGTCAAGGTGTCTACTGTGAAGATGTTTGCGCTTATGCTACGGGAGGCAGACTATGTCGATTCACGCTTCAGCTGCGACCTTCTCGTCAAACTTCTGGCGAGTTTCAAGCAACTTGATATCCAAATTGCCATTGTCGAAGCTCTCGTGAGCATCTTATTGGAGACAAAGGAGGTAGAACTCCAAGCCTTCATTTACGAAGCCTTAGAGAAATACGCCATCCCAATTGCATCCTCTATCAACGAGCGTCGCCCTCTTACCGAAAGGATGTGGCTTGCTGCCGAAAAGGACGATAGGGCTATCCCGGGATTCTACGAAGACAACCCGGCGACTCTGCCACCTCTCCTCACTCTTCTGTTGGAGACAACCAGCCGTTGGGAGAAGAACAGCACCGGTTACGACAGGTGGATTTCACGCATCTTGCAGCCAGTTGTGGAGAAGTCAATTGCAAACCACGCGCGCTGGAATGCATTATTTGTAAGAAAGCATGGCTTTGACATTGCTGAAGGATATCTAGCGGCGGTCCCGACGCAGCCAGAACTGCTGTACAGGCTGTGGAATACCGTGCCTAAAGCCATTACCAAGGCCAACTTTGAGGCATGGAAGCAGTATGCTTGGAACAACCTCAGGCCTCACGCTGGGTTACAAGCTGCAAACAACGCCATTGCAGACGATCATGATCTGCAGAAATCGAATCCCGGCAGGCACTGGCTGCGCATCTGGAACCACGTCGATGCGCCTTTCGACTGCGGTATCAACCAGGTCGCTCGCTTCTTTTCGACTCTGGGTCCTGAGGATCAACAAATACTCACCCAACAGGTGCCTCTTCAGGATATGCGAGACTTCCTACAGGCAGTGTTGGAGGACCTGATCATGCACGGCCAAAGTGACGAATTCTCAAAGCTTGTTGATCTTTTTACACAGTCCCCTCGCGAGAAGGGCAAGAAGCGTTGGACTATTGGCTTCCTGCCGGTCGTCGAGCACAGCCTTATGGTAGTTGAGAAACTTCGGACCGCTGAGTGGCAGGGAAACCCACAAAGACACCCAGCGACACTACCGCAGGAGATTGATATCAAGCTCAAAATGCTACAACTCAAGTACAAGGAGAAGATTGATGACGCGGGTGAGAGCAATGTTGACGACCTCGTCTCCGACATTTTGGGTTTTCTCAACGAGATGCTAAGCGACGATGCGCCATACCACCGTGTATGGGACAGGTTCTACTACGCCGTCCGGGGTAGTGCTAAATCCTCGTCTTACTTGCTTGTGGGTAACAAACTTGCCGAGTCCGTGTCACTGCAACGGCCGCAACTGGCAGATCAGTTGAAGGTCGACCTGGTGACCAGGCTCTTCAAGGACGCTAGGGACTCCCAAGAGATACCGGGCAGAGAGGCCGCCGTTGGCGTGCTCAAGGGCTGGCTCGAATGCCCCAGTGAGCCAATCCGGAGGTGTGGCAGCCATGCCGTCGAACACTTGGTTCGCGAGTGGGATGCAAGCCGTGGCTGGTTAAGCGCGGAGGACATGCAGGCTCTCGGAGTCCTGCCCAAGGAATCTAGCCGCAGTGCCGGGGGGCGAGGACGTGCCACTAGACGTATGCGAGGTCGAGGAGGTCGGGGAAGGGGGCGTGGCTGGTAAAACAACACGTCCCCCTTTTGCTAGGCACACTGCAACGGGAGGAAAGACATACACAGTATTTACCCTAGACCCGTCAGCGAAAAGGCCACAGACGTAGCTATTCTGCAATAAATCTTATATCGAATCCTAGTCACAAGTTCTGCCAGACGCTGTCATTTGCCGCCAACGATTAGACGTGAGATACTAAGGCCCAACACATGGCAGCGCGGGCGCTCTGCTTGAGCGTAACTTAATCCTAGCCCAGGGGCATTTATCGAAAATCACGTCAAATCTGGGCCATTGTGGTTAATTATATATGACCTATCTAGCCCTCTTCCCCTCTTGGTACAAGCATCCAAGGCCATTCCAGTCGTGTTCGAAAGGCTTTCCGCGCTCCGTTTCATTGGTATCATTGGGGGTTGGCAGAGAGTCCAGACTCCAGGTCCGAGATTCTCCTCTGCCTTGGGTTTCGTGATTTTTCCTCCGGTACGCCAAAGAATGCGTCGCAAATAGTTGGTACACAATCGAGGTACTATACAACACGTTCAACTAACCCGTGCCCTCTCTTCTTCTTTTTTTTTTGTCCTCATTTTCTCCTGTTCTTTATCCTGCTCTTGCTCCTGCTACCTGCCACAAGGATGTAGATTGGCCCGTAGCATATGAGCCAACTAGGCAGACTCCAGTTGGCTAGCTCAAAATCCAAAACTCGATGGACCTATGCCAGTTTCTAGATGTGCCGCATCTGAAGGAGACACACATGTCGAGAAATGGAATATATGTGACACCTCGCATTCGTCTGTGCTGCCTCGTGCAGTCTGCCACTAATCGTGGTTTCTTTCAAATGCCAGTAAAGGGGTCTCTCCGGCTGGGCGATAGAGTCTGCTCGGCAATGGTAGGCTCTGTCTGCTGGCGCCTCAAGTCCGGACGCGTGGCACAGGCAGCACGGTTGACCAGGGACGATTTCCGGGGCGGCGGAAACAGGTCCGTGGCCGAGAGTGTGCGTGTGTTCTACATCACGGAGCACTCTCCCTCCTGCTGCTTGCCAATCTTGCTTCGCGAGATGCGCTCGCGCTGGCGAGGACCACCGTTCTTTCCAGAGCGCTTCAGATCTTCCAGCCGCTCACGAGCCTTGGGGAAGTTTTGGGCTTTGGGAAACATTAGTCAAGCACTTATCGTCAACCCGCATAAGGGGGTAACTTACCAGCAGCACGCCAGTACCAACGCTTTGCGTCTTCCATGTTCGCAGCAATGCCGATGCCAACTTCTGTAAAGTAGCCCATGGCGTACTCGGCCTTTGCCAACCCAGCCTGGGCCGCCTTTCTTGCCCAGAGGTACGCCTCGGTATCGCTCTGCTGCAGGACTCCTTCGCTGCCCGTCAGATACCAACCACTCAGGGCGAGCTCTGACTGGTGCTCTTCTTGGGTCGCGGCCCGCGAATACCACATTATGGACATGCGCGGGTCGATGGGGCAGTTCATGAGACCATATTCATACGCACAACCCATCCTGAACTGACTGAACTTGTAGCCCAGTTCTGCGGCCTGCTGGAACAACGACAAGGCATACGGTTCATCACGCAGGATGACATCATTTGGCTGTGCAGACTCGTACAGAAGACCCAGCTCATGTAGCGCGTGCGGGTTCTCGGCATCAGCCCGCTCTGCTGCTCTCTTCAACCAGCCGACGGCCTCGCGAGGGTTCTTAGGCTGACCAAGCAGTCCCTTGAGCAAGATCATTCCAACCTTATACATCGCAGGGGGGTCTCCAAGAGTAGCAGCTCGCTTATACCACTGGATCGCCTTGAGGGGGTCCTTGCGCGTGCCACCTCCATCATCGTTGCCGAGTTCACAGCATACTGCCGTTCGGTAAGCGGCAGCAGCATGGCCCAGTTTGGCAGCTGACTGATAGAGAGTGAACGCCTCTTTGTTGTCCGGCTCGAACCCAAGATTTCCACGGCCCATGCAGTCTGCAAGGAAGAACATGGCGTCCGGGTTTTGCGCACTCACAAGCTTCTTGAGGATCTTGTGCGCATCCATGATGTACCTTTCTCTCGACCGTGCACGAGCCTTGGGATCGGGCAGTCTCGGGACCAGGACGTCGGACGCTTCGATCAGCTTCTTGGCAAGTGTGAGGGCTGATTGCTGGTCGTTGGGATCACTCTTGATCACGGCGCGCAGGTGTTCCAGTTCTTCTACCGTGACCGGGATGTGTTCCACCGGTTGGCCGTTCGCCGCGGGACTCGGCTGTTTTCTCCCCTGAGCCCCGATAGCTGCTGCAGGCGGACCGGTATATTGCCGCTGCGGCGGAGGCTTATCCTGCATGTTCACCATCGAGTTTGGCATCAGGCCTGGGCGGATCGGGGCCGGATGCCCAGAGCCGGGTCCAGATTGGGGTTGCCTATTCGGCGCAGGCCCCTGGGGAAGTCCACCAGGGGGTCCCGGCTGGTAGGCCTGGAAGCCTCCGGCAGGGACAGGAGGCAGGTCACTGGCCATTTCGAAAACGGCGGCCTGTGGTTCGCGCAGGTTCGGCTGAGACTTTGTTCGGCTGAGCTCAGGCATGCGCGCCGCAACGTGCTGGGGCATCTCCGGGCCGGGTCCCGGGCGCATGTGCTGATCAAATGAGCTCCGTTGCCCTTGATCCGGGCCGGCATCGAAATCGGGCATGTCGTTGGGTCGTCCAGGCGGATACTGGTTATCACTATTGCGCGGGTGATAGTAAGCATCGTAAAAGTCGCCAAAGGACGCCCGCACCGGCTCAGCCCATGGGGTTTGCTTGGGCGGTTCGTAGGCATCGAACTGCTGAGGGCCTGGTGGTCCGGGAGGTCCCGGCGGTCCTTGGTCGGGATATATTCTTCGAGGAGGCGGCCGATTGCCTTGGGCTGTTGACGGCCTCGGTGGCATGCCGCGGCCACCCGGGCCAGGGAAAGGCGCACTATCTGTCCGCGGCGGCTGGCGCATGCCCATACCCATCGGCGGCTCAACGTTGTTGGGCATTGTCATGCTGCGCCCCGGCGGCCCAAATCCGTCGTCCTGATATCCTCCGTAGCCAGGCCCCGGCGGCGGTCCACGCCTGTCGGGGAAGCCTTGAGGCGGCGGTCCTCGTGGCCCCGGTCCTCCTCTCTGACTGTCCATTGAAGGCCTGCCGCCGTACCCATCGTCCATGGTCGGCCTCCTCGATCCTGGGCCTCTGTGTGGACTGTCGCTGGTCTGGCTTTGCATCGTCGGTCTTCTCGGCGCAGGGCGGCGGCCTCCCCCGTTCATGTCGAGATTTTCCATGCCATCCAGTATGCGGGACTCCTCGTCGAAATCCGATCGTCGTTGCTGGCCGGGAAAGACTGGAAAGGGGCTGCCAAAGTCCTGCTCGTTGGGGCTCATCATCGGGGGCCCTCCGCGATTAGCTGCGAAGATTAGCTGGGACACCACATTGCTATTGCGCCTTCAATGCATCTTACCAGACGGATCTGACGAGCCGGAGCGCTCCAGAGGGCCTGGTCGACCTCCAGGGCCAGGGGTATAGCCACGTCCAGGGCCCGGCGCAGGACCACCACCTCGGCCTCTCATCACCGGTCCCCCGCGTCCATTGGGCGGCGGCGGACGACCTCCTCTTCCGGGGCCGTAGGGATCTTGTTGTGGAAAGCCTCCGTTCGGGGGTGGCCTACCTCGTCCGTAGTTCATGTCCTGCGGCGGGGGCGGGCCGTAACCTTGATCGTAACCATCATCGTACTGGTCGTATCCGTAGCCCCCGTACTCGTCTTGGTACTGGTCGAATTGCTGCTGCTGCTGCGGGGGGCCGAAGTTCCCTCCGGGACCGGGAGCAGGGCGGCGCGCAGCAGGCCCGGCATAGGGGCGCTGCTCAGGGAATCCTCCGTTGAATGCCATGTCGACAGGCTGGCGGCCAGGCGGCGCGACCTTTGCTCTACTATTGGGGGACTTTAGTAGCTATGTAAGCTCTCCCCTGGCCGGCGACTCGTGACGATTCTCAGGATACTTGGCCGGCGAAAGCTTGGGGGCGCGTGAGACTCATAAACAAGCCATAGGCCAGGGCGGATGTGGATGTGGATGTGGATGTGGTGTAAATGTGAATGTGAGTGTGGTTGTGGATGTGGGGGGGTTGTTGTCGCGGGAATGGAATGGGCGAAGAGGCCCAAGTTTGCGACCTGCGTAGCCGTGGTCCCTTGCTGCAAGGTACCCGAACAGCTCCGGTCAGATCTTCCCAGGAGGATGTGGTACGCCTCGACTCGAGCAAAGTCAGCTTCGTGCAGGTCAGCTCCAGGCCGGCGAGAGTGTTGTTTTTCTAAAATTGGGAGGGGGGCTGTTTCGCCTCGGTGTTGATCGCCAGTTTCGGCGCACTGTTATAAGGTTACCTGGGTTAGTTAGTTACAGGCCAACAGACAGGCAGACAGACAGACAGACAGCCCTGGGGGACGGAATCGGCGGCGGGCAGTTCTGGCGGGTCGCTTCTCTCGGGCGTTTATTTAGGGGAGCGCTGGGCGCTGGCTTTAAGGTACTTTTTAATGACCTAACCACCCAGACAGCGGGGTGGGATTCTGGCGCGCGAAAGGGGGCAGTGGGGGAACGTCGTTGTTGGTTCAGTGCGACGGGGGGCGAAGGACCCTGGCGATGTCACAAGGTCGAATTCGGGCGGGTATCTCCAGCACCCCATGCATGCATGGAGTCTACTGTAGGTTGTAAGTTAGGTTTACTACCTAACACAGTAAGTACTGGACGCCTTCGTTGGCCGCCTCCAACAGGTACCTAGGTAGGTAGGACCGGCTTTGCTGCACCAGAAAGCGCCCCCAAAGGCACCCTTTTAGCAACGTGCCGTAGATATGTATGTTTATATGCAAGCCACCGGCGCGAACCAAACGTGGTGTGCTCGACCCGGCTAATTCGGAAGGGGGACTACTATCGTGGAGTGGAGCCCTGTCCAACGCGGCAGAGCAGGGTGCTGTGGTTATGGGTTATGGAGCTGACCAGTCAGAGAAAAGAAAAACATCACAAGCAATAAGCTCTGACAGATGTAGCAACAAGCTCGAGCAGTTCGGCCAATATCCTGGGAAGATCAGAGTTTGGAGACGACTTACTGAAGAGGATGATGCTGGTTCCACGTGAAGATAGGTACATTGGGTAAGCTGAGGTATGGAGGTCTGGCCGTAACGTATCAGAGTGCAGTGAGTGAGCTTTGAAGACTGAGTTGCCTCCCTCACATCAGTCCGTGTGCAGTTAGTTGCGCCACTGCAAAGATCTAGTTAAAGCCAACGGATGCCCAGGCGCCCTAAGTGAAGTTGGATCCTGTCGATCGGCACACAGAGTGCTCCGTCTGCGACTCTGCGCCGCCAACGTCAAGAACGGCCGAGTCACGGTCACGCAAACGAGGCTGTCACGGCACGTCCACCGAGCCCGATCCTAGCGCTTTTAATAACGAGTGTCAGAAGGATGCCCTGGCGGCGGGTCGCCTTGCATTGAGCAGCATCCTGGTAGCCAACGGGGGACAGTGGTCCCTCGCTCCCAGCCCTACTGGGGGATGCTTGCGCGCTGTTTTCTTTGTTGCCAGACTTCTTGTTCTTTCTCTTCTGAGCCTTTCTTTTCCTTGTGTGTCCATGTAACAATGCGCCCTCTCCGTGTTCCCTGTCCCGAGTCCCGATGCCTCAGCAGACGCCAAGTGAAAGGACGTACAGAAAACCCGAACGAGTTGTCGGATGACTTTTTGGTGTGGTTCAGCAGCATGGAGGAAATCATTGCTCTGAACCCGGTAAACTCTACCGACGGCGCACTTCGAAACATCTGAACATTAGGGGATCTGCCCCATCCCTACACATCATGGGCGACGACTCAGGAACTTGTCTCTGAGGAATCGACGCATTGAACTGGTTCCGTGCCAGTTCCAGGCAATGCCCGTAGTCCACGTTACCGTCTTACAGAGCCTTGTGTCAAAAGTGACAGGGGGCTGGCGCCGCTATGTGGTTGATTGGGCGCTTGACTTCCTGAGATGTCTTGGCACGTTTTCTCCAACGTGCCGGCACTTTTCTGGAACCTTGAACTCTCTTGTTCGGATGACCAGGACCCAAGACACAGCAGGCTGTGCGTAACTCGAGCGTGTGTTCATCACCGTCTCTTGTTGGGAAGATGCACATATCCCGGCGATCTGCTGCTGCACTCCTACCACATCATATTCACCGACGCACAGAGAGGGTGTGTATCCCATAGGTTGGTATGAGTATTTTAACTCTATCCTGTGATCCAGAGACCACCAGGGTCCAACCACTCTGTACCTTTGCATGATACATAGTAGGTGAAAGTACAGGGTTTTCTGACTTATACCCACTTTTATAGTACGTAAAACGATCTCAACTTCATCAGCAAGGTTTGGACACGGACGTGAGGAACGCCAGGCCTCATCCGGGTTCGTGCCAGCACATACACAGTACAACTTCGCAGAACGGCTCTTCAAGTACCTCACGAACAACAGACTTAGTCACGGCGATGTACGTGCAGCAGCTGCCATATGACATAACAGGAGGCCTCGATACACTGCCTGGCCAATCTATCCGAGGATAACTTAGAGAGCAAACCGAGCTAGAAGCCTTCTGCCGTGCTAGGGCTGAGCTAATCTGACCAATGCAAGACGTAGATGGCCCTGCCCAGCAAAGCGGCTGTGAACCACTTTAACAAGCATTGCGCACTAGAACAAGAAGGAGGGTCGTTTATGTAGAACATTGCTGCCGCCGCGCATGACCTCCACTTCGGGGCATGCCGCAGCGGGAGGACTCCTATTGTCGCCACTCGCAGCGGTGGCCAGACGATTGGTTGTCCGAGCCTCTCGCGGCTGGGGTTCGTATACCATGGGATTCACGATGTCTTTTAGCCAAACGCCGTCGATCATGCGGGAACGGCGCGTGTGATATGTATCGTGTCGCACCGTCATTCACATGCAGGAGCAGGAACGAAGATTCCGGGCTCTGACGCTGCTACGTTGTCGGAAGAAGCAAGTTGCTCGAGACACCAAGCAAAGCTTCTCCTGACCTGACCCGTACTTTATCGTGCCTTTCTCAAACACGCAGAAGCAAGCCCTGCAGATCATGGGGATGCGACAACAGTAGCCGCGCTGCTGGGCTGCTTAGGCGCCAGCTCATTGCATTGGCTACGGTTTGAGGGTTTGCTGACGGATATCCTGCATAGCTACCCAAGTCAGATGCCAAGGAATGACAGGAACACTCTCTTCATGCTCTTGTATGTGAAGTCGTGCAAGTCGTGTCACGAATGAGTTGACAGTGAGTCTCGAAACAATTTCGTAGCATAGGGTCAAGGGAACAGTAATAGTCCCAAAGCAAAGAACTTCAGCGTTGAGATTCTAACATGGCCAAAATCCAACGTCAATCTCGATGCTTATAATGCAAACATCTCAACTATTTCCCTCTAAGCCCGTGCATTGTCGACACTTCTGCTGTTCGTCTTCTCTTATTATGTAGGCCTTCTAGAAGCCATGGCGCGGCTTGGTGCCAGAGATCAGACGTTAGCGCCACAGCGCGCACCGCCACAGCGATAGACTGCAGCTAGGACCCTGGATATCGTCATTGAACCTTTCGCTGGCGCGGCACCAAAATCCGCGATGGAAGCCCGGAATGCGCATCGCCCTCACTGCCCAAGACACGCAGCAACATAATCAAAGATGGCGGCAAAGCAATCGAAAATAGGTACCTGGGTGAAGATGCTGGGCACGTGAGTCAATCCCCAGAACCAAAGCACCACTCTTCCCGCCGCGCATCGAAGCGCAGGCTAATCCGTTCTCCTAACAGTGGTGCTGCAGTCTGCGTCGGCGGACCAGCGTTCGTATTCTGGATTCAGCCGACCGATGAGGAGCTGTTCAAGCGTTACAACCCGGAATTACAGAAGAAGAGCTTGGAAGGCCGGTACGAGCGGCAGAAGGAGTTCGACGACTTCGTCACGCAGTTGAAGGACTATTCGAAATCAGACAAGCCGAGTATGCACGCCCTCCTCGATGAGCAAGTCGCAACCATTCGAACCGAGAACTAACATATAATACTACAGTATGGACCGTTCAGGAGGAAGCTGCTCGGAAGTACAGGGCTGCAAGACTGGAGGAAGACGCAAGAGTTGCCGAGGAGGCCAAGGCTCGCAAAGAGGCCATGAGGAGAGAATCCGGACTGTCTGGAAACTCGAGCAGCTAGGCACTTTAATAAGGCACTAAGGCACGAGTGTATTATCATTGTACTGAGTTGGAAACATCAAAGGGCACTGGAGAACTACGGCGTTCTGGAGGGCTTGTACGAAGCTCAAGCTTTCCTTGATTTGGACATCATACACCACCCATTTACGACAAACGACAGGAAGAGGGAGGTGCGGATGATACGCAGGAGGATGTATTGGTATCGACTAGCTCTGGCATAGGAATTTCATGCCATTGTGTGGTCAGAATGATTTATTCATCACAACTTCGCTACCTCAAGGTAGTTATTATGAGACGAGGGGCGTGTCCGCAGAACGCATCCAAGATTTGCTGCAGCCCCATGCGCAAAACTCCACTAGCACGATCACGAATCGCACCTTGAACATTTCCAATTCCGGCACCGCAAGCCTATGACTCGACCCTTACAACATGTTCAGTCACTGAAGCTATTGCCAAAGATGGCCCATCGCCCTCGTTAAGATACTTCGTGAAGCATACAATGGCCATTGCTCCTCATAGAAATCCCTTTCATTCTCACATACACCCACCTTGACATCTCACCGTGTCGAGTAAACATCTACAGACATGGATCATATACCAAAACTGCTCGATTGGGCAGAGACAAAAGGTATTAAGTTGGACGGCATATCTCCAAAGCGCTTAGCCGGCCGCGGCGTTGGCGTTGTGGCAACTCGAGATCTTAAGGTCAGTCATTCCCTCGTAAAGGCTCACACAGCGCGCTTGGGAGCAGGCCGCTCGCCGCGACTCGGTCTGATCGTGATCTAAATTGCAAGTACTTGCTAACTCCCTTCCCAGACCGATGACATAATACTAGAAGTCCCAACGTCGTGCCATCGGAGCATTGATACGGTCCCAAAGACCGTCCGCTCCACATTGCCCAAGGAAATCTCAGTCCAAGGCCTGCTGGCCACCGATCTGGCTCTGGAAGACAGCAGCACTTCGCAATACAGTATCTGGAACTCGGTATGCCCGACACCTGAGGACTTCACCTCCATACCGCTGCTCTGGCCCCAGGCACTGCAAGCCCTGCTGCCGGGCCCCGCCGCGAAGCTGCTCGCCGCGCAGCAGGCCAAGCTCGCGCGAGACTGGGCCGCCGCGAGCGCCGCGTTCCCGGACCTCGCGGAGGACAGGTTCCGGTACGGGTGGCTCCTGGCAAATACCCGTACGTTCTTCTACCCGAGCCCGGCGCTGAAGAGGCGGCAGAACGAGGGCCGCATGGTCCTGCAGCCTGTCGCGGACCTGCTGAACCACGCCGAGGAGGGATGCAACGTCGCCTTCGACGCCAAGTCGTTCGTGGTGCGCGCCAATCGGGAATACGAAGAGGGCGAGGAGGTCCGGATCTGCTATGGCAGGCATGGCTGCGACTTTCTGATGGTGGAGTACGGATTCGTGCTGGATCCGAACCGGTGGGACGAGTTCGGGCTCGACGACGTCATCCTGCCCAAGCTGACCCGGCAGTGGAAGGAGAGGCTCAAGGACCGGGGCTTCCTGGGCAGATACGTGCTCGACCGCGAGCAGGTGTGCTACAGGACGCAGGTCGCCGTGCGGACGCTCTGCTGCGGCGTCGGCGAGTGGATGCGGTTCGCGGATGGGGAGGACGGGGGCGAGGAGAGCCAGGACATGGTAAACGAGTTGCTCGCAGAGATGCTGGGCAAGTACAGAAAGACGATCAGGAAGAGGATCGACGAGGCGACCCACACGCAAGAGGGAGAGGAGTGCCAGAGAGAGCTGCTTGCTGAAAGATGGAGGCAGATCGACCGACTGGTTGAGGCAACCGTGGACAGGCTCCAAGACTAGAATATCAATCGTCTGAAATTGTGGATTACATTCAATCAATTTATGAGGTGAGATGTCTAAAGGAAGTTTACAGTGTTGCCCACTAGGAGAGTAGCTATAACCTTTTGATCGGCCGCCATGCCATTTGGTCAATATCTTATGCTCTACGATGATAATAGTGACATCTTCCAGGTTCCAACATTCAGGCTCATGCCAATCATGCTTGCAGCAGAAACCCCATGAACCGAATCACAGATAGGTATACGTACGTTCGTAAAGCGACACCCAAAACGTGATCTAGCTTCAGGGACTGTTTTGTGGGGGCGCTGTTGGGGACTTAACCCAAGATGTGTCACTCTAGACTAGGTCAGTCAGTTGGTGGGTTGGTTGCAGTTATCACGAAATGATATACCCCTAGGCTAGGCTTTACGAGAAAATGCGTCGTTACAAAGCAAAAGTTCCAAGCTACCAAAGTTCTCGGCTTAAAATCCCGTGCCTAAAGACAAATTGGGTATGTGAGAGAAAGCGAGGCTATACGTACTTTGGGCATCTTATCGAGTACGGGCTACAAAACCGCTCATGGGCCGCGACCCGTAAGCTAAGGCGAGAATTCGTCCCGGCATGAGTCAACGGCCGGTAACCCATGAAATCTATTAAAGCACGATGTCTTTCCAGTATTCAAGACATTGATCATATTCCCAGTCATCCCAGTCAATTTCGCCTAAAAGGAGGCATTATATTTCACGATGGCGGAGCCGTCAAAGATCACGATCAAGACCAGGCTTCCGGTGGGACTGATCCCACCTAATCTGGAGCGGGCGCAGATCAAGACCGAGCGACTCGTGATCCGACCCTACACCCAAGACGACCTCGCTGGCATGCACGTGCTCCGAACGCAACCGGAGGTGATGCATTTCACTATGCGGGGCTGCATCGACCAGAACCTCGCGGAGACGCAGGAGAGGCTTGACTGGTACCTGCCGCCGCGCGACTTGGAGAGCTACAACTGGGCCATCTGCCTCGCGGAGACGGGCGAGCAGGTCGGCATGGGTGGCGTGAACCGCCTGAAGGCGAACGGCCAGACGGGCTGGCCCGAGGTGGGCTACATGTTCAAGCGCGAGCACTGGGGAAAGGGGTACGCGACCGAGTTCCTGCGCGCGTTCCTCGACGCCTGGTGGACGCTGGAGCGGAGCGAGGTGGAGCTCGAGGTCGACGCCCGCTCGGTGGACGGGATCGTCGACGGAGCCCAGGCCGTCGCGATCCCGGACCGCGTGACCGCGATCGTCGACGCGAACAACCGGGGCAGCCTGCGGGTTATGGAGAAGGCGGGGTTCCGGCAATACAAACAGTTCGTCGAAGCGGATAGTCGAATGGGTTACGAAGGGAAGGACATCACCCTCGTCGGCTTCATTCGGAGCAAAGAGACTTGAGGATGGACAGAATAGTGCCTGTAATAGAGCGTTGAGCAGCTGCTTGCACAAGCAACGAGGGGCTATAGTTGGCGATTACAATGGTTTCCGAACTCTTTTCAGCGGGCGAGTACTTCGTTTCTCACCAACGTTCCGGTCAGTCAATTAAGCATATCATAAACGGACACGTACATAGACAAGGAACAGTCCCCCATGTCTTTTGAACGAAATACCAAAGGAATATCCCATAGTCAGCTTCATCAAGATGGCCAATACCAAATGGATACAAACTCTAATTTCTATCATCCGCACTGTCGCTTATCGTGGTCGCGTCAGCACACCTGTAGGATTCAACCTAGCTCTTCAGGTTCGGGACCGAAGTGTTGGAGGCGTTATTCATGTGTGCGGCTAGCGATCCTGAAGGGAATTATAAAGTGCATCAGAGGTGCATGCTAACGCGGGACTACGGGCAACAGCCTTCTGTCTTACTACCCCATAATACGCGGAACAGTCACTTGTCTTGTCACGCGTTGTGAAGTCGTCGCGAAACTACTTGTGTGAGAAACTTAAAATCATCGATCGACTGGGCAATGTCACTCTCGCCGGGTTTGACGCTTGCCGCCTCGGCAAGCATTGTCGGTTCCGCAGCAGCAGCTGGTAGGTTTCAGCCCCAGAGAATGGCCGTCTCAAGTAACTACTATACTAAACGCACTATCTGAGTGGTTAGGAGCCATTGCCGCTCTCTCCGGCTGTGCCATACCGGCAGTCCTGGGAGCTGGAGCACCCACGGAGGTCATGTTGAGGCAGTGGTATATCATCTTCAACAGGGGTAAGGCAATCCCACTGACGAGTCTGATATCGGCTCTGAGCTACGGCGCGGTTTCCTACGGCACATGGTCTCATGGGCTGCCGCAATGGAAAGGATTCGCACTAAGCGGGCTGTTCGCCGCCGCCTCGATTCCTTTTACGATCGCTTTCCTGATGCCGACCAACAACGCACTCGAGGCTGCCGCGCATAGCGAGGTGAGGACGCTGAGCGACGATAAAGTTCGGGGGTTGATTACGAAATGGATGAAGATCAACAACATACGGATCTTCATTCCGCTTTCTGGCGCGATCCTTGGCTTGTGGACTCTGCTGGGTTGAAACTTGATGATGCAAGGCGTTCAGCACGTAGGTTGCCAGCGTTCAGCATCGTCCATTGGGGTCACAAACATCAAGTTGGATAGACTAAAGCCTGCAACGCCAAAATAACATGATCAAATTGAGTTCGGTCTGTCGCGAGCTGACACATTGTGCATCATTCAAATGAACCCATCTCTTAGGTAGGGTATCATTTCTGGCCAAGGAGGAGACCGGTGAGACATGGTGAACGGTGGAAGTTGTGTCGGAATCTGTTGTTGTTGCAGATCAGCCTTGTGCACAGTAACTTAACACACAGTCCTGCCATGTGAGGCGACAAGAGCAAAGCCTCAGGGCTCAGCCGTGTGGGCCCAGCTCGTGACAGCGTAGAGATGTCGTCAAAGCAGCAGCTCTGGCACTCTGGCACTCTGGCAGAGCCCCCAGCCTCTCTGGTATCGTAACGGACTCCATCGTAAGGTAGACTAATTAAATGGGCGGGTTGGCGGGAGATGGTGACATGATCCCATCTTGGGCCAAGTTCCCCAGGTTGGAGGGCAGTTGGGGCACGTGTCAAGCTGGTAGCCAACCTCCAGGGCCGATCGCCCCGCCCATCTGCAACTTTGTTGCGCGACACAGCCATGATGCCTGCTGTTCCTGCCCATCTGAATGCCTGAAGTTGGATGCGACCGACAGTTCGATGGATGACGGACCAGAGCGAGACACACCACCTAATTTGCCTGCACTGCACAGCTGAGAGAAGAGGCAGCAGCCCGCGCGCGCGCTCAGGTTTTGGGGTCGCTTGTTGCTGAATATAGGTACAGAGTACATGCATCCAACCTTTGACTCACTTGGTGGCAGCGGCAGTGGCAGCCTGTCGTCGTGCCTGTTTATTCCTTGTCTTATTTACAGGACCTGGGGTCGCTAATCCCGAGGTCGCCAGCCTGACCTCCTTGGAACTTTATATACCTTACCTATTTACAATTGATCCCCCGGGCCGCCCGAGAACCGTGATAACTACCGTTGCTGTCCTCTCTGCGACTCCTCTTCGTGGCTGGCTGTCGCAGCCTGACTTGTCTGTCCCTCGTCTTGGCTGGCCCGTCGTGCGTTTCTGTGCCTGGCTGTTGCGCGTGCTACCTAGTCCGGGGTCAAGTATGCCGCCTCCGACAGCTGTTGACCGCCCATTGTTCTACCTCGAAGCGAATACCGCGACTGCGCTCGCGAGGCATCGTCAGCCCTGCTGCTGCACCCGCCGTATCTCCCTGCGTCTCCCTTGAGCCGAATGCCCCCGATGGCGACAGAGACCAGGACCCAGGCGTCGGTTGAGGAGCCCATCAGTGCTCATCCTCCACCGCCATCTCCACCTACATCTCCGCCCGGCCAGTCTGGGGAGAGTAAGCGACCACCTCCGACGGCGCATGGCAAGGCGTATTATGGGTATCTCTACAATAAAGACAAGACGCCGACCGCGCTGCTGGACGCGCTACTCCATGCGATAGGGAAACATATTGTAAGCCTTCTCCTGTCCACCACCCAAGCCGGCGGGAGCCCGACGTCGTCCTAGCGCGGCCCAACTGCCCGACTCTGGCACGCAACGTTTGGCTGACACCAGCAACACGCACAGGAGACCGAGATAGGCGACAAGAGCCGTCGCATCATCGACAGGACCAAGCTCGCAGCCTTCTACAAGGCAGTGGGCGGCGACTACGATTCCCTCTTCGTGAATGCGCCGGACAAGTCGATATCCTACATATGGCAGGCGCTCGGTGTGCAACATACGCTGCAACCATCTGGCGATGACTTCGCAGAGCCGTCCGTCCCGGCCCTCACACTGAAGGGTTTCATACGTTGGGAGTCGATCCAGATCCTGCTGGAACCTGACGAACATGTGGCTTTCGTACAATATGCTGTACGCAACTGGGCGCTGAGGCATCCCGACACTGGGGAGCTGTTCCCTGCTGATCTCCCCAGAGATTCTTTCCCTGCAGTTTGTGACCCGCTGATAGACGATTGGCATAAGCGATGTGCGATGAAGTTGCGCGACGCCGCACCTGTGTTGGAAAAGCCCGAGCATACTGCCGCCCCGGACCCCAGGGTCCATGTGCATTTCACTCACGTTCGACCGAACGGCCCGTCTCGCCATGGGCCCGCGATGGACTATTTTGAGCGGAGGCGCCCAGATATTCCCTTCTTGCACATTCCCAAGCACGCAGCCACTGGCAACCCGCAGGGCCATGGCCACTCGCCATACAGGCATCGCGGCAGCGGCAGCAGCTCGCCAGATGAGCGTGAGCGCAGGAGAAGGAGCTTCTCTGATTTCCCCTCGCCCGCGCAGGACCAGTGGCGCACATCAGCTCACCCCGGTCCCCGTCCACCTGGGCCCGAACGCCGTCACAGCCAACCCAGACATGTCTCCTCGCCATCAAGTGGATCCGACTCGGATGCCGCCGTGAGTCCGCGGTCGAGAGATCACCGGCCAATGCGGCCTCCGACTGCCTCCGTTCGCGTTTTCCCACCTGATGTGCCCACAGGGGCATCTGCAGGTCGGCCATCTCACCGCGCTGAGCTGCGACAGGATGACCCGAGAAGGAGCAGCCTACCGTCAGGGCATTTTGGTATCCGGCAGAAACTGTCGTCCTTCTTGCCAGGGTCACTAAACCGGCCCCGTAGCACATCGCGGAGCGATCGTGAGAATGACAGTAGGCCAAACAGTGCTCGTTTGCGTGCCGAACATCCTTCATCTAGGTTGGGTCACCGAAGATCCGTCGAAGACCACTCATCTGAAGAGTCGGATGGTGAACGCTCTCCCAGATACCGCAGTCGCCATGACCTAGACCGCGACAGGGACAGAGATAGAGAAAGAGAGCGCGAAAAGATTCGAGAGCGCCAGCAAAGAGAACGGGAGCTTGAGGACGAGCGCGAGAGGCGAAGCAGGAAAGACCGGGCCCATCTGAGACCCGGGGTAAATCGCCGTACCAGCAGCGCAGCGGAAATCGAAAGACGGCCCCGGGAATGGGATGTGAGGGACAGATATAGAGACCGGGATCGAGACCGGGGACGCGAAGTTAGAGATCCTAGACGCAACCTGGCAAGTGAGGACAGGGAGAGACGACACTGGAGGGACGATGAGAGAGATAGAGATCGAAGAAGAGGAGGCAGCCCAGTGGTCGTTGGCGTTGGGGGAAGGAAATACCCGACCGACGGCGTGAAGCCTGCTTGGGCTTGATTTTTGACGAGATACGAACACTGGACTCACGTGGCGCATGAGGAGTTTTGGGTTACACTAATGCTGGCAAGTGAGCACGGCCTGGGATTCTCCTCTATTGGCAGTTTATATTCATGGAAGGTACACGGCTTCGGTTTATCAGTCCCGCGCACAGATACCAGTTGTTGCGCTGCCTCCTCACATGGGGACACGTACGTTATGATAAAGGCAATATTTAGACATTGGGCATATGCACACATTTTTCACTCGATAGCCCCGTGCCCGAGAATGAAGCGTGAGCCTTCACTGCTGCGCAACACTGTCAATGCTTTCCGCTAGACTTTGCGGCCCTGGATTGCTAACACAGCGAAGGAGTAGAAGAAGCACATTATGCAATCAGAAGATCATGGTAGGTCTGGACCATTAGTACTTAGCTGGAAAATGACCCCTACCTCAGGCGAATCCAAGACGCCCAATAGTCATACAGCATCTGAGTAGTAGTAATCGATCATCCACGGTGGAAGCCTCAGGAGATGATAAACCACACGATGGCTCAATGTGATGGTCCCAACGAGAGGTGGTAAAAAGCACATGCTGTATTCCCTCAACCTGTGGGGTCTTTCTATCCTACGGCCTTAGTGCCTTATTCTCTCATGCTTCTTCGTATCTGCTGTTTTACAGAATGGCGGATATGCCGTACTCCTCCAACTTTCTTATCATTGGCATCATCGAGTTGCCCAAGAGCACTCCGAGCGCCCCGGGAAGCGATTCATGGCGACAACCAAGAACACATATGGTTATCCGTCACATCGAAGTCTTTTCCATCACAGATCCTCTTGTTCTCACAAAATCCCCCAAGGGATCTCAGCAGACCCCCGTAGCTTCTCCTAACCGAGAGAGGAGAGAGTGTGCCGACAAGTCCTTCGCTGCTGTTGCGGCTGCTGCTGCTGATGCATGAATGCGGGCGATCTGGCGACGCACATCTGGATCTGCCGGGCATGCCAGGCGGACGACCGGTTCAGCAGCCAGCGGTGGTGGTGACAGAAGTCGCGGCCAGCCCAGACGAAGGCCCTCGTGACGTGGCGGCAGCGCGGGTCGGCACGGCCGTACTCGCACTCGTCGAGGCGGTAGCGCAGGTGGCAGGGGCAGCAGGCAAAGCGGAGGTAGATCTGGGTACACATGGCTCTCGTCTGGGTCGGGTTTCGGTCCAGTTGCGATGGTATGGCCTGCTGCCGTCGAGTGCTAGCAAGTGATTGGGTTAGCTAGGGAATTAACATGCGAAAAGTCATAGGAAGTGATAGATGGGGATCACCGAGTCGCCGACCACCCTATGCCGGAGTGGCTCTCACCACGGCGCACTGCCTCTGTTTTTAACTCACCGAGGGGGGATTCCGCTTCTCAGATCCTAGCCAATTCTGTGCCTGCAAGTGATCTGCGAGTATGGCGATGTGCTCTGGCTTGCAGCAAAGGTGGTGGTGATGGAGGCTGTGGCAAGCGTTCGTGGCCGGCTTGCGAAATATGTGAAGAAAGAAAGAACAAACAGGGAAATAATCAAATGAGTGAGAATTGAGAATGAATGAATCCACCGTCCACGTGAAGTTCTCAATGAATCAAGGCAATGGACTATTCGGTTTGGCGCCGGTGGTCTGCAATGATATGCACACCATAGCAGCCACCACAGCATTGAACGCACTTGTCAGTCCGTGAATTGAGTCTGGCTTCCCTAAACTAGAAGGACAAATTCTTCTCGTTATTTCAATCTTTCAACAAACATTTTCGTCTGCGATTCTCAATGGCAATATTGGTGATGGCATCGTGTGCTGGGAGTATCGTTGGCGGTAACCCAGTAAGAGCCTTAGGCAGGCTCGCGCTTGAGAAAAACTCGGTAAGCCTCTCTCCACCTTTTGTTTAGGAGCATCGCCAGCTTAGAGATCCTATATGACTTGGAATCATCCAGATGCTCTTTCTGTCTGCCGGGACTGCATTCCTACAACGTTAGGGTACTAGAACGATTGCCCGCATCCGCCTGTGATATCCAGCCTCGCCATTGGCAGCTGGCAGATAGTCCAATAATTGCCATGCGTTGCGGCTTGGCCCGACAGTATTGGGACTATAGCATGAAAATACCGCAATCCAAAGCCGAATTTTGGCAGCTCTTTGGAGGACCTATACTGCTTAGTCTTACGTGAGTAATACACGCAGCAGGGGTGAGTGGTCTCTTGATGTTTCTACTTCGAATGGGTTCTCTTGTATAAGCCGATGGATCGCACTGAATTCTGCCCGTCAAGACCTTGAAAAACCCTCTGTGTGCTCTCGTCTGCGCAATTGTTTTCATTCTTTTCTGGGTTGAAGCGGCAATTGAGAGGAGCAATGGGTTCTGGGAAAGGATTCAAATCTACAAGGTTGACAGAGAGAAGTGGGACTTCCCAATGGAGTCTATGAAAGGTACGTTTCTATTCGAATGATAGATGCCGAGACTGATGCGGCACATTGATTGCCATCGCGTAAAATCTTGTAACAGATTGGAAGACTTTGCATTTGGCGTATCATTCCACTTTTGTAGTATTTTCTTGTTATCAGTCGCTCTTCGAAACCGTCCTGGAGGTGGCCCTTAGCAATGGGTGTCTGTAGTTGACAGTCCCACAGTTTTAGTTGCTGATGGCGCTAAAGCCGAGCTTGGACAGGCCTAAAGGCGGGCGCCCCACTGGAGTCCCAAACTGGAAAGGGCAGTTTGTTTACTTTCCAGCTCCCCCCAAAAAGCGCGACGGGCTTCCCCGTCCCACCTCAACCTCAACCCACCATCACCCAGAGCTCGACGCGTCGGCCGACCACGACCATGGAGTCGAGAAACAGATACCAGTCGCGCATCCTTAGGGAGATGCATCAGAATAGAGAGAATCCCTTCAACTCGCCCCCCTCCTCTACCGGTTCCCACGGCACCGTCACCGTCACCTCCGACCTGTCCGTCGGCCCCCAGGGCGAGTCGACGCGACGCTACGACGACTCCATCATGCTGCCCGGCTTCTCGAACAAGCAGGCCACAGCCAGAGGCACCCACCCCCAGTCCTCGCCGAACAAGGTCAACACCTCCGCCATTGGCCGCGACTTCCCCGAGTGGAAGGGTTGGAACACCAACGAGCACACCGACGATATCTACAACGTCACGGGCGACTACGAGAACCAGGCCAAGGAGAACATCCCGCCCTCGTCTTCCACCGTGAACTCGCCCAGCCAGATTGACGTGAGAAAGGCGGCCCAGGGCACCTTTGGCACGCGCGCACATATGCAGGCGCGCGTCGACGACTACTCCGACCACTCGGACCACTCAGGCAGCATCCTGGGCAGAAGGCAGCCGGGTAGCGCCAGCAGAAAACACGCTGGCTGGAAGCCTCAGCGCGGAAACGTCACTTCACTTATCCAGACTCTCAAGGCTGCTCAGGCCGCCAAGGAATCCACGCCCAAGCGGTCGTCGCCGAAACACGACGACAGAACACCCAGCGCCAACCGACAGCCCCACGTCAGCAACATCCACATCAGCCCAACCACACCTAACCAGACGGCGCGGTCCTTCTTCCTTCCGAACCTCGAGCACGTCAACGACCTGGTATCCGGTGTCCTCAGATTGTCATCGCTCAAGAATGGCATCCCTGTCTTCGTCAAGCATGGCAAGGTACACGACCGCGAGGCTCACAACTTACCCGACGATCACGCCGCGCTTGATGCCATCGACATTCCGAAAGATGAGCAACAGATCTTCGTCTCGCTGGATAAGATCCGCGAGGAGATCCAGGCCCTGCAAGCACACGATGACCAGGTAACGAGGCAGGCCGAACAGCTCCAGGAGGAGGTCTATGAGCTTCAGTCCCACATGGCCAAGTCTCGGTCCCGCAAAGACAGTGCTATGGGATCCGACTCGGAGAGCTCCATGGTCGACTACCTCAATGGCCAGAAGTCACAATTGGAAGAGAAGGTGGCAACACTCCAAGCCAAGCTTGACAAAGCCAACCGGAAGATCAGCATCAACGAAATCCATACTGAGTCCTACGTTACCGAACGCGATGAGGCACTGAGGAGTACGACTGTCTATCTCGAGCGGATTAGCAATCTGCAGGCAGAGCTGGACTCGACTCGTCACGAACTGAAAGCGGCGCGTGGTGGCACCGCAGGTAAAGGCCTTGTCGATGATGAGATCAAGTCCCTCCGCGAGGAAAACATTTCGTTGCGGTCGCAGTACAAGACCATGCTTGATGAGAACCAGTCTCTGCGGTCGCATAACGGTCTTTTGACCCAGGAAAACACAGAGCTTCGACAGGAAATCAAGAGACTCCAACGGCTCCTCGGCGCAACAGAGGATGACCGTAACTTGCTCCACAGGGAGTTGGAAGAGGTGGCTGAGGAGAAGCGCGTCTTGCGAGAGGACCACCTCAGCCTTGAGCGCCACAACGAGAGGTTCTACAACGACAACAAATCCCTTCAGCAGAAGGTGACCCTGCTCGAACGTCGCGTCCACGATCTACAAGAGAACAACACCCAAATGCACCAAGTATTTGACACAGCCAGCAACAAGGCAAAGCCCGTCAAGGTCACGCGCATCATTGAGCCGACAACGGCGAGAAGCAGGTCTACTTTCAGTGAGGTCTCTGCTAAGAGCACGACCGAACAGCTGGACACACAGGCCCGGGAAGACTTCACACAGCAGATCGACTTGACGCAAGGCTCAGATTTCGATGTCCTGCCGAAGGAGGAAATGAACAGATTAAGGGAGGCACTCCGCAAGGCGCAAGCTGATAACAATCAGCAGACTGTCACAGAGGACTACCTCGAGGAGCGCACCGGAGCAGACTATACGGAGGACGCAAGCCAGAGCCTGCCCCCTCCGTTCATTCCTTCCCCGCGGCATGAGGCTTCGAAGACGTCTGAGTTTGTTGCAGGAAAGAGGCAGCCATCCGGGATCCTCAAGAATGCCCAGGCCCTGCGTTCCCTGCCCGATCAAGACACCGGCCGCTTCAGCGTCAAGTCGGCCATGAGCGGCATGAGTGTACCGAGTCAAACCACGAGATCTGAAATATCATTGAACCGCCGCCACTCTGACAGCGTTCGCTTTGACCTTGATTTGGATGAAAACATGACATCGGCACTGTTCATCGATGATATCACTCTCGACAAGCGTGCTAGAGTCACCCAGAAAGAGAAAGAGAAGGATGTTACCAGGACCAGGGTGGAACCCCAGAAGCCCATCCGTGCCCTCTCTGCTGACGCCAAACGGGTTCTCGACAGCCTCTGCGACGATCACGACTGCCGCAACTGTGTCATGTGTGTGCGTATTAACTCACACCTGCACGAGAGTGAGGCACAAGCGGGATCAAATAAGAAGAAGACCATCATTGTTCAGAAGCCGATCCCCGTGACCGACAGAGTCCCCAATCCAACTACCTCTGACGCGGACCACACGATGCGCCCGTTACAACAGCCAGGCCTTGCTCTTGCTACCGTGATGAAGATGCTCCAAGACGAGCTGGCCCACTTCAGATCCTCCGTTGCCAGGAAACGAGCCCAGTTGGTTAAGCTGGATCCTTCGTTTGGACAACGCCAAAGGAAGCAGTTGCACGCCGAGATTGCCCGGCTCACTCGTCTCGAGGAGATGAAGAGTGACCAGATTTACCGACTGAATGATGTGCTTGAAGGTCAAAAACAGGGCGGCCAGCAGATGAGTCAGACAGAGGTTGAGATCACGATTGACAGCATTCTGGCAGTTGATGACACATGGGATGGAATCTTGGATTAACTACACGCACGGTCTGGCAAAAAGGATGGAGTTGAGGTAGGAAAGCTAAGAAAGAATCCAATGGGCTGCGAGCGCTGCAAGGAGTTTGGATTCTATTGTGTGGGCTATACACTGGAACAGCCTCTTTGGGCTGTGGTATTTGGTTGCAAGGGGAAAGGAACGGCGTTCTGCATTTGCGTTTGTACAAATATTATTTTGGAACGATCCAGTCAATGACCATGCGCCTATAAGGCGTCAGGATAAGGGTCAGCATTGAGTTGAGTTATTGATTTGCATTTACATTGCCGAACAAAGCACTGCCTTGAAGGCCAGCCGTCTCAGATCGTTGTGATGATTGTGGCAAAATCAACTTGACCAGCCAGTTCCCAAATTGAAGTGCCGTATCTGAGGGGCCTTGTGATACATCATCTTTTCATCTGCCAGAAATCAAACCCCAGAGTATCATGAGCAGATCTCGAACTTTGTCAGACCGTTCTACAAACTTGCCTTGCCGCGTGATTCAAACGGCAGGGCCAAGACCAGAACGCCAGCGGCAATAAACAAAGCCCCACTGACATAGACGGGTGCGGCCGTCTCGAGATTGGCAAACATCGCAACAATAGGGGCCATAATGCCAAAGACGCGGTTCGCCGTCGCCGTCAGCGCGTTGCCCGTGCCGCGGTCCTTGGTTGGGAACAGCTCGGGCGTGAAGGCGTACAGCACGGCGTACATAACGTTGCTGGTGAAGTTGTAAGCACAGTTCCAGCCCAGCAGCGACTGCGAGCTCGTCGCCGTTGTCGAGCAGTAAAGGAAGACGCCCGTGAGCACCGTGCTCAGAGCCAGCGTGCCCTTCCGGCCGAGCCCCCGGACCTCGACCAGCACGCCGCCGATGATGGCGCCCGGTACGCCCAGCGACGCGATGATCAGCGAGTTGCGGTACGTCAGGTACGTCGACCCGTCGCCAAAGTCGGCCCCACGGGTCGCTTGGATGTAGGGGAGGAAGGCGTTGTAGAGCGGGTATCTGCCGGTCATGTTAGTAGTGAAGATTGCGAGACACTGGAATTAAAGGACTTACCCAAGACCAATAAATGCCCAGATCAACATCAGGCAACTTGTGCTCCAGGCCAGCTTCCCTGTGGCGAAGAGGGAGCGGACGTGCTCGGAACTCATAGCCTCCAACTTCCGCTTGATGGCGTCGCTAGCTTGAGCCCGCTGGACGTATCCTTCCGGCTCACAGACCTTCAGGTCTTCGATGGTCAACTGTGTCGTCTTCCCATTCCGTCTTGCGACCTCGTGCACGATGCGGATGGCGTCTTCGTCTCGGCCCTTGCCCATGAGGTACTTGGGGGACTCGTAAATCTTGAAGCAAACAAACCGGATGATGAACATGAGCAGGGTAATGGCGCCCATGGTGACAATGAAGTAGCGCCATCCGATGTTCTTGGAGTAGGTGCAGTCGGGGTCCTTCTGCTGGCAGGTGCGGAAGCCCAGCAGCGGCCAGGCGACGAGGGTCGCGATCAGCTGCGCGAGAGCCCAGTCGACCGACAGGATCGTCAGCAGGTACTGGTGCGACCCTGGCAGGAACTCGAGGAAGATGGCCGAGTCCACAGGCAGGTTCCCGCCGACGCCGAAGGACCACAGCGCCGCGAAGGAGCCGATCGCCGCAAAGTTGGGCGCCGAGCCTGCGATCATGCCCCAGAACGCCGCCAGGCCGAGCGTCAGGTTGAACGCCCACTTGCGCCCGAAGATGTCGCAGCCGAACCCCCAGAAGATGGCGCCGGCCAAGAGGCCGATGTTCTGGGCGAGGCTCAGGAACGGCACCTTGTCCGGGTGAAACTCATTGCTGATGGGGGTGAGGATAAGCGATGTAACGATGGGCCAGAGGTTGTCCGAGGCCCAGCCGAATCCCACGACGAGAAAGAGCTGCCACTGGTATTTTCCCATGCCAATGTCCTGGATCTGTTTCCTTGTTAGCCCATTCCCAGGCAATGATGGGGGCACAATACTATACTAACCGCCTTATTAAGCACTCGCGCCTTGGCTTCGTAGACGGGGTCCACTTGGCCTTTGTACATGGCCAGCTCCTCATTACTACTGTTCAAAGCCTCGTCGGCCAAACCGGCGCGACTGGTAGGACCATTATTGCTTGGGCCCATCTTCTCGACATCGACGTCCGCCATCGTGAAGTACGAGAGACGGAGAAGTCTCGAGGGTGTTTTGTGAGTGGGTGCCCGTGTGAAGATCCCTCGGGGTTGCTATTTGTACTTTTGTCGAACGTCGTGCACGTAAGACTTGGTAGGATGTCAATGGCGCCGCCTATGGCGTGCTCTCGGCCGAAGGCGTTATAATTGGTTGCTTGCGCCTGCAGGATTCTGCAACTAAATCGGCTTCTCCGCAAACACTAATCGTCGATCGCCCCAAGATTTGGTTCCCAGCTGTAATCTCATCAATGTTGAAGTACAGGGAGTGCATACCTGGTTTTCGCTGAGTGGGAGCAGGAAAACATGGTAGAGAGACAAGTTAGTTGTATTTATATGAAATATGGCCGGTTCGGCGCAAGTTTAAGACTTCTCTATCGGAGATGCCAACTATACTTCAAGGTTGTGATTAGGCAGGGCCCCACACAGACAGGCACATAGTCGACTCCATACTTTCCCGAAGCTATATCCGACCAAGGAGGGTTTTCTCTATTACGACCACGTACCATCCCATGTCCTCTCATAGCCATGCAACTCCAATTGACGGGCCTTAGCTGTCAGGTCCATCTTATGCTCTGAAGAATTTGTCTCTGACGCGACCGAAAACTGCACTTTGGAGGAACTATAGGGAGAAAAGCCGTCTGGAACTTGTGAGCAGGAGACCAGCGGCTTGTCCCAAGCTTCGTAGCAACAACACGGCCATGTGTCGCAGCGATTATCTAGTTCCTCGTATTGGTGGGCGTGGTGAATCACATCGAGCCCGCACACGGGGATGCCGCTGATAAAACCCGGGGTCTTGACGCCCTCCTCGTAGAAGTACCCGCCTGGGCCTTGTTCCCTAACGACGCCGTAAGCTTGGTTCTTGTCCGCGGCGCGCCATCCTTCAAATGCTGAGATGGCAATGTCCTGCCAGACGGCGCCGTTGTAGTCCTTATTGCCTGGGCTGAGCTTGTCGAAGCCATTAGGCTCGCGGAACGTCCATCTACGGTCTGCTTGGGCCTTCTGGGGGATATTGAAATAGACAACGAGCCACAGTAACCATCCATTATGGTTAATGAGGGTGGCCCGCGCTGTGTCGTCACTAATCCATCCCCAGGCGATGTTCTCTTCCTCGCCCGTCAGGGAACCCCATGGCCACAGGTGAATCGGCGAGTCTGATCCTCCGGTCCGGCCTTTGTCCTCCCAGGCGATGACGACGGGTGTAAGCTCTGCATCAGACGCCCAAGCCGCCGGGATTAACCTGTGTCTCATGGTTGCCTCAAGATTCTTCGTGATGTTGAAAGTTGAAGATCCGGACTCGTACGGCAGAAGGAATGCACCGTCCTTGATGAGGTTTTTGAGCTGGTCTGTACCTTCATCAGACCCATCGAAGAGATGTCCAAGGGCGGCATCGGCCACGCCTTTGCCTGTCTCTATGAACAGATTTACCGCATCTTCAAGCTGCTCTTTTCCTTCCATCTCTTTTCCTATTCTGTAAATCTGTTAGCGAGAGAACGACTTCATGTATAAGGGGTGTAGTTTTGAAACTTGCCCTTCCGCCGCATCCCCTGCAATGGTCTCGTACAATCCCACGAAGAAGTTTGCATTCTCACTGATTTCACCTCCATAATCAATCACTTTCTGGATGCTGTCTTTCCAGGTTTTCATGCCAGCGAAGCCGAGAATTATGTCAAACCACTCGAGTGCTGTCTTCAAGGTATCTAGCTGGCCAGGCTTGTCCTCGGGGCCGAAATCTTCCGAAAGCTAAAACAGAATCATCAGCACTGGTGAATATCCATGGCTCGGCATCAAAGGGGTAGGTGGACTTACCTTATTCACGATCCCCCTAACGTTTACATCGTTGAAAGTAGTGTAAAGCCCTTTGAACGCTGCCTTGATGTGGGTGAACGATATAAGATTCAAGTCCAATGCCACGTGCTGTGTCACGCCACACCATATTTGAGCGGCTGTGCAGAAGGCATCGTTGACTTTTGCACACCGAAAAGGAGTAGGACCTCGGTATCCTGAGGTGATTGGATCTTGTCCACCGTACCTCCTAGAAACATATTCGGGGAAGTATTTTCCAATAATCCCCGTCTTGTCCTCGTCCAGTCCAACCCGGTTTTTGAAATCGCTCTGTGCATCGGTGAGAACCAAGCCAGCATCGACGTAGTCCCACCTCTCCTTGACTGGTATGTTAATATCACCAGAAATGCCACACGAGTCGACGGAGTGGCATTGCCATTTACGCTTCTTGCAATTCGGCAGTTCAATGAAGCTACCGCCATTGGAATATTGTTTGCAAACGTAGCCGGGACACGTGCCTCGGCTGCAAGAGAACGCGCAAAGATCTGCATAGCTTTCATCATGGCCGTTAGTTGGGTACCCAATACTGGTTGACGCTTCCGGGATCTTCTCCGGAGTCCCGTATCTGGTGCAAGCGCAAGGCGGCGGGCAATAGCCAAACTTGCAGCTGAACTCACAGAGCTCTGCAAAGTCCCCTGGTCCAGTGCCCGCGGCGCAATCGCCACTGCTACCACCATCGCCAGTGCCTTGACCAGGCGTGGTTCCTGGCATGTAAGGCAGGTTCGGGTTCGCCGCACCAGAGTCATCGCTGCTGTCTCCTCCGCCCCCACATAGGTTCAAGGATGTCTCAGCTCGGTTATCGAAGGTTCCATGGATTGAATGCTGATCCGCTCTGCCGTCGCCATCCATGTCCACGTAGTATGTGCATGTCCCTGCTTTATAACCCGAGTATGTAGCCTCGCTGGCTTTGCGCCAGGTGAAATCAGATCCACCGGCCGGGATGCGCCCCTCGTTGTACCAGATCCAGCCTTGGCCGTTGTATTTGTCGACCCAGATCATATCGGCTCGCCCGTCTCCATTGGCGTCAGCGAAGCGGAGGTTGGCCCGGTCTTTCTCCTCGGTGAACTTGAATTGATTAATGCGTTCCCAGCCGCCGGCGTCGTTGTGAACCCAGCCCGAGCTCCGCCCGTTGGGTTCCATACATAGATAGTCTCCACGACCGTTACCAGTGACGTCGGCAAATTGAACGGGTAGGTCGTGGATACCAAGTCCACGCTTCTGGCTACAAGCCAACTCAGGGGCTGGGTTTGAGTAATGATCCCATTCCCACCGCCCAGTTTCCTTGTACTTGTTACGCCAGACTTGGACACGGTTTCCATTATTAGAATCAGCCCACACAATATCACAGGCTCCGTCGCCATCCCAATCTGTAAGATAGAGGTCGCGACGGTCAATGTTGAACGGGGGTGTCCATATTGGATCAATAACTGGACCCCACCACGACTCACCAGACGATATGCGTCCGACGCCTCGACTGGGATACATCAGCATCTTGCCCGTCGACCATGTCCAAACGTAGTCTTCGTTGCCGTTGGGGTGGCCCATCATATTGCAGTACTTGACACCATCGGCCTTGAGCTTGGTTCCACCACGGCCGATGTTCTTCCAGACGCGGACATTGAACCTGTGTTTCTCTCCGTCCTGGATATGTTCCAGGAAGACATAATCTTGCTTGCCAAGAAGTCCAAACTCCTGTGGCTCACCGAAGATTCTGGCGAAATGAATCCTGTTACGTAGACCTGTGCTCGCAAAGCTGCCCATGCCGTTGTGAGTCGGACCGCTGGAGGCTCCTTTGAGGAAGCCCTGACGCCAGGCAACATTAAGTCCATCGCCATCGCGACCAGAGGCGCAGCTACGTGCGTTAGTCCAGATCGTGGTCTGGCCATCGTCACGCACCCAGAGCCAGTCATCTCGCCCGTCTCCATTGATATCCTCAAAGCGAACGCCATGTGCATCGCCCATGCCCTTCGCAGCAAATCGCATGCCGAGGTTTTGCCAGTACTTGGGCTTGTCGTCGATCCAACCGTTGCGCCAGCACCAGATATTGCCACCGTCATCCCAGTAACAATAGTCTGCTCGGCCGTCGCCATCTATATCTGCAAGCACTATATGCTCTTGCGTCCAGCCAACATTCTCTTTCCACAAGCCGATGCTGTGGAATGTTGGGGGAGTGTTGGCGTTCCCATTACCCTCATTGATAGACGCGTAGACATCTCCGTTGGGGGCGATACAGACAAAATCATCCAGACCTTCAAAACCCCGGAGTTAGCCTTGCTCAAGTAGACAGAGTCCGTGTTTCTTTTGCTTGAGAACTATTGTTGCATAATGCCTGTAGGACTAAGATTAAAAGGGAGGAGGGGGGTAGGATGGATAGGGCGGATAGGGGCAGAACATCGAAGTCGAAACTCACTTACCATCACCATTGACGTCAATGAAGCGCACACCACGAGGTATGCAGTTGTCGTCGACAGTCATGTCGGCAATCTTATCGAAAACCGCCGTGTTGTAATCTCCGTTGTTCTTCCAGACTCCGTAGGCGGCAACCCCCGGAGACTTTTCAAACCAGCCAACAAGATCGTCTCTTGCGGTGCTGAAAAGACGCGCGAATCGCCATTGATCACGATCCCAGTCCGATGTGATCGTGAGAACGATGTCCTTCCCTAAACTTTCGTGATAGTAGATCCCATCGTCGTACCAGCTTCCTTGTTGTGTGAGGCCGCCGGCATACACACCGTCACCCCATTTCTTCTCACAGCCTGGTTTCGCGGTGCCAAGGTCAACATCATACTGGGATGCACACGTTAGCTTATTTTCGAATGCGTAACCTTTCCCCCGGTACCAAACATATGAAGACTTTATGCGGTGATGCTCAATGGAGCGGTGAAATAAGATGTCATATGGGGAATGGTCGACGGCAGAAAAGAGGCAACTCCACTCACCGGTGCTTGAAGTTTTCCTTCGTTCATGGCAACCTCTATGGCGCTCCAGTATACATAGGCCATCTTCTGGAACCCGGCGTCGTTGGGGTGGGTATTATCAGACATGTCGCTTCGGGTGATCCAGCCATTGCCTGGGTGCGGTGAGACAGGGTTCATCTCCGCGAGAACAACTCGTTTTCCTTCCGCACGCATGGCACTGGCAAGTAAGCGATATTGGTTATTGATGCCGCCTCCAGGCGCGTTAAAGTCGTCTTCGCAATAACGGATATTGCTGTCGAAGTTGGGGATCAGAGTGCTGAGGATGACGGTTGTCCTGTCAAACCCCGGGGCAGACAACAGCTGCTCAATAAGGTTACGCATGCGAACTCCAGCATTACCGGTGTCTATATTCTGGGCGCAATCATTACTTCCAGCTTGGATTAAGACAACGTTAGGCTGATACACCAGCGAGTTCCTGGACGCCGCAGCGACTTGCTCAACGGTATCACCAGGACGAGCCTCCACATCCTAAAATGAAAGGTCAGTGATGTACACAAGAGCTGGGCTGTGATTGACATGCTCACGTTATCTTTCATGTTGCCGTTACGTTTGCTCCCAACCATGTTAACATTCCATCCTGTGCTACGCAACTGGTCTCTCAAAAAGGAGCGATAACTGTGTCAAGGACCACGTCAGTATTAAACCCTTGTAATGCTTATGAAGTAGCATTATTGAAGACAGACGTGCGTGCCTATGAACATGATATTGTGCTGAAAATAGATATTGCGGCCTGGTTGAACTTACGAGTTTCCATTAGATGATCCGGTGCCATATACAATCGAGGCACCAAGGTTCAGGATTCTGAGATCAACTTTCTCATCCTGGCGCTCAGATAGCCCAGGAAAGTTACCCAAAGCATTGGAGAGGTTATAAAAATCACTGGAGACTTGAAATGAATGCTCAGTTGACTCAATAGTCATGGGTCGCTGGGGCGGTAGTGTAGCAGCTGGCGCGATGCCTGCGGCTATTATTAGGCCGAGCTGCCATAAGAAGCGGCCAAAAGCCATACTTTCAGCACTATATGTTGCAGAATGAGTGAATGATAGTATCACAAGGACTGTGCTCCTCTCATGTTGGACTCTCTTCTACTGGCGATGCCAGCTAATTTATATTCTGTTCTCTTACCAGACAAACTACCTGCCAATGGGCTTCACTCAATGAACCATGTTGCTAGTATGATGCCAAGGACTACCCGTGGATGGTCAACAGGCTTGGTTCAATAGCTGGATGCATCTTACGCCCTAGCGTACTCCGTTGTCATGAACAGTACCCTCCTTACAGCAACTACAACCCTAGAGTTGGTAATGAGACCAGAAAGATACGTTGTCCATAGTATCCCCCAGACCTGGGCAGCAGCTTGGCAGGTTGGAAAGACCACCAGATACTTCAAGCTGAGAAGGGGGCCCGTACAGAGGCCAATGAAAATTTGCATTGCATCAGAACACACGGTCTAGAGCGACCCTTCACATGGAAGAACAATTAAAAGAAATTGCGAGGGAACCGGCGCTGCACAATAGAGGAGTGCATGCGACTGTGATTGAGTCATTCCTGTGTTGGTTGAACACCCGGCAGAGACATGTTCTCGCTCATAATCCTCCTGTATCCATAAACGTACAGATCCAGAAGGTATACATGGCCCGGAATACGAGCAGGGAGCTTCCTAGTAATAGAAAAACGTACGATACTTTGCCGCGTAGGCGCATCCCTAGGGTCTCAGCAACATGTCACTACGGTACGGAAAGGATCCGATCCTCAAAGGGCGATGGTTATGTTGGTCATGCATTCTCACCTGATCATGCCTAATTGGGGAGACAGGGTACTCAATCGTTGGTCTAGACTTGTATAGTGACATAGACTCAGTGGATACTTAAATAAACTTGGGTGCTGGGATCCGCGAATGTGTACGTATAGGGAGTGATACAGTCAGGAAATGGAAATACCTCGGCAGTACGCATTGCCTTTTTGCAATCTTACTCTGCAGCGTGTAGTGTCAACAGGTAACAGGAAGAAAATTCAGTAGTCCAAGTAAAGCAAGCGCTTAGTGACATAAAAAATTTTGACAGATGGCAAATTTCAAACACAATTGGGATACGATTCTAAGCCAACGTTCTCAACCTTTGGAGAGGAAAACGATGCTAATTATCTTGACGGTGTAACTAGGTATAATAAGAAGAGTCTCCAATGATGAGTGAATTCTTGTGCCTGAAGATTCAGATATGACGGGAACAGCGCCGGCCCCAGATGATTATCGTTTACAGTTATCTGTAGTGGATTCATATGCAAACTGACTTTCTGTTGGAACCAAAACGAATGCAGTACTACCAAGTCCGAGCCTAACTAGAAGAACTGTCGTCCCGAAGTGAGCCACTTTACGAGAACTTTCGGCCCGCATGCTCTTGGTTACTACTGGATCAGTCCCTTGGCGACCAACACTGGAGACATTTTCATTGGTTCGGAAGCTTCATCGTGCGGGTATTGTTAGGCGCCGTGCTCCTTACTGACTGTGCCGATCTGCATCGCACGGAAACCTCAACTCGTTTCAGGGTCTTGGCCCACTGCAGCTCCACAAAAGCATGCAGTTGCTTGTCCTAATTCGTGCTTTAAATAGAGTTCTCTTCAGTTACACTATGTGTGGCACGGTCACACTAGAACCAACGGCTGCCATATTAGGAAATGCGCTCAGGAAACTCCAGGTTCGAGGCTACTCTGGACCACTAGCTTTGCTCCTCTTATACCATGCAAGATATTTGATAAGTTTACTTGGCTGGTGGGCTGTGTAACGTTGCTAAGACGAGCCGCATCTTGGCAGGGGAGCGGCAGTCGTTTGGGTGTCCAATGGGACACATGCAAGGTGACACGTGCTCACTGAAGTTGTAACTAAGAAAAAAGTGTTGGCTTGGCGACTGGCAAAAGCTTGGCCAACCATTCTTGCTTTATGGCGCGGAAATTGACGAAAAGGTGCATTAAAAAGAGATCAGAATCCTAAGAACTCATGACCTGCAAAAGCCATGTAGCCATCGGCCAGCAAGCGAAAATGGTCTCTCTTCGAAAGACCCTAGCCGTCACCCTAGCCTCTAGCGTAAGGGCAAATACTGGGCTCCGGCCCGTAAGTGGCCATGATTTCGACATTGACGTGGTCTACCCATCCGGTCTATCATTTTCTACGGACAACCCGCCAACTGCGCCTCTACCACAGACCGTGATTCAAAGCAACGCCAGTCTTCCTCAGATTACTTTACGAAACCTGGAGAACAGCAGCACACAGGCCCAGTACATCTCTTTCGTGGTGATTACGCACCTGGGACATGACCGTTGGGATCCGTCCATCAACGGGACGTCTGAAGTCATATCCTGGCTACGGGCCAACCAAACACTTCTCGAGAACGGCACACTCAGCGGTGGGGGAGGCGGCAAAGACAATGGACGGTCGGGATTAAGCGTGGAGATTGGGGAATATCAGAACGCGTCGCTACACGTGTGGCAGCAGCACCCAAACGTAACAGACTACATCTTCAAGAATAATCGCAACGCTGCATGGGTGGCGCTGCTCGACATCTGGGGTAACGCTACCTGGGGTGGCTATGGTGAACCACCAGCATACGTTTCATATGACTTCCAACGAGCCAACATCGACTTTGGTGTGCGCAATGACACAGTAATGGAGGAGGAGCCTAAGAGCGCGGCTGGCCAGCCGGATCTGCCAAGCAAATTACTTGCATTGTGCATCTCGGGTGTGTTCTTCGCTGCCTACCTCGCCTAAAATGCGGGGGAAGAGCGGCCCGTCCCTTAATGCGACCACTAGCTAGGGTATAGACTAGTCTCAACGCTCGTGGCGTAGCTGCAGTACATTACAACCCTCTCTGCCGAAGTATAGTCATTCCAGCTCCGAATACCCGAGATACTTGACTAGCTGCAGGGCATTGTGCTGCCTTGACCAATGATTGGTCTGGTGTCTTTCATTGGCTATTTACGTTTCATGGGTACGGAGTCGTCATGGGTTCGACCATCTGCCCTGGTCGGTATTGTGAAAGCAGCGGAAAGCAAAGCTGCCCATTCACCCTTGGAGAGGATTGAAGTGCAGCTAGTCTGACGCCTATAATATATAGATCTATATTCCATGTCTTCGAAGTTCTCATCAGCTATTCCCGAATGGTCGGACTCTTAACGGGGCCTTTTGCATCATAACGTATCTCAAATTGGCAAATAATTTTACTGGCATCCCGATACTAGCTGCTGAGATAGAATCAAAGCAATGTACTAATGTGTCCTAATGAGCCCACGAACTAATCAATCAGTAGTCGCATCAGCTCAACTGCCGATACTCCATTAGTCTTATCATGTCAGTTATAGGCGCAGAGTATTCTGCGCGAAGGCATTGTCTGATTGATGTGCAAAAGAGAGCGAAGTCTACTTAAATTTTGTGGGAATGGCCCTCTACGGGCCATGAGCAAGTGTGGATTGAATCAACCTTGGGTAAGGCAGCCATTACCGATCGTGGCAAGCTAGTTTACATAAGTAAATCGTATCATCTCATGTTTTTTGATACTCCCAGTGCTCAAGTCATTTCACATATAGCGTGCATAAACATGACTGAACGTGTCTGTAACTGGCTCGCGTGGGCTAAGACGTGTGCTCTGATTAGGGGATGCTGTTAGGTTGATCAACCAGGCACTTGAAATTATATACGCCTTAAGAGACAGAATAAAAATATCCACAATAAAACGCCATTATAGAGCAAGCTCAATCCGTTAGTCTTTTTGGCAACCTTGCGACCTCCTGTATCATGTGATTCTTGAAAGCGATCTGCTGTACATATTCATCTCCGCGTTGATTCCGAGCAGGTTTGAATCTGGCAGCAGGAATTGGGGGTTGGTCCTTGGTGAAGTTCTTTGTGCTTGTATCTGAAACAGGCCCTTCAATAATGTCCATGTGCTGTACTTTCCGCATCTTGCCTTGTTGAATTCGTTCTTGTCTACGATTTGCTTCCACAAACTTGCCATGCAGTCAGAAAATCAAGCCCTAGTCATTGGCAAGCAAGGAGGACTTACACGTCTCCAGTCATCGGTGGGCACATCATCGAACTTGTACGCCTTGTTCGAGTGCAGCATCTCTCGCGGAATATCCTGCCTGATTATCTTTCCTGCTGGTGGGCGACATGACCGAGCATACTCTTTATCGAAAGTGAAGTAGGCCGCAGAATCCACATTTTGACGGTGGAAATCACCAGGACGTTTAGTTGTGATAAAGCCGGGGTTATCTTCAAGAATGTAACCCATTGCATCGGCGGCCCCGGTTCCCCTGTACACAGGCCTTGTGATACCCTGTGGTGCACTAGTCACCATTAGAGACGAAGGCACACTCTCGAGCAATGTTGGGCCCAACCCCACGCTACTCACACAGGATCTGGTACTCACAAGTTCTTGCCTTTGTCTGACGCTGGCAATGATGCACCACAGCCCATAGCTATGGTCACTTCTTGGCACGGTGCGAATCAACGAGGACTTAACAGAGAACGGGGTAAGCGGGAGCCAAATGTTAAGATGTGAACAATATAGACAAAGAGGATTGGCCGTAGCATCAGTAGTTAGAGGCCACATGTGCATTTATATAGCTCGGGTACCAGGTTAGCTTCTGCCCTGCTTCGCTCTTGTTTCACTGGTAGTCGCGCTCTGCCGCTGCCAAGCGTCGCCATATAGGGGATTTAAGGTACTGGGAAAGAAGCTGGCACACCATAGTAATCACCCTGATAACCTGGGGCGCGTAATTTTCGCTTAACAAGCGCCTATCAGGGAGGATGCTTGTGCAGCGTTCTAATACGCGCCGGCGATGTGCAGCGGTCGCAGCTGGACCGGACCCGGCTTGCCGCAAGCCGGGCAGCGGCAGCACCTCACCTGGCCTTGGGATCAGGCCAACATACCTATGGAGTTTCAGAGACATTGTCGAAATGGGTTTTTGTTCTATCTTGGCATCTTTCCCGACGATAACAGTTGGAAGCAACAGGCGCAACGCCGCTTTCAGAGCTATTATTGGAAACGAGACCAGTATGGCCGGCCCTATTGGCGGCTATGGAGATGATAGGTTCAGAGGGTCCAGGGACCGTGTCGCCCAAGCCAAAGCCCCACATCCGCGGCATAACCAGCCCCGCTTGGCCCAGGCAAGAAGCCTGCTACCAGATAGAGGTGCTTTGGCCAATCTTATCCTCATTAATACCTATTGTCAAGAGTCCAAACCCCCACCACTCTGCTTTCTCTATTTTACGAGAATACTCCCACTCAAGTTTGATGCTCCAGTGGTGTCTGATGCACTTGACAACCACACATCTCCGCCTAGTCAATTGATTCGGCGCCTTTCAACATGGCCGAATACATGAAGCCGAAGTTCGTCATGACCCCAGAGCTGGAGGCTATTCGAGCCAAAGGAGGTCTAGATTATGAGCCTTGGATACAAGATGAAAACACCGAGGCACCTCAGCATATTCTAGACAGCCTTCCTGAGCCAGATGACATTCCTGGCATGGCTTGGTTTCTTGGACTGGATGGAACAATGAGCACCTTGATTATGCGCAAATACCAAGACAAATACAGCAACACAGATACACCTCAGCCTTACGAACTTCAGACCGCACCTTACGATGATAGCAAGCAATTCTACCACTTTCCCATAATGCAGAGACTAGTGGAGCTATACCTAGACCGCGATGCCGGCGATGAGAGCGATCCAGACGAAAGCTATGGTACGTGTACTCAAGCGGCTACGGGCCAGCCTCTCTGAACTGAAACTTACTGACCTTTCTTAGAATCATATATACGTGGAGGCTTGACTCAGGGTCTTAGGCCTGAATATGCAATCTTTTGTGGATTGCATGAGTCCGAACCCCGCTGGACCGAGACCTACGCTCATCATTTCTACACCAAGAGCTATCAGGAGCACGCGGACAATGTAGTGAAGGGCAACTGGGCCGCGTTCGGCATACTGTGGTGCCAGAGACTGGAGTTAGAACGGACCGCTTTACCTAAACATGATGGAGATGAGAAAAAGAGTGTTGAGTCAGTGAATGATGTCACGGAAAGCTAGGGGCGTAGTATCTAAGAGTACTCACACTTGGTAGAACATACACGAGAGTCACCAGTCTATGTGTCGAGGTTTGTCTTAGCAGAGCATGGCAAGTAAACAATAGATTACCGTATTTGAAAGTCGCTCTTGTTTGATTAAGTGGATATTGAGCTCGGGCTGGTGAGACGTGGTATAGAATTGTGGCTGAGAAATGGTGGCTGTGCTTTTTCGCGTTTCACTTATTTAATTTCCTTCCTTTCCGTAGAATTTAATACACCATCGCACTTTTTGCCTTCATTTTATAACTGTTCGGTTTGGCGACCGTCGATTTACACGTCTATTTTGACCACACGAACAATGTACGTTCAATTCGTCGGCACTGACGAGGAGAACTGCGTTGGCTGAGGTTGTGTTACTTGGGGAATATGGCCCAGGAGCACCACTCCAGTTCAATATTTGGCTAAAAATAGCCTAAATCATATCATGAATGTTTTGTTGTGGCACAGCTCATTAGGAATTACATGACGTCAATCCGTGAAGAAATTAAAAGCCGACAAACGGCCGCATGAAGATTGTTTGAATATGCGTTCCAGAATGCTGTATCTAGAAATATTAGTTCACACAGCTGGCCTACCAAGTTTCCGTCCGTTCGCTACTAACGCTAGGATTAAGACATTCCAACTCAAAACTTAACATGGCGACTGAAAAGATTTATTTGAACAACCGCTGTAAGGGGGTAACTAGTGTACACCTTCCGCTTCATTCATTCCGATTTTGACATTTGCCCAGGAGCGTCCAGATGCCTACGGACCTGGCAAAAATCAGCCAGTGTACCTTGGTGACGTCCTGGACAACCATTACCATATCTTCCGCAAGTTGGAGTCTGGGCATCGGTACACTGTATGGTTAGCACGAGACAAGAGGTATGTTGCTCCGTAGCTCGTACTTCTACTTGATAAATATCTGATCATGAGCCCGCTACAGAAACTCAGAGAGGTCCTTTGTGGCTATCAAAGTGTTTTCTGCCGATTCAACCCAGGTGATGCCCACGCTCACTAGATGTCTCGGCCCACTGAATCACCCAGGGAAGAGCCATGCCGAGTTACCTTTGCGTTCGTTCATGGTGCGCGGCCCCATGGGAGATCACCTTTGCAAGACTATTGAGCCCGTGGGAAGCTGCATCTATGGCATTATAGACGAGGCTTACAAGATAAGGGGCGACCTCAATGAGCAGCAATCGACCTTGCATAGAGTATTAGAGGGTGACCCCTGGTCAGCAGATTTCGCCAGACGTGCCTGCTGGCAGATGCTGCTGGGCGTTGATTATTGTCATCAGCAACGCATAGCCCACAGATCTGTTGCGCCGTGGAGTGCCCATTTTGTTTTGGACCACGACCTTTCGACACTTAGTGAAAATGAGCTCCTGAAGGACGTTTGGCCTTCGAAAAAGTCGGAAGGTGTGGATGAGAACCGATTCATGCAGGGTACCGCTGTGAGCTCTGACACTCAAGTTGAAGCAAGTAGCAAACCTGACGATTGTGACGATAATGATGAACCAGACGAGTCCGATGAGTCCGATGAGTCCGACGATGGCTCTATCCCAGACTGGCAAAAGGACTGGGAAGAATGTGAAAGGCGCATTGCGAAGCAATGGGAGACTTGTGACCCAAGTGATGCGACTGCCGAGCCACATTCTGCCGAGTGGAAGAAGGCAAATTTCTTCAACAGCCGAAGCGACATTGAATTATTACAGCGCAAAGATGGAAAACCTCTGGGACCAGATGAGGTTCATTATACCGTGGCTCCAACGCCATTGTACAGTGGATTTCCTCTCAAGGACGTTGCGAACCCAGAGAAGCCATTTAGGCTTGTTCTTGCCGATCCAGGCTCTACCTGCGCCTTTGAAGATTGCGAAAAATGCCCTTTGACCAAAATATCAAACTACCTCGCCCCTGAAGCTCTGCTAGGCTTACCGACCACCGAAAAGGGTGACATCTACTCAATGGGCATCGTTTTCTGGGAGTTTGTCATGCTCCGCCTACTTGTCGAATCGAACTATAGTTCTCAAGATCCGGAGCATGTCAATCTCAAGAATCGACAACTACGTGACATCGCTCACCGTCTTGGCCCAATCCCAACTGCCATACGGACGCAATGGCGTGACGCGGAAAAGTTCGTAGATTCGGAAGGGAATGCATTGGATATGCAAGAACAAGATGGAGAGACATACGGGCCCGACGACTTCGAGTATGGTGATATCTGGTATCAGGCCAGGAAATGCAAGCCTCTGGACATGTCAGAGGAGACGATGGAGCATTTTGTGCGTCTGGTTCAGACAATGATGCAGTGGCAACCTGAGCTGCGGCCATCAACAACGCAGCTGCTACAGGACCCTTGGTTCAAGGACCTCCGAGAAAAAGCTTCGCTATAAAGTGACTCCAAGCAGGAGATCTCGTCTTCAGGCTGGAAACTAAATCTCGCGCCGCAGCGGAGCATCTATTCATCCGATTGGTCAGCTAACAGTTAGCGGGTGCATGGTATAGACAGCCTTGCGTTCTCAGGAATTGTGAGTAGCTACTGGGTTTTCGATATCATGCTAGAAGCAAGTGCGGAAGATATGTACCGTTATAAGCAATTACGAGATGGCGAGATACGACTATTGCAGTGTCAACGGCATACGGGCGGACGCAGTGGGGGGGATTCAAACGATCCCGCGGGCTCCCATCTGCAAGGTTTCATCCAATCGTTTGCCTCGGCAGCCTGCCCTCGTTATGCGGCTTTGTCCTACTGCTGGGGAACGGACCAGCCTTCTGAGTGTTTGGTTTTGAATGGCGAGGGGGCCTTGTTGCGAAATAATCTCTACCGCCTTTTGTGCCGCCTGAGTGAGGACCTCCCAGAGAATACAGCCCGGCGTCACAACTCGGGCCATTTTGACGATCAAATTCAAGCTCTGACGAATGATGCATACAATCTGACCATCAAAGAATCTCCGCGCAGTCTACAAGAAGTCAAGGATGCACCAGGTTTCATATGGACTGACGCATTGTGCATAGACCAGCAGAACATAGCGGAAAAGAATGTTCAGCTCGGAATGCTGGGGGAGATATATGCCAAGGCGGAGCGTATCATCATATGGCTCGGCGAGTCTGATGAAAGCAGTAGAGCCGCATTCAATGCATGGCGAAGCCTTGCCCGATGGGCTCGAAGTAACCCCCAGGACAGACCTGACCTAGAATTATCACCGGACGAGTGCCGAGCTTTGGAGGACCTCCGCGAGCGAGAGTACTGGAGACGGGTCTGGATCTGGCAGGAGGCTTCCACACCAATGGTCCCACGAGAGATCTGGTGTGGCGATGAACGGATCGCTTTCGAAGACGCTGTACTCGCAAATGATGTAGCCAGGCAGTGGCTGCTGGCTCTGAACCGTATCCCTGAAGCCAACCCCTGGAATACGGAGCTCGAGGGTCTGAATACTTTGAGCCATATTCGACAAACCCAACGAAACATGGGGCCATCCGATTCATTAGAGTCAACCATCATCAGGGGGTGGGACAGTCTTTTAAGCATGCTGTACACGACCTTGGATCTCCAGGCAACCAACCCCCGGGACAAGATATACGCACTCTTATCGGTTTATGCCGACATTAGGAACCTTCCGTTGAATCAAATAATCTACCGGATAGATTCTCACGCACGGGGGAGCGAGTCATCTTCACACCGAGGGAATTGGCCTCTGGAGGAGGCTTTGATCGGTCAGAAGGGCACATTCTTGCGTGTAGACCCGGAGTTGTCCCATTGGGACCATGAGGCACCACCGCAAAACAGTAAAAGCTATTCGAGTGCGCTTCTGCGTATAGATTACGATCTACCTCTCGAAGAAACGAGCCGGGAGTCTGCCATATTTATGCTCATTGGCGAGCAAGACTTGCGCACACTGCTGCTATGCAGCATGACAGGTCCGCGTGCATCAATTCATACCTGGATACCAAACTTTAGGAACATCTCCCAAAGGTTCAACCTCTTTGACTACTGTCACCTTTTCAACGCTTCGCCCAACGCAGCCTCGGAGGTGACGCTGGCGCAATACCGAAACAAAGTAACATTGCGAGGCATTCTCCTAGATGAGGTTGCCTCAGTTCACCCACCTTTGACTGCAACCGGCGACAGTCTCGTGTCTGATCCGGTTGAGTTCGGACAGCAGAGGTTCGCTGAATGGATTCAAAGCATCGCGAGGTTCATTTTCCCCAAGGCGAAGGAGCGTCGTTACTTGGGTATCGGGTCACTTTCACAAGCTGTGGATCGCCTTTTGGCATTGCACTGTGCTCCTGGCATGGTCTTAACGCGGTCTGACAGTGTTACACATTGGGGCCTTCTAGAAATAGCGGCCGGCGGTCAAGTTCCTCGAATAGATGCCATGATGACCGAGTTCACCGACCTGCTGCTGCGGGTGAGTAAGGCTTCACTGTTTTGGACCAGGGGCGGGTTTCTTGGTCTGGGAGACCCCAGCATACGTGGGTATCAGCGTGATTACATTGTAGTGTTCGACGGACTATCAATTCCAGTCGTCATTCGGGATGCAGGTGCATTCAATATGGTGGTCGGGCCTGCCTTCGTGCAGGGCATAATGGATGGAGAGTTGTCAGGGAAAGGATACCAAAGTCGAAACTTTACAATACATTAGTGTCGAGGATTGGCTCATACCGACAAGGGTTGGCTGCGATAGCGTCCCGAGTCTTCCTGAGACAAGAGTCTCTATCGTTCCGATTACATTGAGTTTACAAACTTGACAAGAGTAGCCCCACGTAGTCAGTCTACTTAAGTATATAACCATCTTGAAAAACGCCAGCGTCCGCCAGCTGGCGTGGGGTTGCCAGGTGGCCTAGCCTATGGCCGGGGCCCAACTGCCCCGCAACCGTGCTGGTGCTGCTGATGAGGCTGGCCTTCCGCAAGGCTACCGACCTGCCTATGTGCATGCTCAAGGACTCGAGCTCCCTCGCCGTCGATCTACACACTCGCGCTGCAGGCCAACAAGGACCGCCCACAGCTCTATCACCCCTCGAGATACCCTATACCGGTTCTTCAAGAGCCACAGCAAACGCGCATCATGGCTGACGTCGAGATGGACGTGGACGAGCCTGGCTCTCCCCAGGCCACCCAGGCCAAGCTCGGTGACATGCAGACCCAGGCGAAGGCGACGGCCGTCCGGTCAATCGAGGGCTGGATCATCATGGTGACCAATGTCCACGAGGAGGCCGACGAGGAGGCCCTGCAGGACAAGTTTGGCGACTTTGGCGAGATCAAAAACCTGCACATGAACCTGGACCGACGAAGCGGTTATGTCAAGGTACGGCCCAGTCGCGCTGCAGAGCTATCACCGCCACGGGGGGCACAGGAGTTCAATCGCTAATCTCGGGACCAGGGATACGCTTTAATCGAGTACCCGACGTTGGCCGAGGCGAGAGCCGCCATCGACGGCGCGCACGAGACCAAGCTTCTGGATCAGACCATCTACGTAGATTTCGCCTTCGTCAGGCCGCCGCCAGGCAAGAACAACAATAACAGAGGGCCTCGCCAGTCCCACCGTGCCCGTGGAGGACGCAGTCGAAGCCGTAGCCCCGAGGCCGGCAAGGACGACAAGGAAGACGAGGAGGTGCAGTGATTGGGATTGACCCCAGCCAGGTTGGGCAAAATGACGGAGTGAGAACTATGCTCAAGGAGCAAGATACTAGCAAACCTAGACGTGGCATCTTCAGGGCCACAGACTGGCGTTAGCCGATATGTCGCCAGGAATAAATGACATATCGGCATGTACTTGATGTCCACCATGGTAAGTCCAAGCTGAGCTCCAGTCGCGCCGCCGAACCTGACCCATAAATCTAGGCCGAGCACTGCTGTTCTGTGACTGTCTCTGCGCCTCGTGTCTCTACGTGGTGATGTAGATGCGTCTCAGCTTGTAGGTGATCGCGCTGACCCACCGTCATGCAGGATGCGTGCATATAGCTGCAAGTCAGAGCAGAAAACGATTATCGGGCTCGTATTATATTATAGGCCTCTGAAATCATTATGAGCGTTGAGGGCAATCGTGCATGAGCCCCACCGTCGGCTATTCATACTTACCTCCCATTGGAACGACGTCGTGTAGGCGAAGGTGTGTTTGCAGTCTACATGATCGAAGCGAGAGTCTATCAATTCTGGTGGCTGGGGGAGATGTCGCTAATCGCCAAGTGGGTTACGACCCCGTTCGCGAGCTGCCAAGATTGGTGAGGTATGAATCTTTGCAGCAGTCGGCAGGCTCCATGCTTCGAGTCAATACCCTTCGAATCGAGGGTTGGACATTCAGTGAGTGTTAGTGGTTGCTGTATAATGACCCCGCGCATGTGATATTACAATTCCATCCTCACAATATAAGACGCGACAGCTGTGAGTTGCAGCCAAGAGTCTCCATATTACTCGAAAGGATTCGTAGATTTGCACTCTCTTCGGCAGGAAGAACTGATAACTCAGAGTTGTGTGTTTACTCCTCGTATGCTTGGCTTGCGGGAGACACAGCCTTCTTGATCAACCTCAGCGTTGGTCCAGGTGTGGAAGACATTATGCAGATTATCGGATAAATAAACCATGTCGATGTTTCAGAGTGGATTCTCGATGACGCGGCACCTGTTACCAGAAAGGAGGCTGGAATAGCACAGTATAGAACGCAGTCCGGAATGTCGATTTCTCCATGGTGCGGATCGGAGGCGGAAGTGGGTCCGGCCAGCCGGTCGCGTGCCACCGCGTTCTCCGGAGCTGACCTCGTATCCAGAACTTCCCGACTGGCGAGCATGACCACGCATCCCCCTTTCGCAGTCCAGCACATCGGCCGCAAGTTCGCGGACACAGATGGAACCTTCGTAACATGGCATTCCTCGTCGGTGCCTCGGCGCCATTGGCGATCCAGAGACTCGCCATCCCCGCCTCCTGCCTCATAGTCCTGTTCCTGGGCTACGGTTCGCAGTACCTCTTCGCCATCTCGCCCGACCTCGCGCCCGGCCCGCTCACCAAGACCGAGAAATGGATCTTCAATGTTCTGCTCTTCTGCCAGTGCTGGACGTACTTCAAGACCTGTTCGGTCGATCCGGGACGGTACACCTTCCCTCCGTCGTCCAGTCACGAGAAGCAAGGGGAGGGAAAGGGCAGAGACACAAAGGCTGGGGAGGGCAGCGATGACGAAGACGAGGAAGACGAGGCCGCCGATGGGGGAAGTAGGCAACGGCCGAGGCGCTGGTGCAAGAAGTGCCGCCGGCCCAAGCCGCCGCGCGCCCACCACTGCCGCACCTGCGCCCGCTGCATCCCCAAGATGGACCACCACTGCCCCTGGACGTCCAACTGCGTCAGCCTGCAGACGTTCCCGCACTTCCTGCGCTTCCTGGCCTACTCGAACCTGGCCGTTTGGACGCTACTGTACCTGCTCGGCCGCCGCTTCCTCGCCCTCTGGGAGCACCGCAACCTGCCCGCCTACCTGGGCCCCACGCACGCCCAGCTCGCCTGGCTGACCGTCTTCTCCTTCCTGGCCGGCTGCGCCGCCCTCGCCATCGGCATCCTCTTCGCCTCCACCTTCCAGGGCTGGCTCTTCAACACCACCATGATCGAGGGCTGGGAGATCGAGCGCCACGAGGCCGTGCTGGAGCGCCGCGCGGGCGGGAACCGCGACGCCGGCGACGACTCGTACTGGCGGGGGAGCGCCGGCAGCGACGGGGACGGGGGGAGGGAGCTGCCGCCCGATGCCGTCGAGTTCCCCTACGACGTCGGCATCTTCGCCAACATGGCCGCCGCCATGGGCACGGCCAACCCGCTGCTGTGGCTGCTGCCGTTCGCGGGCCACCCGACGGTGGCGCCCAACGCCGACGGCCGCCAGCGCGGCACCGGCTGGGAGTACGAGGAGAACGGGCTCAACGACGCCGAGGGCATGTGGCCGCCCGCGGACCCGGCCAAGGCGCGCCACGCCAGCGTGTGGCGCCGGCGGCGTCGGGAGATGCTCGAGGAGGAGCAGCGGCGCCATGCCGAAGCCGAGCGCTGGGACGGGCCCGAGCAGCACCGCGAGGCGTTCCGTCGCCGCCAGGAGCGTGACCTCCGCAGGTGGGAGGGCCGGATCCTGGGCGAGCTGGAGGAGGTCGACGACGGGGGTGACGACCAGGACCAAGGCTACGACTTCGTGGACGAGGCATACAGGGCTGGGGGCGGTGGCGTGCCTGGTAGGTCGCAACGGGGCATTGTCGTTGACGAGGGAAAGAAGGGCTGGGTGAACGCCGATGGCGAGCACCTGGGGGACTACGGCGTTGACGAGGACGCCGAGTCTGACGAGCTGGATGACGTCGACATGATCCCCGACGAGGATGACGACGACGACGATGTTCCGCTTGGGGAGCTCATTCGCAGGCGGAAAATCCGGCTCAACGACGGAGAGGATACGTGATTCATAGTTTGTAGACAACCACCAAATAGAAAATCCATCAGAACACGAATACGGGAGTGCCAAAAACGGTCTTTCTATCTACTATCTCTACAGCCAAAAAGCTACTTGGAACGGAACTTTTCCTTGCCTGGACAGCATCCAAATCACCGTCGCGAGTTTCGTAGTCATGATCATGACGGTGGAAAGCACAGAATCCACCCCACAAGAGGTGACGGGTACCCAGGGGTGTTGAAAAAAAAAAAAAAGCCTGCGCTTCCTCGGTCTAGAAAAAGAAGAATTCCAAATCTCCCGTCTCATCTCGGTATAGGCATTTCATCATCCGCTGTCGTCATCCATCTGTGGAAACAGAACCACCTCTCCCTTGTCATCGTCTAGTGCTCCTCTTCATGAATCTCGAGCACAGGGTGTCCTCGTGTCATTTACCAGTCGTCATCGTCATTTTTCGTTTGCATGGCATTTTGACGTGCCTTCAAAGCATTGGCCAGAGCGCCTGCCAGAGGAGCCTGGGTAGGGGTGTTGCTTCGGCTGCTATCCGAGCCATTGCCAATACCAGAGTCTCTTGATACCAGGTTGGCAGGTTTCTTGTTTGCGGCAGGCCGTTTGGCGGGAGGTTGAGGTGGAGTAGGTTTGCCCTTCGCGGCGGCGGCCCCGTTCTGAGCTGGAGGCGGCGGCGGCGCCCGAGGTGCGGGAGCTGGTGTAGGTGCTTTGATCTCCTCTACGTACGCAGCTGGTACCCACGCCTGGCCGGAGGCATTCTTAGCTAACCACCAGCCTGCAGAACGTTAATTTGGTGCTCAATAATTGATAGGGATACTCAATAACTTACCATTGTTTTCCCTCTGCACGATCTCGATGATGTCGCCAGCCTTGACGGTAAGCTCGTTTTCCTTCTGTCCAGCAAAGTCATACAGGACCTTTGCTTGGGGCTTACTAGGCTTTGCCGGGGGCGCTGCAGGAGGAGGAGGCGGCGGTACGCGAGCAGCCGAAGAAGTGGAATTCTGGTTGCGCGTGTGGCTGGGGATACTACTTGTGATGGAAGCAGGGGTTGGTACAGGGCGAGGGGTTTGTAGCGAGGCTGGTCCACGTTTGGTAGTCGAAGATCCACCAGCTTTGTTAGCAGGGAATCGCGATGGTCTTCCGCCCGGTCCACCAGGCTTGATCAGCTTGCCACGGGTGATGGGTCTTGGAGGCACAGGCTTGCCCTTTGGTGTGGGCCGTGAAACAGACGATGGCGATTCTCCAGCTTGAGTATGTACGGCACCACTCTTGTAGAAATCCACTGGACTGGGAGAATCCTTGAGCACCTTGACGATCTGCATCTTGCCAGGCTTCTTGGCATATTCGATACCCTCACCAATCTTGAGGTTGAAACCTCCAGGCATGCCCCGTTGCATCTGTGTGAACAGCTCGGTTTTGAGCACACAGTTCAATAAGGGGTCAGCTTCTTGCTGAGAGCCAATACCTAGTGAGAACCAGTCGTCCCGAGCTGTAGATGCGCCGATGAACTTGATGGCTCCCAAGGGAACAGCACGCTCGACCGAAATCTGCAGCTGGCCATTGGCCAACGCTTGGGCAACGACGTAGAACTTGCTGTTGCTGACAATGAAGATTCGCGGGCTGGGTTTACTGGAACGACCGAACTTGGATTCTAGAACCTCACCACGGCAGGAAAAGAGTGCCTTCTCGTTCCCTGTCATCTGGATGGCGTTGCGCACTTGAGATCCAGGGCCGGTAGTGGCATTGATCCCCAGGTAGTCGCCTAGGAAACGTCTCGATCCCAACAGACTGAATCTGCGTCGCTCCTTGCGGCCTTGAAGCACGCGATGGCCCTGGTCTCGCAATTGAAGATACTCGGCACCGACTCTCTTCTTCCGCCAGAATCGCTGGATCCGAGTTGCCGACTCTGCGCGGTAAGCCAGGTACGCCCTCCACATTCTTTGGATACGGGTAGCCATGTTGTGCCAATACCTGTCGCGCATTGTTTCTAATGCAAACAAGGTCTCGGGCGACTTGATGAATGCCTTTGTCACACCAAGCTGCCACTCCTCCTTGGGAATACTGGTATCCTTCAGGATCTGTTTCACCGCCGCCTCCTCGGAACCATTCCACGTATATTCGCCGGCGTAAGACGTCGCGGGAGACAGCAAGAAGAAACGCTCGACAAACTTTTCGAAAGACTGACGATATGCGAACCCAGCTCTTCGGATTCGGACGTTCTCTTGTAGACCCAAATACTTGATCTGGTGCAGCACGTTGGGTACATTGTACTCGGTTGGCGACTTGTTCTCGTTGGGCTTGATGGTGCGGATATAGGAGGGCTGGCACTTCATGAGGGTCTCAACCAGAGCGTTGGCGGACGTCTTGATCCTGTCACCCGCAGTAGGGGGCTGCTTTCGGTTGTCTGTGTCCACCTGCTGGGGGAAGATTGTGTGGACGAAACGGTTCTGACTCTGCTGGAACAGGCTCTGAACACCCTTGAGCAGCTGGTCCTTGTTCTTGTCCGTAATTCCTTCGACGGTATAGCTCACATCACCAGCGTAATGCTTGATAATGAAGCTGCCCTGTCGCGGCGTCAGATGAGCATGGCTCATTCCGTTGATGCTCTGCATGAACGTTCGATCACAAGCCGCGGGGTCGGCGTGGGCTGTCTTGGTCGCATCCTTTAGAGCCGAGAAGATACCGACAGGTCTGACCTGTTCAATGAGCTCGCACACCACCTTGTTGTCGAAATACTTGATAGGCGTCCACTGGATCTGTTCGCGGGCATACTCGTCCTGCTCGGCCTTGAGCGTGAGGGTGATAAAGATCTGCTGAAGCTTCTCGTTGACGTAGTTGATGCAGAGCTGCTCGAAGCTGTTCTTCTCAAAGATCTCGAACCCGTAGATATCGAGAATGCCAATGTTGTTGGCAGTGGCTTGTTGGGCCTTGAGCGACTTGTTGACACGTCCGACAATCCAGTCAAAGAGGTTGTTGTATATGGCCATGGCCAACGCGTCCCGAGTAGCATTCGCCTGCGCCGGGTTTGCTGGAGACTCGATGACCTCTCCACTCCTCGGGGTCAAGATGCGGATCGTGATGGCCTTGATCACAGCCTCGGGGGTAGCTTCGAGGAGGTATGCCAAGAAATCGACCACGGACTGGTCTGCAACCTGGGCAAACGAGTCGTCGCCCTCGACGAACTGGATGTTGCCGCACCAGAGGATGGCAGCCAGCATACGGAACACGTCGTCCTGTTCCGCTTGCGACAGGCCAATAATCTTCATAGCCTCGAGGGTTTCTTGGAAGTCGGAGATGTCGTCGATGCCGTCTACATCGTAACATTTCGACCGGCTCAGATATGCGTATGTCTGGGGTTGTTGGATGCCGAACGTGGTCCGGTAGTTCTCGGAGGCGCCCTTGGCGAACTGGTAGAAGATGTGGAAGTTGCGCTCGTTGACGATCTGGCCGACGACCCTCGTCTTCTCCAGCAGGTAGTTGGTGATGTCCGCTCCGACGGGCTCGCCGTTGACGTTGAAGTGAATCTGGAGATACTTGCCGAAACGCGACGAGTTGTTATTTCGCAGCGTCTTGGCATTGCCGAAAGATTCCAGCAGGGGGTTGGTGGCCAGCACCATGTCCTTGATGTGTTGAATCTCGGCGCTGCCTCCGCCCGACACGTTGGCGATGTACTGCATGATGCGCTTGGCGGCCTCGGTCTTGCCCGCGCCGGACTCGCCCGAGATGATGACACACTGGTTCTCCTTGTAGGCCTTCATGTTGTAGTACGACGACTCGGCGATGGCGAAGACGTGGGGCGGCATCTCGAGACGGTTCTTGCCCTTGTAGGACTCGAGGACCTGGTCGGTGTATATGCCCAGGTCGCGGAAGGGGTTGACGGAGACCAGGACATGGCCGATGTAGGTGTAGATCTCGCGGCCCTCGAAGCGCTTCTTGAGGTTGTCGTTGATGGCCTCGTTGGAGACCTTGCTCAGCAGGGTCAGGTCCGACACGCCGATCTCCTTCTTCTTGGTGGTCTCGAAGGTGGCCTTCTTGGGCTTTGCGCCGCCGCCGGCCTGGGACTGGGCGCCGGCGCGGGCAGCCTGGCCCGACTTGTCCTTGGGCCGTCTGCTAATACCCTGTTGCGCGTGAAGCACGGCATGTCAGCGTTCTCTTCCGGGGCGTCTTTCGCGGCTTCGGCGCGGTATCAGGCAAGGACAGCAACGGGAACGAGAACAAGGGCAAGGGGCAACAAGGAGAAACATACCATTGTCGCCCGGTCGTAGAAGTCTGCGTGCGGGTGCCAGGACGGGGCGTCGAAGTGGTAGCCTGTCTCGACTTGGAAGGTCTGGGGGTTGACTAGGGATGATAGGTATTCAGGCGACGAGTTGAGCAGCCATCCGGCGAGAGGCACGATATATTGGGTGACTGAGTCGTGCGACGCCCACCACAGATTCGCAGTACGTTGCGCTCTCAGGCGGCGGCCAATTGCTGCGCGGTGTCGATGGGGATAGCGGCCTGGAGCGGAGGCCCGCCTGAGGCTGTGCCGCACTGATGTCAGGTAGCAGCTGCGCCATCGCCGCCCGTTCACCACCCTGCAAGGCCCGGCGTTTTTCCGGTGCTGGTACCCGTCCGAGAGCTCGGTCCACCACAGGTCCCTGGCCTTCTCCATCAGAGAATGAATCTTGGGTGCCGTGCCTGTAGTCAATGCTGCCCAGCCCCGGCCGGCCGTCCTTGTAACGGTCGGGTATCGATTTTTGGCTTCTCTTTAGGGTTCCGAGGCTATTGGTGATCTGCGGGCGGTTGGGTGTCAGTGTATTGGTGAAGAGCAGTAACCAAACAACAAAGGCAAAGAGTGCTCCACATCTCGCAAGTCGTTCATCTCCCGTGGGTGCGCCTGCCTGGTCTCGACGAGTGCACTGAGCGCGACACTACACCTGTCTTGCCCCGACATGGGATCGTGAACAATCACCTGCTGGGGGCTTACCAACAGGCGATTCTTATTGTGGCAACACTACACGTTGCCCAGTGTGCGATATCTTGGGTTCATCCTCCGTATATCTGATATTGTTGCCGGACGTCGTGTTTGCTCGCCTGCCTTGCGCAAATGGCCGTTTATGATATATTCTGGCCGCAAATGCAAAAGCACATTACTTCGTGTATTTCCAGTACTCGTCATAATCATCTCTGTCGAATGGGTTCAGATTGCAGTACGCTGCGACATAATACAATCCCTAGTGTGGTCTGCTTTGAAGACTGGTTTTGACCACGATGGGTCGGCCATATAAGTAAATATATCAGACCGCCCAGGAGCCAGAGGACGGTTTGACTACTTCGTAACTGCAGCACGCCCTACCGGAACGATGCGACAAGAGAGTTTCATTGTTCAATGAGACCTCTTCCACGAGGGTTTCTCTGAAGATATTCACGCCACTAGACAGATTTCAGTGCCACCTCGTAGGTTATTCTCTCTTGAATTCGTCCTATAACATGAATGCCACTCAATGGCTTTTTT